ATAGATCGTGCGACCCCGGCATTGGGGTGGTAACAATTAGTTCAAGCGACTCATCCCTTCCTTCAGCTGGCCGTGGCTCTAAAAGTGGTAGCTTCCATCATGTGAAGGGCTTTCCGCAGAACATGCCGGGCTTTGGTTGCGGGAGTCCTTTGGAAAAAGTCCCTTTGGTTCCCCTCTAACCGGCCAAGAAAGGGGTACCAATTCCAAAACACGACGCACCCAGTTGTTCCCAGTTGAGACTTGTGCCCCTGGCCGGATGGGGGCTGTCCTTTGTAAGACTATATTAGAATGAGTGGGTGGTCTTTTTTGCTGTTTTACAGGATACCCGCCATTTTGGGCCGGGGGGGGGTGGTCCCTCAAGGAAAGACAGGCCCAAATGTATGGGCCTCAACTTGCTGCTGGTGAGCGGTCTGGGATTGGTCAGGTCTGGCGGATTGATCGTGACTGCAGGTGACTTTTTGTAGCTATAACGAATCAAAGGACGCTGGAAAGGGGATGAATGTTTGAGTTGGGTAACATCCCTTTTCTAAGAGTGGATTGGTGCAACGCCTGAACTCAGTGGAGAGTACAGCTGGAGCAGCTTTGACTGTCTGATCTTCTGCCGAAGCCGCTTGTGAAGCCAAGAAAGAAAAACCCAACCTGTCCTTTGGTTTCCCTTTCGACATAACCCTAGTTCTTCGAACCAAAGCCACACCTCTCCGATCTGCCCGAAAGGAGGAGCCCCTGCGGAAGGATGCGGCGCCGGGCTCAGCGGAGCCCAATTCTTTTTGGATCTGAATCAGAAAATGATTGGCACACAGAAATCGCCATGTAAAGTTACCGCAGGTTTTAGTCCTAAAGCGATGATTTCCACTAAACCCAGGGATACCCCCTATGAATAAACCGGCGTTGATGAATATGGGTGTGGCTCAAAATCCAAGAGCTAGGGCAAACCGCAGGTTTTCGTCTTCCATTTACCCAGGTGCCATTTTGGTATCTTTTTTTGAGCCTCAGCCATGCAAGATTCAAATTTCGTTCCCATTGGTCGAGATGCCAACTGTTCATGATTTACCACCTCTGTTAAGTTTCCCTTTGTGGGTTGCAGGGCACGCAATCTATTTTTGCCAGGACCCCGACCCTTCTTCATTGCCGCCGGACGGGTCAGCAGAGTAATATATATATATATATATGCATATATCCATATATATATATATATGTATATCCATATATGTATATATATATGTATCCATATATATATATCCATATATATATATATATGTGTATATATATGTATATATATATATATTCACATTGCTGTAATGCAATGCAATGCAATGTGTGTAACTATGTATGTATATATGTTGTAGGTATGAAGCAAATTGTTTTTGGCCTTTTCGGGTTTTAGGGGTGATGTGTTAGAATCAAAGCAACAGGGCCTGTTTACGTTGAGATGGCTGTGAAAGGAGATGCCGGGTTCGAGATGGGAGGGGCACGCATTGGACGCCATGATGGAAGCCCTCTCTAGCACGTTTTTTGTGAGGTCGCCATCGTCTTCTTTTCGACCGGGTGGGCTGTATATTCACGCAGTATACATATGTGTGCATATCATATATACATATTTCTGCAAGGAAGATGTGAGGCTGGTGAAAGCCCAATAGACCAAATGCAATGCAGTCTGAACAGCTTGAGAAAATTGATGGTCGCCCTGTGTCGTATGGTGTTGTTTGGGGCGCCCTGTGCCCGAATGAGGTTGTTGCTGAGAATGATTCCTGCCAGTTCCCTGTCTAGCCCGCCCGCACCCTGCGCGGATCTTTTCACACCCCAATCGTCTAGAGTCTAGAACCAGTCTGGGACCAACCAGGCGACCAATCGCCTGGAACCAGTCTGGGACCAACCAGGCGACCAATCGCCTGGAACTAGCCTGGGACCAACCTGGGGACCGTCCACCATCCCGCCCACAACTTGAGTGGATAGATCGGATCGGTTTCAACTTTCAAGTCAAGGTGCATCAAGGGCAGTGCTTACACTTCTAGCTGAGTACGCATGTACGGATGTCTTGGAGGGTTCGATCAGTTTTGAAACATCGGCCGTCGGGCTTGGCGCCGTCATGCCCAGGGCCACCGGCCGAAGGCCGACCATCCGAGACACAGACACAGGGTGGGCTCTCCGACCGTGCGCTCTCCCTAGGCAGGGCTGGCCGGTCGCCGGTCGTCGCGTCGCGCTGGCCCGTGGAATTGCGCAAGAAGTGAAAAGCCGAACGCACAGTGCACGCAATGATGTGGAAGCAACCGGAGCGCTGTTGCATGTTTCAATTTGGCAACTATGGCAGCCATTTAAGTTGCCTGCCAGGGGCAAGTATGGCAGTGGCCATGATCTTCGTCCAAAAACAAGAGGCATCCTCTTCCAAGAGGGCTCTGCTTGAAGTGAGTCACTTGCTCAAAACCCGCGTAGTGGGAGGGTAAGGGGCACTCCCAGCCATAAATTGATAATTGGGTGCGGATACCCGCCTTTTGAATTCTGTACATGGTTCTGGGTGGACCAATTCGATACCGGGTTTTGATTACGACTCATGTTTTTTGGTGAGTCAGTTTTGCTTTTGACTACCATGCCGGAAAGAGCAATCTCAGGTTGGGAGAACATGGCTCGTGTCCAAAACCCAGGGCCCAAAACGAAGTCGACGGCTGGTCAAGTGGCCACGTGAAACTTGGCAGAAAAGAACCTGCCGCTTGCACGGAAGATGTTCGTGAATCACTTGCACGGAACCCTGAAGCTTCTCAAACCCTCCGATCGTCAGTTTCCATGATTGTTGGACGGAGGGCAGATGTCTATAAGCACACATGGGCGTGTCTTGTTTAGGGTACCTCCCCATCAGCACAAGAAGAAAGGTTAGTCTTCCAGTGGTTTTCTTTTGAACCAACCCCCCTTAGACAGGGTACCATCAAAAGGGCGAGCCACGCACTTCACTAGCGGATAGAGGTGGGGCCATTGCTCGATCTCTGAAGGTGCCCGGACGCGATCCGCGCGATCCGCCGCGCGATGATGGGCGGTTGGCTCGCTGGGCAGAAAACCAACGTGACGGTGGACTGGGATGGGGGGGGGGGGCGTATTGAGGTCTCAGTGGAATCTGGGCCGTCATAGGCTAGCGCAGGATATGAGTGTTTATTTTTGGGGGGACCCACACAGATTGTGGTTCGCCTTTTGGTTCCCTTCAAAAACACAAACAACGTGGTGCCCTCAAAAAGGGTTTTGGACTCGCTGAGATGAACCCGTGGCCTAGATGGTTGTGTTCCGACTTTGGGGAGCACCATGGATGGCGGGTTTTTGAGTCAAAACAGGGTGTCTGCTGGTACAGCAGGCATGAAGGGTCAGAGCATACTGGTACCTGTTGTAGTATGCCAGAGACACATATTCCACATACCGAGGGTTAACGAATACCTCGGCACAGTTTCGGGATGCGGTTGGGTTTCCAGTTCTTGGGGCATCATGGCACGTTTGGTCGGCAAGGCACAGGCTATTTGACTGTGTTGACAGATGTTTTCCTCATTGGAGCCTCTCGGACTCTCAGATGCATCCGTCGCTGTACCGATATTTTTCCTTGGGTTTCCCGTTGGACCATTGTGGTTGGCTTCTCGTCCGAAAGCACAGGCGGCAAAGGGTTATCTGAAGCGGCTCCGCGCTTCTTGCGTTTGCAAGGTTAAGCACAATAGCGTGCGTGCCATGATAGAGGAGTGTGCGGAATAGGGGCAGGAGATATCGGAAGGGGGACGGCTGGCAGGTTGGCTTTAGTTTCATAGCTATCAGGTCATTTCGGTCCGCTCAAGTTGGATTTTCAGTGACCAAATGGGAACATAACTCCAAAGAGCGAGAGAGTGAAGGGCGTGGGCGAGAGAGAGGTCCTTTCTTTCAGCATGTCTGACCTCTGGGTTTGAGGAAAGAGGTAAGCACAAGAGAAGAGATACATGGCAACATCCGACAGTGTTTCCATGGAATGTGGAAAGAGCCTCCCTCTACCCAACAGTTCCAGATCTAATAGCATGGAATGGCCATGAGACCCAGCCATAGAACCCTTTCATCTCATTTGGGATGGGATGTGTGACAGAGAGTAGATGATTGAACCGCTCCAACACACGTTTCACGTCTTACTCAAAGGTTTTACGAAGAACAAATAAGGAAAGGAATGGGAAGTGAAACAGATAAGCTGGCATCTCTTCATCTCTCATCTCTCCATCTCTCATCTCTCCATCTTTACTTACAAGGGCTTAACCGGAGAAGGGATAAAGATAGGAATGGAAAGGATATGATGGCTCACAGGCCATCCCCAGTGTTGTATGGATTACTTCTCTCCCTCGTTCCTTTCTTTCTTGGAAGGGAGACATGCTGAAGAGAGAAGAGGCATTTATATTGTTTTTGGACTTTCTGGTCTTTCTCATGCCGGCCCTTTCTATCACCTGTCGGCCAACATGCCACCTTGGGATGTCTTCCTTGCCTGGCATTCATCTCCAGTGTATCACAGCAATTTCAAGTTGGGGATGCCCTTCGGCTGCCCAATTCTTGGCGCGTGGCCGCACGTGGCTCAGACTGCCGCGAGGGCGCGTGCCTGTTTGCGGATCAGCTTCCCCAGGGAGAGATGTCGGAGACGCGAAGAGAACTGCCCTCCTAACCAGGGTCATTATTTTGATGGTTTCTTGTGGTAATCAAAGTCACAAAATGGGGGTGTTTCCCTTTGACCCACCACTTACGGGGTGACTTTGATGATGATAAAATAATGAGGCCAGTATAATGATAACAATTGCGTTTCCTCGTGCATCTTCGCACGCTTTCGCCTTCCTTCCAACAAACGCGAAGCTGCGGAGGCAAGAGATGTTTTTGTTTAAACACATATGTATAGATGCATCCACACGCACACATAGCAGATATACATATATACACATACACGATATATATATATATATATATACATACATATGCACCCAAAACCAACGCAGACGAATCAAACACCTATACCGCCAGCATTACAGCTTCCCATTTCGCGCGCCATGGCTTGGGACCTCACTTTCCAGGCGAGCGCGTGGGTCCGAGCGGTTCATATTCTCAGTTGGCGGTGGTCTGTGTGGGCTGGACAGATAACTCGCTGAGAAAGCAATGGGTGTCCTGTTTCTTTTTTTTTTGAGGAGGGTTCTTCAAAGGGCGAAAAAAGGAGTTCCTTTTGGTTTGCCTGAAAAACAAACATGCCCAAGAGAGATCTGCGGGGGCGGGGGAGGGGGGGGGTTCCAAAGCCCTGTCGGCTTGCATTTGTCGGAGGGTAGGCAGAGGCAGACAGAGGCAGACAGGTAGAGTCAGACTCTTTCTCGGAATATACATATATATATATGTATAATATATATATATATATATACATATTTGCTGAATAGCCTTTGGCTCCCTGATCCCCAACCCACTTATTTGTGTATGTGTATACCTCTTTTGGAGAAGAAGGATATCGCAGGAATCCATCCGTATGAAAAAGTGGACTGGGAAGACGGGGCTTCTCGAAAGGGTCGGTTTTCCAATGGCTTCATGTCGTGTTTCATGTTTGATTCCTCCGTGTATGAGCCGATAAGATGATGACAAATGGAAGTTCGGATGACCTTCAACTTTTGATGAATTAGATGCAACGGCTTTTGTCTGGTTTCACGACTCTTATGGCCCCCTTGCGGGTGAATCATACGGCAGGGTTACCCTCCCTCCAGTCATGGAAGTGGAAAGGGGGGTTGGTCAGCTTCCATGATTGTTGGAGGGAGGGTATTCAACCATGTCCCTCTCGGTTCACATGAATCAAGCAGGCCGGCTGAGCGGCGCTCCCAACATCAGGAGAACAGGTACGACTGACAGGAACATGCCCACAAAAGAAAGCAGCCGAAAACTCAGACAAGTTCCAGGAGCTAAACTCCTAGAACCCCCAGAAACATGCCCAACAGCTTTTAGGAGCTCAACTCAGACAAGGCCAAAACCCGATTCTTGTCACAGCCGCAGCTTCGCTGGGCCGTCAGGACCTCTCGGTGGACAAGTGGGCGCCCTGTGCGCTGCTCTTGGTCTGCGCCTGGTTTTGGCGGGCCCGGGCCCCAGAAAGCCGCTCTCGCTCAGCTCCTAAACGCGGAACGATGGGGGGGGGGGACGTCCGGGCCGAGGATTGGAGGAATCTCTATGTTAGTAGAAACGACCGATCGCCACTCATCATTTCGGTCAAAAGGACCAAGCTTTGAACGTTTGATGTCACAGGCCGAGAGCCTTGTCAATAAAATGGTGGTGTTTTTTTGGGTTTCTCCTAAAGCCACCAAAAAAGGGGGCACCCAGGAAAAAGGACAGACCCATCTAGTGCGAACTTACGAGTTGAAGCCTGCCAGACAGGAAGCAGCCTTTCTAACTAGCGATAATAACGCCCAAGATCTCCCGCGGCGTCGGCGGACGCAAAGTCAGTCTGACGTGGCCATGGCTGGGAAGAGATAGCCAGGCGTGACCACGGAGAATCGAGCCGGACGCCTTGAAGTCGGTGACTCTGAGGGAGCATTGGAAGTGGAGGTTGGAGCCATGCGTCATGTCTCAGCAGCGAACGGAAGCGGAAGCTTTCTAGGCCGAAGCGAGCGGCTCCCATGGCAAGCTCGCCCGACAGATACCGAAACAACGCTTGAACCTTACGGAGAAGAGGGGTCCCGTTTGCGATGGAGTGTAAACGGAAGCCAACATTTGGAAACGAGTCCATGATCGCCCTTTGCTGTGACCGGAAAAAGCTTTCAGCTGTTTGGAATGTGACAAAGGTTTCCCCTGTTCACTTTTAAGGTGGACAACTTTTTCCCAGGGGTTTGTTGGACCGGCTTGGGAGTGTATCTGAAGGAATGGTACTTCATAGTTTTCAGAGAATCGCGTAGCGATATTGGCTCGCTTTTTCGATCCACGTTGGGAGCCCTTTGATTGTAGGTCCTCCATGCGGGTGAGTCATTTTTGAGGGTATCCCTTTTGGGTTGGTTTTAAAGGGAAAACAAAAAGACGCCAATCATTTCGGGGTCCCCTTAACAAAAGACACACCCATATCAATGCAAAGTAAAAAGGGGATAATTCCTGCATCTTCAGAACGGTCTGGTCCCGAACTAAGGTCCTCCGAGTTGGACACTTTCACGCGCCATCATGTAGGTGTCAAAGGGATTGCTCATTCCACCTTTTCCAGCGGTTGTCTGTTGATACGGAAACATGTATATATATATAATACATCCATGCATGCGCTATGACTATGTATGTATACATACATACTATATATATATACTGTACCCCCCAAAGAAAAACATAAATAAGATAAACAACATAAACAATAAACATCCCCCGATAAATTGACGATCAGGTATTTACCGTACTTCGGTGGAGAGATTTCCACCCCCGCCCCGTTTTTGAGGCACCCCGAATTTGAGCATTTAACTGTGACCGCATTTGTACATTGCTCATTTGACTCTGATGGCATCCGCTCAGAAAAGCTTTCAAGCGCCTCAAAGTGTCTGATTTCAGTCATTCCTGTTTGGGAGTGCACCTTGTTATTCTTTTGTATTTGTGCACGATAAATACAGTTGATAGTTCAGCATATGGACATTGGATACATATATATATATATATGTATATACATATATTTGATGACTTAAACAAATCCACACCTACCCCTGTATATTGAAAACAACAATGTGAATACCAGTAGTTTGCATGTTTTGTAGCAGGTTTGAGCAACACATATTTTGTTCAGGGAAATTCGTTGTTTTAGCAGACAGCTTCGCATGGGTCAAGGCATATAAGATGTGAACAGATGTTTCGGTATTGGCCAAGGTTTGCTAGCTGACAGATGGAGGGGATTTGCAGATGAGTTGAGGTGAGAGATGCATATCGGATGTTTGGTATTGGCAAAGGTCTGTAAGTTGACAGACAAAGGAGCTGAGATGAGAAACAGAAGATGCATACCCTGGAGCCACTCACATTCTAACATTACACATTTGGGAGAACATTCAACATATGCTTTTGAAGCTATCTTAGAACTAACTGGTGTTGAAATAGGTTTAGTTTATTACCAACATATGTATGAAATGGTTGAACAAGGATCAAGAGGAGGCATGCCACAGACAAGCTGGCATAAAATAGAAGCAGTATTTCTATGGGTGGCCAAGCCTGAATGAATCGTCTGGCAAGTCTGCCAGCACCGCTAAATGAGCCCACTTCAATTACTTCAATTAAGACCTGTCTAACCTGACTGGACTTCCCTTGCATAAGCAGCATGTGTGTGTGTGTGTGTGTGTTCGTTTTTCCATTTTTTGGGTATCCGTATGTACACATATATATATATATATATATCTGTAGCTGACGCAGAGCTGCTGAAAGCGCACTTCAACAGTGTGCAGGGAGCGGTTGACCTTGTGGATCGTGTGTTCATTGCCAAAGTGAAGCGCTGTTTCGGCAAGAAGCAGAACAAGGTCCACTTTGCAGTGTGCGCTGAGCTTGAGCCTGTGCTTGACGCACTTTTGCGGTGTATGGCAAAGGCAGGTGGCAAGATCAAACGGGGCACAGCCCCCCGATCTGGAAATGAGCGGGAGATGCAAGAGTTGGTTGACAAGTTGAGCAAGATCGTGGGCGAGGGAGTTTCACCAAATGGGGTTATGCAGTCTTGGCGGGGTGCAAGGCCCGTAGGCCGTAGACTGTCCGCAATCGGGCTGCGTGGCTCTTGCTTTCTCCGGTGGCGACGTGCCATCAGGTGTCGTCGTGCGTCCGGGGGCTTTCTAAGGTTCGTGGCAGACTAAGGTGCCACCTGCTCGGCCGTGACCAGTGACTTGTCAGAGCGCCGTTGTGAGTGAGTGAATGTGTGTGTGTGTGTGTACGTATTAGCTATATATATATATATATATATATGTACGTATTAGCCGCCAGACAAGTACCCCATTCATACGAAGTTGAGAATCGCAAGCCAGGGTATACCGGAAACAAGTAAGAGGCTCATAAGCACTGAGCCAAGCTAAGCAGGCCTGGCTATCTTTGTGCAAAGCAATTACACAGCGGTTACGAGAACTTGGCAAGGGGCAAGTCCGCCAGGCACTTTACTGGCTGGCCGGCGCACTCAATGGGATTCAAGGAGCGTTGTGTATCCAGGCAAGGTTTCAATCGTTGGGTAGAGGTACTGAAGCGGGGCACCCCAAACCGGGGCCCGGGGCCCTGGGAAGCGGGGCTGGCCCCATGTCTTCGCGTCGCGAGGCAGAGGGCGAGAAATGCAAATCCCAGCGCCTCGGAGTGCAAGACTTCGGCACCCTTCTTGGTGAGTTTCTGTTCTGCTGGAACGGAGGTCTTTGGGAGCTCAAAATAGAGCAGGGGATAAACATGACTTGCCGATGGTTCACTTGCAAAAGCCCAGCCATCCCGTTTTTTTTTTTTTAGTATTGCCACAAAACCACTAAAAGTTAAACTTTTCGCAGGGGATCTGAGGACACCCCATGTCAATTGAGGGTATTTTGTTTTCTTGCGTGGAAAGTAAGATGTTGGGTACGTTCGTGCTCGGAGCAAGCGAAGAAGAAGCTGCTTTCAAATTTGACTTCACACCTGCTAGTAAGGGTCCTTGCTAACCAGCATAGTGATTCCTATTGCGGGAACCATGACCACAGGCCATTTAAGGAGCATTGACCATGGCACACCTGCATTTTATGGGTATGTATATACAGGATGCTCTCCCTCACTCCAGAGCCAACTACAACCCAAAGGAACCGCCTTTTTCAAGAGGCCCCGAGGCCCCGCATGAAATGAGGAATGCCGACATGAAACAGCCTCACACCAAATCACCAAATACTTGCCAGGCTGGAAGCGGCTGGGTTCAACTTGGATGTTCCAGGAAGCGCATTTTGCGTACAAGGGGACCTGATAGAGCAGCCTTCGAGAATGCCCCCTGTATTGGGGTCTTAGTTGGGACCGGAGGGGCCTGAAGTGGGGCATACGATCCAAGGGCATACAGCTGCTGCTTTCGCTTTCGCTTGATTTGGTTTCGTCCCACAGGGCTGAATGTCACAAGTTCACTCCTGAGGCGTTGCTTTGAGTTGATCAGATGGGTCCCTGAACCTCGCTGAATCCACCCAGTGACCCTTCCAAACCGAGGTTGCAGCCGTTCCTGAAGAGCCTGCTGGCGGCGGATGACGAGAAGGAGCCGTGGCCAAATCTTAGTTTTGCAGACGGACCCTTTGACTCGAACTCGTTTCACCTAAAACAAAGGGAGCTTTAATTATTCCGAAGGCGGAGGCGGAACTCCTTCTTTCATCAAAGGGCCTGCCTGAAGCAAAAGCCATGGCCATCAACTGGATCGCTGCCGGCTTGCTTGGCTTGTTCGGTTGCTCCGTTGTCTTTGACAAGCATGCGCATGTGTGTGCGAGTCCGTGTGTTTGTGCGTCTGTGTGTCTCTGTGTCTGTGTGTGCATCTGCACATGTATATATATATATATATATACACAGAGGTGTTTGTCAGAGGCAGGGATGCCTTTTGGTTCTGCGTTCACAGGAACCTAACATCACATCAACCATTCCCCGAAAAATGGGAGACACCCATCACAGGAGGCTGCAGCACAGACCAAGATCGAGAAAGAGCACCTGCCGATCGCGCGCAATCTGCGTCTCGGCCGCCCATGGCCACTTGACCCAGGCGCCGAGCACAATTTGAGGCGACTCCGAAATGTGCTTCCGAAAATGGGCTCCCTGCCAGTGCTTGTTTTTCAAGACCGTAGTCCTCAGGACGCTTGTTCCCCACGGCTCCGAAGTGGGAACGCGGAGAAGTCAACCGTTTTTTTGCGCCCAAAAACCCGATGACTGGGCGTTGCCTGTGGGATTTGCTGGAGGCCTCTTTCTGATTCACTGTTTTACACCAATTCCAAGGGATCCCTTTCAAGTTTGGAGGTTCTCCGCCGTTGCACGGGAAGGGCCTGGTTTGTTGCTTCTCGCACCCCCGCTTCAAGGTAAGGCTTCCTTGTTGACCAAGTTGGGCACGCATCTGAGCAGCGAGCCATCGGTCCCAAAAGTTTGACCATGGCGCACATAGCTTCTCAGATTGCGCTGGGTTTTCAAGTTTGATGGGCAAGCCCATGGTCCCAATATTAGGATATACTCAGAGGGCTTTTTGTTTGCCTCCGCCGCCGCACAGCCCACCACCCACCACCCACCACCCGCCACCCTCCACCCTCCACCAGCCTCCTTCACCCACACCCGCGCCGGCCCGCCCGCCCACTCTCGCGCCCACGAGCACTCTCGTGCATCGTCGTCACCATCCAGGGTGTAGCACCAGTCCGCGCCGTTTTGGGCACGGCCAGCTAAGGACTGCAGTTCCTTTGATCGTGTTCCTGCTGGCCGCATCGCCCCTTGACTGAGCGCTGTCGCTGGACGGAGTGTCATTTGGGGAGAATGATCGGCACACCTCCCAGAGGAAGCAATCCCCACGAATTAGGGCGAAATGCGCAAAACAAATTTGTGTAATAAGATCGTCTGCTACGTGGGGTGTTCAATTCGTATTTGTCGGTGTTAGGTTGCCACTTTCTATTCTACCAAGGGAATTGGCAGCGCAGAGGGCATGAATTGCCGGCTGTTCTTTGGTTCGACTGGAAGATGACAGCCCTTTCCTGACTTGCCTTCTGGTACAGTTTCGACCACCAAATGAGAGACCGTGGTGCTCTGATGGGCCCATTTGGTATGAGGGAACTATGACGCCAGCCATGGGGAGGTCTCTAGCTTGCCAGATACCCTTACATGATTCTGGGAGTGGCGAGCATAGCGGATGCCATGCTCAGCTCACCCATTCAAGACTGTCGTCATCATGCTCGAACCCTCTGTGCCCTATGTTGAAATCTATTGTTTGCCAGAGGGGGAGCCGACTAGGATGATTTGAAAGTCACTTGAGCAACTGACGAAAGTCACTTGGTGGTCTACTGTTAGCTGGTGGAAATTCCCGGTTTCCTTCCTCACATTCCTGCATTTACTTCTTGGAGAACGAGCCTCCGGGCCAGCGGCAGCGAGGAGTTACGATGCGGCCTATGGACTTCAAAGGCGGGAGACGTCGCGTTCCGCGGGTCACAGAGCTGGGCTTTGATGCTTGCCCTCCTTTCAACCGCAAGCTGGACAGCCAAAATCAAAATACGCTTCGGACTCTTCAAACCATAGATGTGGCCGGCCGCCCAGTTGATTCTTCAAATGTATTGGGGTCGACTTGAATGCCAAATTTTGATTGCAACTTGAAGTTTATCCATCAACCATTAGTTTCAGCGACAATGGTCGCTGCTGCAACGTGGTGGTTTTGGCGGAAAAGCAGTTGAGAACCCCCCAGCCCTTCGCAGACGTCTTTTTCAAAGCAGCGGTGGTCCTTCCACGGCCACATGAGCTGCCCATTTGGAGCTTCGGACCAGCGCCCCGGCGTCATGCCGAGTCGCAACGCCTGGCTTAGATTGCTCCTGAAAAAGTTTACCATGCAAATTCTCAAGAGCAAAAGAGTCCCCAAAAAGGAGATTCTTCGACACATGTGATTGGGGTCCATGTTAACCTGGTGAGTGCCTTTTCGAGCTCTTGCTTTCTCTCCTAAGGCTCGAGATGCATCCCGATTGATTTTCCTTAGATGGGAATTGATTGACAGGGCCTGGCAAACTGAGGGTCACTTGGGTGTACCTGAAGCAAGCATTATTCATGCTTGGTGGTTGAAAGTTGGCTTGATGCGACCACGGGTGCTGTCGCAGGTCGAGCCGCATGCAGCTCTACCTGGATTACAGCTTTTTCGGGTATTGCTGCATGTGCATCATCTGCGCCTCAAGGTCCTGGATTTCGGCGGAGGTTCTCTACTACATGAGCCTTGGCCTCCGTTGGCGGAGCATCGCGCCAGCTCGGTGTGAGTAGAGGTCTTTTGAAGCTTCAAATATGGGTGTGTTCCTTTCTAGTTTTCCTTTCAAGCCACCAAAGAAGGGGGGGGTACGCTCCAAAAATACACACCCAAATGAAGGCGTGGACGCGGGTTTTCTCTCCAAAGGTTCTTGGTGAACGCCTGAAGCTCCTGCCGATTTTTTTTTGCGGCTTCCACGTTCGCCTTGCAACCAAAGCACGGGGTCCTCATTTTGACACTGATGTGCATCTCTTACGGGCGACCCCTTCACCCGTGGGGGTCCTCCGCCGCCAGGGAAGTTTTTGGCGGTGACACAAATCCGGTCAATTGTGAACTTCCTTCATGTGGGGGATTCCGGAAATCTGGTCTAAGGACAGCCATTTTTTGGGTCCCCCATTTCATGGATCTATAGAGGAGAACCCACTTGGAGGATCCAATTGCAGGGCGGCCTGCACCATCCCCTGCAAACTAGGGGGTTTTGAATGGATCTCATGTTGGAAACACATTTTGTGCAGCTTCCAGGCAGCAAGTAAAGGGTACCGCCCCCGATTGTTGTTTGGTTTTTGGCTTGATGGATACTTACACACAGGCAAATACGCTAGTACCATGATGTACCTCTCAGTTGACATAGATCTACACATATCTAGATCTCTTTCCCGCATGGCGGGCGGCGCTCAAGTTGTCACCACCGCCCCGCCGCCCCTCGTCATTGGAGTGTGGGCAAGCCAGGTTTTCGCCCCATTGAGACCGCTGCACATTTGCATCTTTAAATATTAAGTGTTCAGTGCCGCGACACACGCGCGCAGCCCACAGGAGATGTCCCATCAATCAACTTGTGCTTGTGTGTCGGCAACTACTACGATCTGCGCCTCGATAGGTCTACTATCTATGTAACTTCACGCGCATCCATACATAAATATGTATATATGTACCTGTGGTTTTTGCATGCAAGCACGTCTATGCTGTGATCTAAGGAGTGCCCTTGGCTCCATCCTGGGCGTTGCGCACACCTTTCTCTCAGAGCCGCCTTCCATCCTAATCACGCCGCTCGCCACAGCCAGAGAAGTGAGAACTCTTCCGAGTTTAAAGGAAACACCATTTTTGGGTTACCCTATTTTGACAGACGCGCACACACACGAACACACAGATGTGTGCCTTGGTTGTTTTGCGGGCGCCGCTGAATTGATTGCTATGGCCTCCAATAGTCGCACATGCTCACCAGTTGGCATCGCTCCAAGTTGCTCCAAGTCAGTGTAATGGCACCCCTCTCAGTTGGGCGACATTCCGGGGAACACGAGGGGAGCTGGTGGTGGTGGGGGGAGTCTTAAGCATGCCCAACTCCAATAAGGAGCATTTTTAGTTGAAAGCCATTATTGGAGTCAGGGGTCCCTGGACAAACATGTGCGGTTGCCAAGCATTGCTTGTTTGGTGATTCTGCAGTTTGAGAGGTGCAGGGTTCCATGAACGACACTTTTGCCAGCGGTTTGGACAGATTTTCACTACCTTATATGGGCATGTATGCTCTAAGTCTATAGTCAATGATTGACCATGTTCTGCTTTGGTGATTTGCACCATGTCTTCCCACCAAATAGGCTGTGCGCAGGTTCCTGACCTCTTAGAGAAGGACAGCTTCGGCCTTCCAGGATTCATGCGGCCCATGAAAGGCTTGCTTGGGGTTCAGGCGGGTGCAGTACTTGTTGGTCTTTTGAACCTGTCCCACAAAGGACAACTGAGTGAAAGAGAAAGAACCACATCGACCATACGTGGGTCCACAAGAAAAAGACACCCACCCAGGAATGGCCGGAACCCACGCATGCGAGGCCTTGAAAGGATCTCGCAGGTGAGCGCGTGCTCATTTGTTATGTATACTTACTTGTCCAAATCCCAACGATCAATCTCTTGACCTTTTTCCTAGTTGGCTCTGTGTACATAGGCGCACAACGCGCATGTACGTTCCTGGGCTCTCAAACGCTGAAACTTGTGTGGTTCCGAACCACGACTAAACAAACATAGGAAAATAGATGGCCCTGGTAAACAAGACAAAGTGTTCCCAGCAGGACGACCAAGTAGCTTCCCACAACACCAGGGGCCCAATCCAGGTTGCGTTTTTTGTTTTCAACGCAGATCGGGGGGGATTCCAGGACGCCCCAAAGCATTTCCATATGGACTCCTTCGTGTGATGTTTGGGCATCTTCCAACCAGAGGTGTCCTTTTGAGGTTGGATTGATTTGAAATAGGCTCCACTGGTTTAGATGGGTTTTATTGCATTCACCAGGGCCATGTATTCTACCAAAAGCACACCTATGTCCCCAACACAGGCACGAGGCACAGCCAGGAGCCTGTTTCAACCGGACACCGGATTCAATTGACATCAGGGATCTCGAGCTTGTGTTGGCGGTCCCCTGGCGGTTTAATTTGACCCATACCCGCATATCCATACATATTTTCCAGGTTCTACTCCCCGGATCGACCTGGATTGACGTTTTGTTTTGCATAAGCCTTTAATTGGGTTTGGCAATGGGTTTGGGGACGCCCATCAGTTTCTAGCCACCAACCAAAAGGACAAGCCCTCTTTGCCCCATGGGTTTGGGGCCGCGGTTTGAGTCTGAGCTGAGGGCGCCGCTGAAACAAATGCTCACCCTCTCCTCTGCCTCGATCCTGTTGGACGGCAGCGCCTGGGCAGAGTTTGCTCATGAAAACAAAGCGTTTGTCATGTATTTTGTACCTGTTTGGAGCCTCCAACATCGGCAGTTTCAATGGAAAAGCACGGGGCGTTTAGAGGCAATGACTATATGGTTGCTTTTCTCTTACAAGTGTCTATGCAGGTATTTCGCTAATATCATGTTCATTCTTTGTTCCGTTGTCGGCCGCGATTCTTCTCGGTTGCGCATCGTCTATCTGATGTCGTTGCATTTGCCCAACTAGGCAGACTCATTCATCAATCCCTCATGCTTTCAGGACCAACAAATGCCCTCTCGGGCTTGCCTTTTGATGCCCTTCTTCCCGGAAAATAAACACATGAATCCCGCGAAATGGTTGTCGTCCCTCGCGGACTGTGCCCGGAGGGCGTACCCTGCGGAGGTTGATGCGTTTCATGGGTTTCTCATTGCAACAAGTGGGTGTGACGTGTTTTGCGGGGTGGTTTTGAATGGAAAGATGGAAAGCAAAAGGAAAACCACTGGTTCGGGACGTTCCCACCCCCCACCTCTCCCCCTCACACATTTTTCTGGAATCACCAGGGAAAGCCGCCTTTTTTGGGGGGCCGTTCCGTTCAAATAAGAGACGACCATTCCATCTCAAGATGACCATTCCATCTCAAAAACGTGGGGGGCGTTCGTTCTGAGGCCTGGCGATCTTCTCCAGCCTGGTGTCCAACGTCGCGGACATCGCCCAGCTGCTGCAGCCCTTGGGCTCCCGATTTGGTTTCGATGTCGTTGGGTTTTTCCCCGAGTTGGGGAGGACGTGGTCGGGTGTCGAGTTTTGGGGTATCGAGTTCGTGTATTTTGGTTTCGTTGGTTTCGATGTTGGTTTCGTTTTTTTTTTTTCTTTTTGGGTTGGTGTTCAGGGGAATCACAAGGAACACCATCCAAAACGGCGGGGAGGCTAGCCTAAAATTTGCTGGTTCGCAGGGAACGAGAAATGGAATGACCCCAATGGCCACTTTGATCGTGCGTCCTTTAAAAATGCACACCCTCAACTTGGGGGTTCTCATCCGGCCATCCGGTTCCGTAGAAGTTTTGGTTGGTGAAAGGTGGTAGAGTTCATCTAACTCACTAAAAGTTGAGCATTTTTTCCGGGGATCTGAAAACGGACAGCCCAGTGCGGCATCGCCTTCCTTTGGTGCTCAAAACCGATTCGGGTTGAAGGTTAAGGGACATCCCCAACCAGAGATGGGTGCCTTCGCCGCCTGAACTGTTTACATGGTTTTGGGATCACCAGTTTGGTACCAGGCTTTGATCATGACTCACTCCATGAGTTCCGTTTCAGGCTTTAGTCACTCTTGGAAATGGTTTGGATCATTTTAGCAAGCACACATCTTGGTTACTTTTCGGGCAAATCGGAAGTGAGAACATTATTGTTTGTTCTGTGTTCATTGGTTCTCACCCCATTTTTCGACGCAACTCCATGGCACACAGGGAAATGCAAAAGGAGACAGCGTACTCCCCAGTTGTTTTCGTTTTCACCTGGACCGTTGTCAACTGGGCCCCCGTGCCGCCCTTCCTTTTCTTGGGCTCCAAGTCATGCAGGAATTGGGGCGATGCCCCCGATGGCCCCTTTCCCGTACAGAATCCCTACGAACATCATGTCCCCACGTGTCTCACAAGGATGGACATGTCTTTAGGCCACAAACCAAACCAACCGCAAACCAACCACAAACTCTGGGAATCCGCTTGCCATCCTTGAGGCCCAAAACCACCGGAGCCGTCGGCTTAGGTTCGAGTGCCAGCGCGGGCTCCTGCCCGGCATGGTGATGACGGAGCTGGGCGCCGGCGGCCGCGTTAAGATTCGGACAACCAGCCCGCAACTTGAGGTGGCTCTTGCTCTCTTAAAGTCCTGCGCCGCTTGTGGCTTTCGAAACATCCAGTGCAGGATTCCGGGCAACACTGTTGGCTGGGGACACGTATTCCTGTCTCCATCGCGTTTTCAAGGCTGCAATTGGTCGCGAGGAACACGGCCACATTGAGTGTAGGATCTTGGACCACCTCAGGTCAAGGAGATTATTGAAGCTTGCAGAGCACAACTGGGGCAAGCGAATACTAAGGGTGCCGAGACGAACCATTTCTTGTCCTTAGCGCTTTCGGCGGTTCAAACAATGTCTTACACATCCAGCCAACTGCCAGAAACAATGACGCTTCTGTCGGCAGTAGACGGGACACTGTTGACAAACATCGGAATCCAGCATGAAAGACGTGGAGAAACCAACCTCACACTCTAATCTCCCTTTGTTTGCTTGTTCCGTAGGCCTACCACATGGGTGTTTTTGGATGCGTAAGGGATCGGCACACTGATGACCTCGTCTTTTCCCAGATGATGCTGGCCAGCGGGTTTCCACCTTTGCTGCGTTTCTCCTCCCGCTCAATCAATGGGAACTGTGAGAAGACGCACGAAACAATCCCAACAGTGAGGCCCTGTGGGTTCACCATCCCTTCTTGAGAAGTGCACGAGTCCAGTTGGGGTGACTTGACTGCAACGGTGTCGAGTGGACCTTGGGGACAATGCCCGAACTTATACAAACACCCACTGGACCAGTATTGGCCAGACCCAGCGTTAAAGGCAACGAGGCTGTTGCAACATGATACATGTCAACATGTCACCTTGGATTGCCCCCCGCCCCCGACCTCCCCCCTCCGCGGGTGAGGTGTGACTTTCATGGCGGTGATCCCCATCGTCTTGCTCAAGGAGTGCCTCCTCAAGGAGCCGGAGCCCTCCACGGCGCGAGGCCCAAGAGCGAGGTGTTTGGATCAGACAGTTCCCGGGTGTGTCGTTTCTTTTTGTTGTTGAGGGTGCCTGTTTTGGGGTTGGTTGAAGGGGCAACCGAAAGGAAAGCCACCTATTTTGGGGTTCCCTTTGGTAAGACCGGCTGACATGTTGCTTGTTAGTTGGCCGACCGCTTTCCGCGCGTCTTGGGGAATGGGTTGGTATGTTAAAGGGAAGGCAAAGACAACCAAAAGATTTGGAGGGCAACCTATTCTTGAAGAATTCGCAGCGACATCAACCACCAACTAGTCTTACCATCGTCAGCTGACTCCAGACAGTACGTGGGGCTTTGAACATGGGAACAAGCAGTCGTTTGGGGGGTGTTGGTAGTCTATGCTTGGGGAGCAGAACGAGAGAGTTTGCGACAAAGAATGGCAGGCCCACAGAGCTGAGCGCGAGCAATTAAACATCGCCTGGTCTACGAGCAGGTCTTTCCATATACCAAGGTGCCATTTTTGGGGTTCCGTTTTCGAGCAGCCAGGTTTTGCATTTTGTTGTACTCTTGTAAAGGCTACGAGTTTTCAGGTAAAGGCTACCCCGCCCGGGAAAAGTATACGTATATATATATATATATATGTCATATATCCCTCAAATTAAACCCCGCCCGGGAAAAGTATATATATATATATGGTATATATGTCATATATCCCTCAAATTGCCAAACAAAGGGACGATCCGAGGGAAAACACATAAAACCACTGTTCCTTTAGTAGCCGATAGGAGAGCTCGGCGCAGGCTTAGGGCGCGGCGCGACCAAAGACAGCCTGGCTGATTGCTCGTTTGCAGCGTTCTAGCTCCTTCGCAAAGCCAAGAAGGAGGAACAAGAACTCGCTGAAAGTTGGGCATACCAGGTGTTGATTGTGGTTCACTTGACCTTTGTTTTGACTTTCCTGGCTCCCCTTTCGCTCTTGTTTCGCCTTAGCTAGCTGTTCTTGCTAGTTCTAATCATTCACTGGTTTTCTCTACTCAGTTGTTCAAAGCCAACCTTTTCACCTTTTGATTATTTTGGTCCATTTTTAGTAGAGGTCCCAACAGGTGAACGTTTCTATTTTTCCAGCGCTCGGCGAGTGGGTCCGTCCCCGCTTTTCTCGGTCCCTCGCTCTGAGGACGGCGAGGTGCAGCTCTTCTTCCACGAGCACTCGGCGGCGCGGAGAATGCTGGCGGTGCTCTGTGACGCCCAGGCCGTGGGCGTTTGCGCCGATTCGACGCTCCAAGAAGCCGTTCCTGGATCCTTTGAGAAAGGAACGCCTGGTTTTTTGTTTCTTCTTTTTTTTTTGGCGGCCCAGGATTTATTCCATTCTGCGGGGGAGTCGACGCTTGGTTTAGATGGCAGTCATTTCGCTTCGTTGGTATTGAAAGGGACGCCAACGCAAAGCAGCAAGCACATTTTGGGGCGCCTTTTCTTTGGAAGCACCGACCAGCTGGCCAGGCCCAGTGACATCCATTTGCTTCAGTTTTTTCAGGTACTTTTTCCTGATGCAATGAAAGATCAGACGCGGGCGTCCGTTTTTCAAATGACCTTAATGAATTGAGCTCAACTTGCAGGTATGCTCTTTTTCGTCGAGTATGAGTTTCTCGCGAATTAGCGGAAATTGTGCGCTGGGGACCCCTTTTTGCGAGTAACCCTAAGGGTGGTTCTTGTTTTGGTTAGAACTTTTTGGAAAGCTCGCTCCAAGCCCAGTGACAGAGAGCCTGAAGCTGAAAATAAAGGGAGAGAGGGGCGGGTGTTCTCCAAGTTGCTTTTGCGGGACGTGAGCAAAGATGTGGACTTGGCTGGCTCATGCTTTGGCCGAGTGAAATTCGAGACCTCGGAAGTTTACATGTTGGTGGGGAGCATTCCGAGAATCGCAGTGGAGCAAAGATGTGGAGCATACCCTTCCCCTTCTGTGATACAGGACTGCCAAATGACCAATGCCCAAAACCCAAAGAGAGGTTTCCGACATAGAAGCGGCAGTAGCCAAGCCCTGATCCCAATGCCTTTCTGACCCTCCCGAAGCCTAGGGCGACGAAGTAAAAAGATGCACTGGGTGAGTCGGCTCCCTTCTTGGCCCTTTTTTCGGGTTGGTGAAGTGCATTGTGCTCTCAGAGCAAATGCCCCCTCACATGTATCATTTTTTTCTTTTTTGGAAGGCTCGTGAGCGGCTGGATTGGAGTTGTTGGCTGGTGTCGGCATGCAGATGCCGTTGTCAGGTGTACTTGGACCAAGATCTGAGCATCATCTCCCACTGCAAAGGCCGTTTTTGGTCATTGGGAGGGAGAGTGGGGGGCAGTTGGGTCTACTGGCAAAGCACGCTCCCTCATTTGATGGAAGATTTTCCAACAAAGGGGGAGGGGGTGGGCCATACAACTGGTCAGTGTTCTTTGGGCTTCCCTGTGAACACTATGCGAGCAAACATAGCTTTCCGTTTTTCTCATGCGCTCAGATGTTTCGCAAGGCAGGAACCTGCTCCTGGCTTTTAAGTTCTTCCTTTCAAAGACCTTCTGCGTGCATCTCTTGCAGTGTTTGTCGGATATTCAGGGTAGGGCGCTTCAACATGCCTCAACTAAGTTTCAAGTACCGTCCTCTCCACTAACAAGGAATCCACCACAGGCTGCCTTTAGAGGAAAATATACTTTTTCGGTGAAAAGTGTCTTGTTTTTCATGGAACCGACGGAAAGTCCACGTGGCTGACACATTTGCGAAGGTGCGTTGACCTCGAGACTTTGTCATTCAATCCACGATGAAGTGACCAGCGGCTAGCGCCTGATTAATCAGAGGCCAGATGACGGCTCTCTCAGTTTTTGCGATTTTGGGCGCAGTTCAAGCATGAAATGCCCCTTGGCCTTCACTATGGCCGAAATTCCGGGTTATGGATTGGGTATACCAAGCAAAGTCACCAGTTATTCCCTGCTTGGTTTGGACGATAAACATTGGGTTTCTAGGGTAGCGGTTCTCCCTGACATGGTGCGACATCTGGGCGGGAAACGTTTAGGATACACCACCAACCACAACTAGGTCGGGCAGTCACCCACTTGTGGTTTGGGCCATTTTTGTTCTAGTGGGCAACCAAAGAAGCTGCTGTTGTGGTTTGGGCCCCCACTATTTTCTCAGTGGGAGCCCGGGCTAGTAAACAGGACGACCCAGCCCAGTGGGTTTTAGCCCTGTTCCCTTCTCAACTGCTCAGCAATACGCAGGGAATCCCCTTTGCGAATCGCCCTTGTCTGAAAGGCACCCTCATTTTTGACCGCCGCGTGTCTTGTTTGATACCTTTGGTTGGCGGAACGCGCGTCGGATTGCAGGTCTGGCGCAGCTCCTGATGAGCAACAGCTCCAGCAAGGCGCTCGAAGGCAGGTGATCGCTCCGTCTGGAAAGCGGAAAGCCAACGTCCACTTAAGGGCGGGTGGGTACCGACTGAGTCCCTTGAAAGGGGAGGACTCTTTTGGGGCAGGTTTTGCGAGGGAAAAACCGAGGTTTTCAGCGGACAGCCCACGTGCCCTTTCCTTGAAGGATGCAACAAACAAGGACCTGACGTCCCTTTGAGGGACTTGGGCTCGGGTCCAGGCACGTTCTCGGAGGCCATACACCCAAACTTCAGGGTGCAAATTGTAAGACCAGTGTGCCTAAGGGAAGCCTGGAAAAGTGGGTCTCATCAAGCCGGGATGGGGAAGCGAAATTTTGGGGGTACACCACACGACTGCCTGAGGAAGGCAGCTTTTCCCGTGGTTGCCTTATTCCCATTCAGTGGATTTCATCATGGCCCTTTGTTGTAGGCTTTTCAGCTTTCGGGGTTTCGGATCTTCTGGCAAAGTTTACATGTGCAAATCCATGTACCCATTTGAGTGTCTCTTTTTTGACCCTTTTCCGGATTATTTTAAGAGACACTCAAAGGGAACCCATTTGATCAAAAGAACATCAGACCGTGTTTCCGAGCCATTTCCCTTTTAACCTCCAACAAAAAGGCGATGGCTTCAAGGGAAACCACCCCGTAACTTGATCAACCTTTGAAGAGAGGGGAGCCGTTGCAGGGCCTTCAAGATTGTTCCAACACATGCTGAGTAAGACTCTGTCTTCGTGTTCACCAAAATCACACCTGCAGCATTCCCCCCAAAAAGCAACACCCAGCACGGGGCTTGGGTAAATCCAGGCCGCCCCTGTCAGAAAATTCGCCGCGGAGACCGAAACTTCGCCTCGCGCAGGCCGGACCTTCCAGGATTTCCTGGCACCCCGGGACAAGCCCCGCTTCAAGACCTTTGTGGAGTCGGCGGTGAAGGCGCGGCACGGCAGGGGGAGTCGGGTCAACGCGTTTCCAGGAGTCGCAAATCATCCGTAAATATGTATTCTTTCTGGTTTGGTCTGGGGGTCAGTGGGGAAGTTATTGATCAGTTTGTTTCCTTTTTTTTTTTTTTGGGGGGGCGGCGGCGGGGGTTTTGTTTTCTTCCTGGTGGTTTTAAATGACACCGACAGGAAACCCACCATTTTGGTGGGGTCCCCGAAAACAAAGGACACAGTCATGTTCAGTTGTTAGTTAAGCCTCAATTGGTGGGTTGGATTGGTTGGGGATTTGAACCCCTGGTCTTGTTGACGCCCTAACTTCCATCACCTAGGGGGAAGCTGAAGTGGTACTAACAGGTTAACTGGACCTCTTTGTGGTGGTTCCTTCTGAGTTCAATTGGTCGTTTCAAGTGGGAAAGGACATGAAAGGAGGTTCAAAGCCACTAAAGAAGTAGACGAGCACCTTCGCAACTTCGCGGTTTTTCTAGAGCAGCTGGAAGCTCATTCCGTCCGACAATTGAATGTATGGAAGGGTGCGGGGACGCGTGTACCGGGCCCCAAAAGGACGATTCCTTTCCTATGTGGCTTAAAATTCCACCCTGTTCAACCGGTCGATGCTCGTTTTCCAAGCCGGAAGGTCTTCCTGGCCGAGGAGGAGCGTTGCCTGTGGTCCCAGCCAGGGCAAGGGCAGATTTCTCAGGGACGAGACCATGACGTCATTGGAAGCAGAGGAGTTGGGACGAGAAGGTGAAGTGGAGGTTGATCAACATTTGCTTCGGCCCCAAAAAGACCATTATTCACATGTGGTGAAAGTCATTTTTTGTGATTTGCCTGATTGTCATCCTGGGTTCATCGGTCCTTTGGACCACCCCAGTGGATGGTTTCCTTTCGATTTCCCTTCAAGCAAAAGGGATCCCTATCGAAAGGAGCACCAAAGTCGGGAAGTTGAGCCGCCTTCTCGTCAACCTTCACTTGATTCTACTGTCATCCCCTCTCGTGCTGACTGGAGGTCATTTGGGTAGGAGCTAGGGGAGGTAACTCCTTACAAGAGAGGGTGGACTAGAGACAAAATATGGGGCAGGCATCACTGCTGCAGTCGTCTCAAGTCATTGGTAGTGTGTGGTCTTGAAAGCGACGAGATGAGAGATGCAAGTGAAGTCTTTGTAGTCCTGTCCGCTCATGCCTGCCATTGGTCAAAACACTTTCTCTTTTGACTCGCTGAACCATCCCAATCATACCTCTCATCAAGCTTCAACGAGGCTTCCCCTGGTTCAAAAGCCTTATGGCGTGTCCTCACACGGTTCCTTTTTTGTGGTTTTAGCGGGAAGCCAAACATTTTGGGGGGCGTCCCTAAAAAAGACACGCGCCGGGTGTCGCAAGTCGCTGGACGAATGGCACGGTCAACACCGGGGCCGAAAATGCGAACTGAGCCCGTAACCATCCTGCCCCATTTACGGTGTTGCTGTTGGTTTTCGCTTACAACCACCCCCCACCCCCCACCATACCTATATATATATATATATATATGTATATATATGGTGGTTTTTCCCTGTTCCCCCTTTTCACTAAAGCCACGGGCAGCTCCCCTTCAGCCGCTCGAGGCTGTGAGCCTGAGCGGCTGGCCTCGAGCTCCTGGAAGCATAAGCCAGGGGCTCCCAGCGCCGGGGGGTTCGACTCCCTCGAGTCGCAGAAATCCTCTGCGTTTTTTTTTGCTGTTGGCTTCCCTTTAAAACCCAAGAAGCAAACCAGCTGTGCAGTCAAAAGAAGGGAAGTCAAAAGGGACACCACAAGTTGTTTAGCAGGTTCTCCGGAGGGTCATCCACCTGGTGAGGATCTTTAATCATTGCAAGGGTTTCTGTGAAGAGAACAATGGCCATCGGCCGTAATAAGGAGTTTTGACCATGGCACATATAGCCACTTCAGCTTTTGCGTTCCATTTTTTGTTGGAATTTCCCCTTCTTGCTTTTCGACAAGCCAGAAAGGGGACATGACGAGAGCCCCAAGATTCAGGCGGAGGTGCGCATCCCAAGCATCGCCAGCATCATTCGGGGCTGTTGCGGTCCACGCAAGCAGCGATGCTGGTGATGCTGACTGCCTCTCTACCTACTTAAAAGGCATGCCAGCTAAATCCAGGAACTCCCAGAAATTGCATTCTTGGTTGCTTTGGTAGAAGTAGATGGGCCTGGTTGACTTGGTTGTTTCATAACCTACAAGGGCACTCTATGTTGGTCAAAAGGACTCTCCCTACTTCTGGCTGAGCTGTGGCTCCGAAAACTCTTGGCAACGTCTATATGGTCGCAGTCGATTGATCAGTGCTGCACATCCATCCTTGTCAGTCTTTGGAAGAGTTCTAGTTTCGGACATAAAGCAGGCTTGCGATTTTGGGGCAACATCAAGATTGTTGCCAAACTGGATAGAGTGCCCACCCTTCGACGTGATGATGGATTCCCTCACCATGCCAACCCCTTCGTGCCCAAGGCATTTGGCCAAAGTTTTTTCGGGGTTGGGGATGCGGTTCCGAATCAAGGGAAGCGATGTAGAGAGGTTTTCCGACTTAAGGGTACTTGGATATTCGCCCACTTGCAAGTTCCCCGTTCAGTGGGGGTTGCCTTGTTGGGGGGTATGCCGCAAGTGGCTGATCACTTACTAACTTGGCAACGAACATCCAGGTAGGGACAGAGTCCCTGTCCCAAATTTCGTGGCACAGCGCGCGCAGGTCTTCCACACCTACCTCGCTACAAGTGCATGTCATAGACAGCCGGGGGTCCGAACTGGCGCATGGGCGAATGGCCAGTGGGAAGTCTAAGTTCATAGGTGAGCCACAATCAACACCCGGATAGATGAAGGTTAGTAAGGCACAGTCCCAGCCAGAAGCAGACCCTCAAGGGGGCAATGGGGAGGCCGAGACCAAAACCGGAGTATTTGGGATGTGCGTGCGTGTGCGTGTGTGCGTGGGTGAGAGGGTGGGTGTTTGCGTGCGTGCGGCGCGTGCGCGCGTGCATGTGTGCGCGCGTGCATGTGTGCGTGCGTGCGTGCGTGCGTGCGTGCGTGCGTGCGTGCGTGCGTGCGTGCGCGCGTAGGTGGGTTGGGTGGTTGGGTGGTTGGGTGGTTGGGTGGTTGGGTGGTTGGGTGGTTGGGTGGTTGGGTGGTTGGGTGGTTGGGTGGTTGGGTGGTTGGGTGGTTGGGTGGTTGGGTGGTTGGGTGGTTGGGTGGTTGGTGGGTGGGAGGGTGGGAGGGTGGTTGGGTGTGTGTGTGTGTGTGTCAGTGTGTGTGTGTGTGTGTGTGTGTGTGTGTTCGGGGCTCCCCAAAGCGGATGTGTGAGAAGCGTGGATTCATAGAGGGTGGCCCCCCGTGCAAAATACAGGTGAAGGTTCTCTCGTGGCACCCTTGTTCATACCCTTGGGGGTCTTAGTCCTGGGTACTGCATTTTGGGTCCGGAGTCAAGCTGAAGGAAACAAGGCGTTCAACTTTTCAGATGTGGCGCGCTACTGGCACTTTTGCAACACTTTGAAACGGGTTGGAAGCATCCCCGGCTCTCCCAGCATGCAAGCACCCCTCTCTCCGACCTTCTGGTGAGAAACACATGGCATTGCAAGTCTCAACCAAAATCAGCATGGCAGTTCTGCCGGCAACCCCGGGAAGAAACCAGCAACTGGATGAAGACCTCCAACCAATTTTGAGGCAACCAACCACCTGAGCCTTTTTAGGCGGTGTTTTTTTGCCAGCACCTGGATGTCTCACCAACCAATGAGAACCCAAATCCCCAACCGCCTCCAATTCCAGCCACTTGGGGCTGATCTCTCGAGCGCTCGGAGCGAGTCGTTAGGCCATGGCCTGCTGGTGGCCGTGGAGCTCTTCCACATCTGCGTGCCAGGCCGACCGCCAGCGCTGTTTGGGCGGTTGTTGGGAGGGTTTCGGGAGGAGTATGGGAGGCTCACGAAAAGGGGAATTTTTCCACAGTTTTTGAGATGGCGAAACAGAGGGGGGGGGAGTTGCGAGCCCAGTGACAGCTCAAATACTCCAAAACGAGTACATTGTTGGCAAGAGGAGCCACGGTCTGGTGTCTTTGGTCGGTATTTGGAGTTTTTCCAGCGGAGAACTCGTCATACGCCGGCCGCTCCTTGTCTCCGACCCGATGATCCGGCGAGGCCCCAACGGCGGGCGCGGGCACTTCATCGGCATCTCCGAGGCCAGGATTCGGGGGGAGTGGCATGGGGACTGGCACCGTTTTTGAGAAGCAGACGCTCCCCGGAAGGCGGAGGTGCTTTTGTTTTTCGTGTGTTTTTGCTTTGTCCCTTTCCAGTTTCAGCTTGTGGTCGTTTGTTTCTTTGTGCTGTTTGTCCCCGACAAACATGAGGCGCTGTTTGGCAATGTTTCAAGCATTCGATGAACCTTGAAGGCTTGCAGTTCCACAACAGGGAACCCGAGACCTCCCTATATTTTTTCTTTCGCTGTGTCATGGTTTGGAAAACAAGCTGGGGGTCAAAGCAGGGACTTCAAAGGCTGTTCAGCTTTTGGAGTTGTAGGAGGGGTAAGGCATCCAAAAACGGGCCCAGATCCTGGCCGAAGCCGGTTTCGTGAGCTGCCTTGGAGTGGTTTTGGTCTGCGAGCTCTATACGTGGTTAACCCGCCACAGATAACAATCTGGGTGTGTCGTTTTTTGATGGTACCCCTTTTTGGGAGGGTTTTAAAGGGAAACCAAAAGGGCATTAACCACTTTCGGGGCACCCCTATTTTCAGACAAACCCATCTGGACATGCAAGGAGCCTTCACCTTTTCCTTGTGGTTTGGAATGGTTTGGAGGTTTCGGCAATCTAGCACTCCCCTCAAACATGGCTGGCTAGCTTTGGGGCTCCTTGAGCATCGAAATGGGGGAGGGTTCCTCCTGTTCAGACACTCCCATGTCCCCGTTTATCCATGGATTTGTCGGGGCCGCCATTCAAGAGGCTCGCAAGAGGAGGAGGTACCCCGGTAGGTACCGGGAGGGAAGGTACAAAAGGAGACGCGTCGCACCGTCCTTGTGCATTTGACTTAGAGACGAAACCGGAGTCAAGGCCCCCAAATCATGGGACACGAGATGCTTCCCCATGCGAGATGCTTCAGGCCGAGAACGCCATGTCCCAGGCCTCACAGTCGGACAGCGGCTCTGGGCCAGGCCCTCGGACCTGGCGAGTTTCCGAAGACCTCGCCGCGTCCTCGAAGCCAAAAGATGCGCGACATCGTGTTTTTTTCTTCTTCTGAAAAAAAAAACGTGGAAGGCCAAAGATGAGTTGTCAATGGACCACCGAGTCTCCAATTTTGGGAGATGCAAAAAACAAATGGTAGCGGTTTCCGGTTGGTTTGAATAGAATCAACAGAACAGGGACCCAACAAAACAGACACCCTTCACAGGGATTGCAACTAAGTTTCAAGGGAAGGCCGCTTGCTCAAAGCCCGGGCAAATGAAGGTTTGTAAGGGATAATCCCGGCAAAAATGGGTGTGGCCGCCTTGCTAATTCTTCGCATGGTTCTGGGAACACCATTTTAATACCAGGTTTTGACTATGGCTCATTCAAAAGATAAGAGAAAGCAAAGCCGGGCTCGCTGGCAATGTTTCGTGCCTGGCAATCCTGGTGAGGGTTCCACGGTCCGTCTTCGGATGGGTAGACAGAAGCTAAAGTCTGTACGCCCGAATTTGGACGCCATGCCCTGATCTGTGGGTTTCCACTTTGGCCCATTTTTAGTCATGGCCCCAAAAGGTTAACCTTGTATTCGTGGCTGCTGAGGTACCCCTGTTTTGGGGAACACCCCGCTTTCTTGATCATTGATTATGGATCAGCCACCAACATGGGGCACAGAATGGGCATGGGTTTGTGTGTGGCTCCGTATTTTCAGCTTTTCCCGCTTTGAATCAGGTCTTGGTCTCTCATTGATGCTCATAGGTGCCCTTGAATAGCTGTCACCGCTGACCTTTGTGCACCTGGGAACGACAAGCTGCATGGTTTCATTCGCAGCAGTATACTCCTTAATGTCGTTTTGCGCATAGCGAGTGATATGAATTATGTCTTTAGGCAGTTTGAAGACCTGCATGGTGATTGCCTGTCCATAGATCGTTTGATTAGGGTCGGGAGAGTTGGGCATTTGCTTTGGCTACGTCGTTTAGAAGAAGGACAGAACCGTGTGGATTTGTACCCCGTTGCTTTAGGATGTTTCCGCAACAAGTGAAATGGGTTGCACCCCCTTGCCACAAGGCTGGTTTGGGTGTGTCTGTTTAAGGGACCCCAGGGACCTTGCCCTGACATGTTGGATTCCAGCTTCATCTTTCAAAAACATCTAATTGTTCCGACTCTTTCAACTATACCGATTTGTTTTCCGACCAGGGTGGGCTCCCCTTCGTGGATGCCAAGTCATTATGTGACTTCCCTTTAAAACCACAAAAACGACGTTACCGACTCAAAAAAGAAGGGACATACCCATGTCCCATGCCGGCTTGCTCAAGGCAGTCAAGGAGCCTGCCGGCCCACCACCACTACTGCTCCGAGAACGCGCTGCAGGACCAAAGCTCCCAATCGGTCCCAAAATGCCCCTGGGTCAACACCAGTGGGATCACATTTTGGTTGGGATTGGTGAATTCACCCCCCATTTTAGAACCGATTTTAGAACCGATTTTAGTGGTTGGATTGGGATGTTCACTGGGGGTACGATTTGGGTTTTGACCCAGAGCCAAATGGCCTCGGTTTTCCTTCAAAACCACTGGAAAAAAGGTTGGTGGCCTCGAAAGACATACCCATTTCAGCGGATGGGATGATTCACTCGTTTGTGCGGGACACTTGTTTGGTAGGCCATGAACATCCAACTGGCAGAGGTCCATTGAGTTTGACACACAATCGGTTGTGCGGCAAGACGAGAGTGCATCTCTCCACATTGTAGTTTCACTGCCACTCAGCAGGTGTACCGGGGTAGAGGCCTTTAAATTGGACCATGCTGAACCGAGAACCGCTTACCGTGGATGAACACATGCTGCAAGTAGGGGAACAAGAGAACTCTGATTTTCTGTCACCGGGGTTTTGTGCTCAGCTGTCTTTGTCGCGGTCTATTTTAATTTCTTGGCTTTCCCGAGTTCGTTTCTGCGGCTTCCTTAGCATGCCATACTTCAGCTTCCCTCATTGTTTGGTGATTGGTTTGGTGGTAAAGGAGAGGTCACCCTCTACAAGAACCAGTCGTTCAGATCCCAAACCAATTCCAACTTGCTGGTGCGAGAGAGGCGGGGAATGAGAAATGGAATGACCCCAAGATACACCATCCCACTGGTGGTTTCCTTTAAGGGGACCAAAGCCTGGGTTCATTCAACCACATTCCCTACTTGTCAAACCAGCAAGCCAATCCAAACCTTTTTTTGTTGGGGGGGTATTTGACTACTTCTTAAGGCGGAATAGTTCAAAAGCCCAAAAAGCCGTCAGGAGATCTTCGCCTTCAAGCCCCAGCACGTGTACCAGGAGGCCGGATTTTTGTGGGTCAAAATGAGAAAAGAAGTGCGACGTGGGTTGGTTGGGCAACAAAGAATAGGGAAGGCCACAGAGTTGACAATGCACAACCCAGTCTCCATTTTGGGGAGATGCAACCCAAACATAGCAACGGTTTCCGTTTGGCGAGAAAATAACAAAGCAGACACCCTCCGTCAACAGGGTTGGCAACTAAGCTTCAAGGGAAAGCCAATTCGGCCACAATCAAAAACCGGGTAGATGAAGGTTGGTAAGGGACGGTCCCAAACATAAAATGGGTGCAGCCACCTTTTGAAGTCTGTATGCGGTTCTGGGTATACCGTTCGCATACCAGGTTTAGTTATGGCTCAATTGGACCACTCGGTTCGGCGGTTTGACAGTGGCTTTGTGGGTGATCTACCCCATTTCAATCTGGCTTTGGTTGGAGCCCTTTGTTTTGGTCGGCGGTCGCATCAAATTCGGATCTGCTGTGACCGTTTTGCCCAACTGAAAGCTGTGGGGTCGATCAATTGTGACCGGCCATCCTGGGCTTAGGAAATGAGATGAGTCGAATTGTGACCATGAGGACATGGCTGGTAAATGGAAACATGGACATTGAAAACCTGCAGTCCAATTCCTGGTGGTTTCATTTTGACCATACCAAAATTTGTAGGGTTTTTAGATCCCCCGCGAAAAGCCAAACTTTTCGTGGGTTAGATGAAAACCCAACCACTAAACCAACTAAAAAGCTAAGAAGCTAAGGAACCGGATGGAATGGCTCACCACCCATTTTAGTCTATTTCAGCGGGGATTGGGATGTTCACCGGGGGGACGGATTTTTGACCCATGGCCAATTCGATGAGGATGGGCCGGTGTCCCTTTGGCTTCTTTTTGTCGCCCATGGCTCCGAGGCCATGCCCCGCAGCGAGTCCTCGCGCCAGGATGGAGGCACGGTTTAAACTTTTCGGCCGGGCGGCCAGGTTGCTCGCTGCAGTGGGGGGGGGCTTTCGAGTAGTTGATTTTTGCTTTGAATGGGTGTGTGTCGTCTTTTTGAGTGACCCCCAAAATCAAAAAGGGTGGTTTTCGCTTTGGTCCCCGCTAAACCGAAAACAAATGCGGGTGCCGAGTCCATACCAACTCTCAAAAAGCAGCCACGCCCAAATACCTGAATTTAGGGAACCCTTGGCTTGGATTGAGGATTTGAGCCCCTCACTTTGGAAGCGGGATTCCGCGCCCAACCAAACCACCGGGCTCCAAGCCACCCTGTTGGAGTTGGAAGTGGATGAATCTTCTTGGAAGGAGTCGAGGGTCTCGGACACCAGAGAACAAGACCGGGCTTCAATTTGTGTCCGACTCTATTTCTCTTTTTGGGTGATTTGAACTATGACCTTCAGGAAAGGCCAATCTCGGGCGAGTTTCGCGGATCTGACTGTGATAGTCACATCCAAGCTCAATCGAAATTGGAGTTCAACTCTTCTTTGGGGCTGGCTATCTTGGGAATCGACCATATGTTAGCTCTAGCTCTGAGGATGCTTTGAGGACCCCTTTGATGCCCGTTGGAGAAAGGCATCCAACCATGATTGAAATCAGTGACTTGTTAGCTCAAGGACGCTCCATTGAAGCAGAGAGCACCTATTTAACATCCGACAGATACTTTCCATGTAGAACCCTACCTTGGTGCTTCCCAACATTGTGTGGACCTTTTGTTTAATCTCTTTCAATTTGGCTTCCCAAATCAAAGACCATCCCCGCACGAAACTGGCCGGGCCACCAGGTTCGCCTCGGCTTTCTTGTCGAGTTCTTCCTAGGTACCCGATACCTGAACTCAGGCTTTCCCTTTGGGGATTTGAGCTCGTGGCTTTGGAAGCAGCGGGAAACCGCCCCTTTGCCCACCCCCCCCACCCCCACCCCGCCTCTTCCCCCCCCCCCTCCGCGCCCCCGGCTTCGTTGCCCGCCGGGGCCCGGCGCGACGGCGCTCCTCTTCTCCGCGAGGCGACAAGGCGGAGGTTCTCTCGGAGTCGGAGGCCTCCTCGGAGAGCTCGGTGACCTCGGCGGCGGGGCTGGTGGGGAAGATGCGCGCCTGCCCCGAGCCGGGGGCGCCCAGAGCGCGAGCCGAGAGCGGAGGGGGTGGGACGGGGTTCGGGCGGGGCCCCCCAGCCGGTGGGTTTTCGCCACGGGGGCAAGGGGTGGGTTGGAGGAAGGGGGGGTGTTGGCTCTTTGAGTTCTGGGTCCTTTTTTTTTGGAGAAGGATATTTCAGGGATCTCTGAAACATGCAAGCGGTTTCTTTCTTCAAAAGCCAACCGGGGTTGGGTTGGGGAGAGGTGCCAGGGCCGGCTGGATGTCCTTGAGCTTCTGGTGGCGGAATCTTGGAGCATGTTGAAAGGGGCACAGGGGGTGGACACTGTGAGTCTAGGGGTAACTTCCATTTCCATTCTTTCCAGGGATCCGAATCTTTCTAGAAAACCAACACACAATTGGGGTTTTGGGAAAGAACCATGGCTGAAAAGAATGGGGAATCAACCCCTAGAGTGAGGTTATCTTGCAGCTTACCAGCACCCAAAGAAACGTGGGTTTCAAACAACCGATATGTGGACGCCATAGGGGACACAGGGAGGAGGTAGGATGTGGGAGGGAACCATCATGTACTTGTGTACCTACTATACATGTGTACATACAGAAAGATATAGATGAAGCAGGGTTCGTTTCAATTCCGTTCAACGCGGCCAGGATCACCCACAAGAATTAACCCTCTCCCTTGAGAGTTGCCGCCAGGTGCTGTTCCTTCGGTGCCCAAACTCGCTCCATTGGCAACAGCCCAATGCTTTGCACCATGTGTGGCTGGTACGCTAGAAATTGCAAGAAATGACAGGGCTTCAAAGGAAAAGAATCGTTACTTGCAACCTTTGTAGTTTTCGGTGTTCGACCCGTCGGCTAGAGCAGCTGGTTTAGAGGTTCGTTTTGTTTTGTTCTAGAGGTCCTACAATCTTTGGTGCGTTTCAGTCATTGTTGCTCTAGCACACCATGTGTCATTCGTTCAAACCACTGATATGCAACAAGAGCATGGGAGAAGCAGGACTTGAACTCGATCCTCCGCAGGATCGAGTTCGGGGAGATCGTGGTGGACGCCTTTTGTGAACGCCTTTCCATCCGCGAGGCGTGGCTTTGAGTCGAGTTGACAGGATCCCCGCATCAAAGGCGCCATGCCAGTGCTCAACCTCTTGAAGGAATGCATGGGTGTGTCTCAAAGTAAGGGACCCCCCCGCAAAGTGGCCAGCTTTCATTTTGGTCCCCTCCAAAACAATCCAGCACAAGATCGGGTACCTCTCAGACGAGCCCGGAGTTGATGAGGCTCGTCTTTTTCTGAGTTGGTTCCCCTTTTGTTGGGTTGTTTCCTTTGAGGACACCGGGCTTTCTTTTTGTGGCACTGCGAAGGGGTCCGCAATTTCAGCCGCTCGCATCGGTTCGAGCCGCCGACTCGAGACACAAGCCAGGCGTCCTTCCGCTTCGGTAAGACCTCCCGGGAGGCGCACAAGCCACGCGGTCCGGGGCTCCCTGTTCTTTTTTGGGTTTTCTGTATTGGGGCTCCGTTTTTCTCAAGACCCCGCCCCGACTTTGTCTCTTTTTTGGCCAGCTTCTCTGTTCCTTGTAAAACAAGTATATACCGAAAGATGGGATCCGAATTGTTCCATGGCCGAGGGAAGTCTAGGCGTCTTCTGGGCAATCCGAAACACCTCCATTTTGCGAAAGGGATGCGTGTAGGACTTCAAAGGGGGCAATTTTTCTTGCTGTGAGAGGTAGGGAATGACCGAGTCTGGGGTCTGGGCATGAGCCTTTTTTCGGGGTCATTCCGACACATTCCCTGCCTGTCGAACCAGCAAGTTTTGAAACCAAAGGGAAAAGGCCACCACCTTGGATGACCAATTTTGACACCTGCTAGTTGTTCCTCAGCTAAGACTAGCAGTCATGGACGACCCATCGGGTATACAATGCGGGGATTCGATGGAATTATCCCGTTGAGGAGTTCGGAACATGATGTACTTGGCATTTGGTTTGGATTTGGAGGTGACCAGCCCCTGTCTTTGCTGGTTTCCCGTAGCATGGTTGATTCATGTCGCCCCCCCAAATATTGTTACAATTCCCTACAGTGGCCAGCTGAAGGGAGTGACTCGGAGGCCCCTTTGCCATCCTCCAGGAAACCTGAAGCACGGGCCTAAATAATTTGGAACCAAATTTATGAAATTACGCCATGATCATAAGATCACACTGTCCGTCAATATTGAGAGCCGTCTGATATGATTTTCCCGCCAACTGCATTTTGGACCGTACTCGGGGTTTTGGACATCAGAAAGAACAGTTCGGGGGTGCAAGCAAATCGACGTATTCTCCTTCTGCCAAAGGCGAGCCGTAATGAAAACCCGCGCGGAGGAGCCACAGGCTGGGGTTCAACAACATGACAACCATTGTGCAGGATCTTTTCTGTGAAAATACCAACTTACGTTGGGCTTATACAGCTTCCCTTTGCTCAGTGCTGGTTTTCAAGGAAGCCATCACTCTGGAAGTGTTTATATAATATATATATATATATATCTATATTTGTTCTTCCAGGGGACAGAACAGGAAATGGAGGATAAACTCTCTCTCTCTCTCTCTATATATATATATATATATATACATAGATACACATATCTTTGGTGCATTTTGCTTGGCTGTTAGGACTTTAACTTTTTGCCAACTGATGGGTTTTCCAGTAAACCACAAAAAGTTATTCACTTTTAGCAGGGGAGCAGAAAACAACCGAGATATGTCCAGGGGACAAAAAGCCAAAATAAACCTCTCAGCTCAAGCCGTGAGGTGCGCGTGCATAGCGCGCCGAAGCGCGAAGCGCAGGACGCCGCCTCGCCCTCGCTGCTGGAGTGGGTGTGGCCCTCCACACGGGAGAAACTTCATGCCTCCATGTCCCACGGAGCGCGGAGACCCAGAGACGAAGTCGGGTGGCGCGCTTCCTTTTTGGTTGGAGCCCCTTTTTGGGAGGTTTTAAAGGGAAGCCAAAAGGACAACAAGACATTCTGTGGGCTCTGGCCCCCGAAAAAAGTCGCAGCCATTTCTTTAAGGGCTTTCCAACATGGATTTGTGTGTCGGTGTTTTTGCTTAATGGTTTTACCTGAAGTTTCCTTGGGAGAAGATCACAGTTTGAGTTTGCGATTGCAGACTGGATTCTGGGTCACGCTGTTTGCGGAAAGTTGGATTGCAGGCGATGCTGAGGATGTTGCAGCTGATCGCAGTAAAGCGCCTTTCTGAAAACAGCCTCCGCGGAGCCACTCAGCCGCCACCAGGAGCCCGCGCTCAGCCCGCTGCAAAGGCAACATGCACGCCGCTTCCGCCACTTGCAAACACACGTGGTTTCAGACTTACACCCGAAATGAGCGGAAACAACAAAATACAACAAGAGAACAAACAGCACCAAACCAGCGCCAAATACAACTGGCTCTTAAAACCAAGCCTTCAGCACATCAAAGCAAGCTCCAACACCCACTTCAAAATTAATACATGTGACCCTAGGCGGGGGGGTCATTTCCCTGTGTCGCGATACCAAAATGCCTCTTGGAGGAGCCCCCAAGTTTTAGAATTACATTTGTTTTTTTGAAGCACCCTCCAAAAGTGTTGTTTAGGTTCCATGTTGTTCTCTTTAGGCGAGTGTAGAGAAGGCATGGGTGCCCTTTTCAAAACACTGGTCACTGAGCGAAGTGCTTCAAAACGAGAAGGGCAAGGGGCAGTCTATGTTGACCCCCAGTTAAGAGTAGGTTGCTTCCGCGGCTGTCTTGCTCCCGTCTCAAATGCGACAGCCATTCACCCGCCAGGCCTATTCATCTCGGGTTCGAATGATATGTTGGTGAAACGACCGGCTGTCTGGGGTTGACAGGGATGGTGATCCACATGCAAATTAGTAAGAATCTTTAATAATAAGTACAACAATTCTTGTTATGGGAACCATGACTTGTAGGCCGTATGGTGAGTTTTCACCATGTCTCAGATCAACGCTGTCCAATCCCATTTTGAAGGGAAGGTTCTGGACACCCGAAGCAAAGGGTTGCCTTTTGACCCACATTCTTTTGGAGACAAGAGACGCCCCGTTCAGAGTGTTTGATTGGTTAGAAATAGATGGGTTCCACTGGTTCAGATTGGGTTTATGCCATTCATTTACCAGGGAACTCATCAGTTTTCCAAATGTCACCTACTCTGGATGGACAAAGTCCTGCACCATTTTGAAACCATGGAAAACCATTGTTCGTTGGTATCTACAGTGGAATGGGATCATTCCAGTTTTCTGAACGGCGGGGGCCAAATGGATTTCGTCACCCACAGTCAGGTTGAAATTCCCTCAAGGACCGGTCAACCCGCTTCAGGGGTTGTGGCTCAGGTGAATCTGCTCTTCGCACCCCCTGGGGCGAACGTTGGGCGCCTGGAGAGGACGTGCCTTGGCCGGACTCGGTCCGGATTAATGGCCTGGTTGGACTACTACCTTTCACTGGCTGAGCAAATGTCTTCTTCCTCTCCGTTGGCTTAAGGGAAACTATCACTGGACCTACTTGTACTTTTTCCAGGGGATGAGCACACGAATGGAAGCAAACTGGCAAACAAGTTCACTTTCTGAAAGGGGGCCGAAGACCCTCCAGTTGGCATCCTGTTGCTTTCATGCAATTAGTGGGTTTCTTATCGACCGCCAAAGGGGTGGAGCTATGGGGGAGACGAGCCCCCAACACAGCTTGAGTTTACTGGTGATAGCCAAAGCCCCTGCGTGTTCGTTCTCTTGAAGGTCCATGCGGATCGTTTTTTTTTTTTTTTTGCACGAAAATCAACAAGGGACCACCCACCACTTTTTCTTTGCTGCCGAAGGGGGGGGTCCCCCTCAAAAAACGCCACCCAGCTTTGACCCATCTTGCAGGTTCGAGCCAATCATGTTCCAGCTGCCCTTTCGGATGAAGAACTCCTGCGCGTTGGTGGCCAACAATGTAGACCTCAGCTTCGCGAAAGAGCGCACCTTGCGCCGCAGAACTGCGCAGCGGCGTTTGCGGGGGCTTGGCCGCGCACAACTGTTGCACTTGGTGGCTTGTTGATGTGCAGGGGTCGTTTTTTGACTTTGTTTGTTTATCAAAGTCAAAAAACGCTGGGGGTGGTTCCCTTTTTCCCTATCACTCAGGCGTAACTTGGGCCATTGGTAAAATTCTGACTCAGCCACCGCGGCTGTTTTGTGTTTTGGCAGGGTGCGAGTCACATGTTGCGTAGGACCCCGGGCCAGCCTTGTGATCTTTGGCTCCACATCTTTTTGGAGAGGAGTCTTCTGCTGTTTAGAAGACTGGGCCGGTCAAAGTCCAAGCACGAAGGTTCACAAGGTTTAAATGAATAGCGATATTTTGAAAGGGACTGGAGCCCAACTTGGGTAAAAGCAGAAAAACTGGGGTACAGGATCAGAGTCGAGCCACCAAGTTTCAAGGAGATCACCGTGTAGCCACGATGCCATTTCTCACTGTCTGGCCACGAGCAAGGTGGTAAACACCACGAAGAACACGATGTTCTACCGTGCGGGAATGTCCAAACCGGTGCAAAAAGCATTGGAGCCCGAAATCCATTTGGACAATTGGGTCCACACAAAACAGTCGCAGCTGTTGAGTCGTCTGCAACAAGTCAACGGCCCAAGCTTTCCTCGCACAATCCCAATAAGGCTAATAGCACCTCACAGGGCGCAAGGCCTAGTAAGCGATATCATACTCCAAAAGGCGAGGTGTCCAACATGGGCTGACAACCATACCCAGGAATGTTGTTTTGGGGGAAGTGATGTCCCAACTATTCGCAAAGGACCTTCTTCAACGCCGCATTTCATGGGATTTCAGGCGTAACCAGCTGACCAAACAAATCCACAAGCACCCCACTCCGGGGATGATCTCAAACGACGGTACCTTTGACCCGCGAAAGGGGGGGGGAATTGATCGCCCGCCGAAAAGTGGGACCAAAGAAGCTTCCCTCTTGGAGAAGGTGCGATTGTTGCCCAACACCGGGTTTTTGTGCTGCAAATCCCCAGCCAGACCTCGATTTCTTGCCCTTCTTGCGGCCTGGTCAAAGATTGAACCGCCACCCATGGTCTTGCAGAGTGGTCCTTTTCAAAGTGGCTGGGTCTGGGTATGTTCGTTTCCCGTAAACAGTGGCTGACGACGAGACGTTTCAATGTCGGTTGAAGTCCGGAGGGTCTGATCCCATGGCGCTCCCAGGTTCCAGCCCCAGCCGGCCCGGCGGAGCAGGAGGCCGGGCCGTTTAAGGAGAATCGCCTTCCTTTCAACTTGCGAGAGATGGGAATGAGACATGGGAACCATCCCCGAGGTTTGCTTTCGGGAATTCGGAATCCCCAGGTTCATTCCCTCATTCCCTAGTTATCGCACCAGCAAGTCAAAGGAAGAGAAGAAACAATGGCCCTTTGTTCAACACGTGGGTTTCACCGAGCCCTTTCAGGTTTTTGGCGCAATGAACGGAATCAAGCTCTTTAGATTGGCATCCGTAAGAGCTCTTTGAGTCGACCTCCTTCCAACCATAAGCGAAAAGAGGACGGACCAACCCCGGAAAGTCTGGAGCCGGACTGGATGTTTTGATGTGAGCAGTCCCACTTGATTGTCCCCTTCTTCCAAGCTCGAGTGGAGGAACCCGTCTATGACCTCCTTGCCTTAGTGAGCCATTAAGTATGGCTTAATTGTGGGAAGCCAGCCCCAAAGGCTTCCAAGACGAATGCGATCAGCCTTTGACTTGTTCTTTGAAACATCGTCTCTCAAAATGGGACACAGTCACGGTGCCCACATCAGGCCAATTCTTGTAGCGAGCCACTTCCAGCTAAACAATCACGTCCCAACCTCTCAAATGTTCAAACGGATTCAGTTTCAGGAGGGTTGACCCCGGAAGAAACCTGGATTGGGGAATTGAACCTCTCAAGTCTTTGTAGAGGCTAAGTGGGAAACCACCCCGGAACACCTCCAAACCACCAATTTCCAAATCACCAACTTAGTGAACTGAAAAACAGTTTGCACCCTCTGCAATCTGATTGACTCCTGGGTGCTTTCGATGCTCCATTTGTGGGAAGCAACACATTTTGGGCTCACCTTTTTTGTTGAGTTGGTACCCCGATTTGGGATGGTTTTCAAAGGACACCAAAAGGAACGCCACCAATCACCCAATTTAAAGACAAGCCCATGTCCTGCTCGCGACTTCTTCCCCGCAATTCTTGTGTGGCATGCGCCGGCAGTTCCCAATTTGCGGGGATACGTCTACCATGCAGGCTGTCACGTTGCACTACCAGTTGCTTCGAGATGTCTTCTGCCATTGGTGTTTGTGAACTCAAGCATCCAGTTTGGGCTCACCAACTTCTTTTGCCCTGTGCTCAGTTGAACAGAAAGGGCTACCTCCCATCAGACCCGGGTCTCAGAAAAAGCCCTAACCTCCAACTAGTCCTCACGTACAATGAACTTGCGATGAAATACTTGGATGTTCGTTGCCAAGTTAATATGTGGACAACGCCACGGGTTGAAAACGCCTGCACCTATCAAGTTCTTAACCCCACATTCACGGACTTCTGAGTGGGTATCCGAGCGGTCTGAGAGACCATGGAATCGCCAGGCGAGGAGGAAGGAGTAGCTGAGGCGCGGGGAGAGGTGCCTCTGAGCATGAAAGCTGGTTGCCAGCTTTCAAACACCCAGAAGAACCTGACTGTGTCGGGCTAGCTGTTTTTCTAGCTGTTGTTTGGTTTTGTTCGTTTTTGTTGCGAGTGGCTGACCTGCAAACGTTTGAAAGGAGAAAGTGTTGCAAGGCAGCCTAAATTTCATTCTTCCGTGGAAGGACCACCATCATGGGCAGGGCATCACGCAAGGAGCGTTGTGTTTTCGACACATTGGCAACCAGAGCTTGCAACAGCTGCAGGCCTTTCATCAATCAAACCCCGGATCTTGAGAATCATGATATTTATCTATATACTGGTTACACAACTCTGGTCCGATGAATATTTGTCTGCTACATGTGCACGCATAATGGACATGTAGTTCATGGGCCGGGGGGGGAATTATATGGAACAACCTGATGCTCGACATGCTTATGTTATGTATGTATACATTCGCTTTGGACATTGCGAGCTGGCGCCCTTGACAAGGCGCCAAAGGTCCTTCGGGATGCCGTAAACAATGCAAGAAACACGGACACCCGCAAAATGTTGCCGTAGAGTACCAATGTCTTGTGGCTGGGGATGTATGCACACATGGAAATACATGTGCGTCAGGAGGGCGTGGTTCTTTATTTCTCGTTTCTTCCTTTGCTGCGACGATGGCCACCAGCGTCCGGTAACGCCCCTGCCAGGAGGACGTGCTGGTGAGGTTGAAGCTGTCCTGCTTCATGGTGAAGACGCTTGGCCTTGGGGCCACGCCAAGAAACAGGTGGCCTTTTCTACAGCCACCAGAAGGTCAGTACTCACTTTCTGGGTTCCGGTTCGGATTGTAGTCACTTTTTATCTTTGGACCATTTTAGTGGCAAACAAGTCGTGACTTTGTGTCGGGCCAATCCACTCAGGAAGTGAGAGTATTCAAAGGTTATTTCCCATGGGAAGTTGAGGGTAGTGGAAGCCGGCTCACTTTTGAGCCGAGCCCCAGCAACAAGGTCCAACTTGAATTCTTCACAGGGATTTGTCGCGGCCACAAGCAGGCGGGCGACCGTTTTGCGAACGGTTGCGGAGAATGATATGTGAAGGTTCATCTTAAAGGCTTCCAGCAGAAAGGACAGAAGCAATGACATTCTCGGTTCTACCTTTACCCCTTTAGTTCCTTTGCGAGATGGATCTCGCGAGGTTTCTTCAGGGAACCGGGGGCCAACCCGTGGAATTGAAGAACAGAACTGGACTCATGTGGCCCTGGAATCGGGGATCCAGACATGGGTGGCTCGTCTGTTTTTGGGAGTTGGTGCCCCGTGTTTGTGTTGATCAAAGAAAAAAACGCCAAAGGGAAAGCCCAAGATTTTGCAGTTCCCCCTTTAAAGACGAGAGACCCTTGAATAAAGATGAAGAGGTGAGCAAACCGCCCAAAGTCCGGAGGAAGATGACGCCCTCGAAGCCGCAGAAGATCAAAGAGCTGGAGGAGCGCGCCAAGGTGCACCGCTCGGGAAACGTCGGACACCCGGAAGGTGGGGCTTGATGGTCCATGCACAAAACCCGACGCATGTTTGGCCTCTTCAGGATTCGTTGCGGCGCTTTTTGGAGCGGTGTTGATCTTTGGGTCTTCTTCTCCAAGGCATCCCAAGAGTGGGGCCTTCGCTCTTCGGACCTTTCCTTGCCAGACTTAAGCAAGGGGCCATGTGTCAGAGGGTCGGAGTGTGCATGCCTTTCTCAGAGCCTAAACGGGTTCAAGCAGTTTCCGAATTGCATCTCGCAAATCAACTGTCACCCAGCTCACGCGAATGATCTTGGGCTTTAAGGGCTTAATGGCAGCCAAGAAGCTTTCGGTTCGACCGGTGCACTCCGCGAAAATCAACGGAAGGTGCCTCTTTCAACCGTGTCTTTGCGGAGTGTTGATTTCAAACATAGTTTTATGTATGATAGTTTTTCTGAGCAACCCCCACTCGTAAAGGTGTCTGCTTGTTATAGGATCCCACCACCCTCTGTTGGCCCCCGTTCGGGCCAACAGAAACTTTTACATGGACCTTCCAACACAAAATGGGCTATCTAGGGATGGTTGTTGGGGAGTGTTTCAGCCATGGTTAACCACTAGAACTCTGCGGGTCCATTTGGGGCAGGCAACTTGGCCCCAATTTGTTGACCCGCTTTTTGCGATGGGACTCGCCGTTTTTATTTTTTTCCTCCTGGTCAGGCACAGGCTGACTTGGTGAAGAACAGCTCCCTTTCCTCGGCCTTCGGCTCGGTGGGAGTTTTCGACTTTGGGCGTTTGAGAGTCGAGAGTCTCCTGGAGTTTTGGGTGCTGGTTCCTCTCTTTTGGCTTTCAAGGGAAAGCAACAGGAAAACCGGCCAAAGCCATTTTGGGGGTCCGTTTTTTCCGGGAAAAAGAACACATCTGGCATGGCCTTCAAAACAGATCTTCGAGAAGCTGCGGAACCCTCACCTTCGAAACAGTGATGTGGCAGACCCAGGGAGTCTACCCGAGAAGCCTTTGCCAGATTTCCATGAAGCAGAGTGGCAAGGATCCTGAGTGCATCGCCAGGGCGCCAGGGCTTCCAATATGTTTGTATCTCAAGTTGGGCCCCAAATGTAAGCCTCGAAGCCTCTGAGAATCCAACTGCGAGGGGCAAAAGGGTGGGAGGCGATGCACAGAAGGAAAGAGTAAAACTTTGGCCATTCGCAAGGTGAACAAAACACGTCACCATGGTGGATTCCATGCTCTGTGCAAGCACGCCATCCGCAAGCAGTGGCGATTTGCAGGCGATTTTTCCAGCTGCCTCCGGTTCGCATTTTGCGGGCTTTTTTGTGTTGGAAAGGCCGGAAGGGTTTTGGACAGATGTCCAGAGGCAACCCACGGGGCGGGGGGATCGAGCCAACACCAAGGCCTTGGGCGATGGGCCGCGCCAGGCGCGAGCGGCTTTGGCGGCTTGGAGGATGGCCGGGCTGCGCCCAAACCTCACCACATCCGAAAGTCCCTCCGCTGGGAATCGAAAGATCGATCTCGGAGAATCACTTTATCGACTCTAGAAGACCATGTCAAAATCTAAGGTCGATGGATGATACGCATGATGGGCGCTGCTCGACTGGTTGTTGCTGAAGATCGAATCTACAACGGGCACATGTTTTCTCATGACGCGGCAACTGGGATGTTGTAACATCTGTATGGGCACAGCTTCACAACGGAGACCGAGCTGCTCTCCTTTGGACTTGCCGGGCCGTGCTCGGGCGGTCAGACGGTTAGGCTGGACTCGTTAGAGGTGCTGCCGAATACTAAACCAATAGACCCGTGCAATGGACAAGACAAAGCGAATGACGTTGATTCCGGCTGCAAGTCCTTGGATATTGCCACTTGCGACCATCGGGCACAAGGCGCCAATTTAGACAACCCAAAGGACAAAGGACCAAAGAGGACGATGCCCCCCAGGAAGATTGTTTCCCTCACTTGTTTCATTGGGGGAGGACGGGGAGGTTACAGTAACTTTAGTTGGACATCAACTCACCCAAGACACAGCAAAAAGACCAAGCCAAACCAAAAGGCCACGCACAACAAGCAGACACCAACACTGTCCCTGTCCCTCAGCTTCCATTTGCTGGAATACTATTTCATATGTTTTCCCAGGGGACAATGCGCAAATGGAGGTTGTGTGGGGGGTTGAGGAGAGCACTGGTCAGATCGTCCTTGCCAGGGAGCGCCCTTGAAGAAGGCGGGGTCCCGGTCGAGTCAGGCCGAGAAAAGTGATTTCGCGAGGGCGAAGATATTTGGCTTGGCTTTTTGGGTTGCTTGGGGAGCTTGCGTGTTAGTGTTCTTCTTGATCCTGTTCAGTTTTCAGCATACACCAGACACGGGTAAGCTCAAAATAGAAAGGAGCAACGGGTGCAGAAGGTTCTGGGGCTGTTGGGGATGCCACCTGGGCTGAATTATTTCCCCTGTTGGTTTGAATGGGAATCGATTTCAATACTGGAAATAGCTTCTCCTTTTGTTCCACGGTAAAGAAACACAAATGGAAGCAATGGTTTGGAATGAGGAACCACTGAGACACGCCAGTGCATCTGAAGGGGCAGATCAACGCTCCCACAGGCCTAGACAACGGAAGCACGCAGGTCCAAAATGCCCTCAGCAGGCGAGTAGCTGAGACGATTTGGGCATGTCTTTCTTTAGCCTCCGAAAATGGCGTCGGTTTCCTTTCGGTTTCCCTTTAGAACAACCACAAAGGGGTACCCTCGAAGAAGACACCCCAATTAAATGCAAGTTTCTGTTTCGCAACCGCCGGAATGTGTCCTTTTGGTTTCCAAAAAGGGGTGGCCCCCCCCCGAAAAGAAAAGAGATAGAACCTGCTTCAGGGGAGCGCGCCAATTCTGCCAGTCCTCCAAAGCGCCGAGCTTGTCGGACCGTTCAGATGTCCTCGAGCCCATCCAGGAGAGGGGGCAAATGGGTGGTGCGCGTGGTGGTTCCTGTCTTGGAGGGTGCCAACTCTTGTTTGGTTTTTGTGGTTAAAGGGAGCCAAAAGGAAAACCTTTGCGCCATTCTAGGGGTTCACGATTAAATAAACATGCTCAGATGGGAGTGTCCGTTTTGAGGGTGCCAGTCGTTCTGGGTTCAAGAGAAAAAAAGGGAAAAGGATACCAGCGCGGCCGTGGAATGAAGGGGGTTCCTGGTTTGGACCGGCATTTTCTCGAAGCAGGTTTTTTGGGGGGAGGGTGCAGGGTGCCTCTTTTGGGTTGGAACAAGGGGAAGAAGGAACCTCACCTGGAGATGGCAAATTGCTCGCTCGCTTGAGCAAGAGGTTTTGGGGCCCCGACGTTCCTGGCATGGCGAGATTCACCTGCAGGTGCAACAACGCAAAAGGTCCCTTTGGGATTCCACAATTCAAGTTGAATTTCTGGCCGTTCCCAGTGGTGAGTTCTTTGCCCAGCTCATCAATGGAGAGGAAAAGAGTTGGTTTCCTCGACGATTTTTTCCAAGATTGCCGCAATTGTTGTCTGCGCTTGATGCGCTGGTACCCTCGATTCCTCGATCCTCACCGGTTCCATCTGCAAGCCTGCAATCTGCAAGGTTTGGCAACATTGTGAACCATTTTTGGTGTCCTTTCCCATCAGGAGGTGAGGAATCTCACGCGCCGCGCCCGCAGATGATGTTTGAGGCAGGTCGGGGAGGGGCGAGGACCCGGAGAGAGGAGAGGTGAACACGGAGAAGCGGGGGAGAGGGGAGAACAGGGCAAACAAGGAGAACGCGGAGAAGAAGGAGACCAGGGAGACAAGGGAGAAGTGCGAGAGGAGAAGGGAAGAAGGGAGGAGGGAGCGACGAAGTGCTCTGCGCCCTGCGGGAGATTGTTTCATTCAGTCCGGCACGGGACTTTCCAAATACGAAGCTTTTCACCAAGGGTTTTCATGTTCTGCCCATAGGTGTCCTTCTTGGTTGATTTGGTTTAAAAATAGAGGGCCCTGGTTTACCTGGTGGTCCAATCAACTACCAGAGCCATCTATTTTCCCAAAAAGGACACCTATGGTTCTGCCATTGAGCAAGTGCAACCTGCTGGTTTTCTTCTCTGTTTTCTTGCATCTGCTTTTTGTTTCTGTTTCTTGGGCTCTGCTGTTGTGCGAGCCGCGAAACACGGCAAGTTCTGCAAGAAACACGCGGGCTGCGTCTGGAAGTTTGGGAAGTGCAGAAACGGAACTGTTGCCACTCCTGTGCGGGTTTGTGTGGTTTGCCTGGACCCGAGTTGCAACTCGTATTCCTTGCCTTCATTCGGGGAACCCAATTTTCATCTTTACGGCTGAGCCGATAGCCCAGTTCTGTGGACAACGATCAAGCTTTGTCTAGCCCGAAAGAAAAAGCGAAGCTAAGCAACCCGAAACCTCAACACCAAAACACCTAACCGCGCAAAACAAATCAAACACGAGGAAGATCCACAAGTCTACATCTCCCAGCGGCGTTTTCAGCCACCGGCAACTCTTGGGGAGGCAGAAGCAGCCGCGCGCTTGGCCGGCAGAAACCACAACTGCAGCTTCCGACTTGTTCGAGAAGCCTTCTCTTCGGGAGATGGGCGCTGCGGGGGCACTGAAGGGTTCTCGACTTCCTGTCTCGAATCAGAGATCTCTTGTTAAGCAGGATATCAGCTTGCACTTCCCATCTCTTTATCTTTTATTCGAAATACAGTAATTCCGGAGAATAATGATGGCAGAAAATGGTGAATGAAAAGGTGAAAGACAAGAAGCATGTTATCATTGCATTCTTACACTTTCGTTCTCTGATTATAAGTTATAATATTATTTTTCTTTATCATCTTATGTCTTTATCATTCCTCCATTGTCCATTCTGTAATTCTTAGTCGATGAGGGGACACACCACTGCATGCTTGATTCATAGGATCAGCATGTCTTTGAGTTTGGTCCACCCCAGGTCTTGTTTTTTTTTCCTCACAGCGGTTGCAAGTAACAGTGGCCCTGCAGTTTGGACGCACCAAGACTTCAGCGCTGGGGATCCCGTTTGGAAGGGAGGAATGGCCAATTGTTGCTTTGTTTTGATTAATTTCCCCCGATCGGCACTTCTTTTGTGAGCCCTGAAAGGTGCGAGAGAGATGTGATGCAAATCCAACGAGGATTTGTTTCTGTGACACAAGAAAGAACTGGAACACTTTATGCAAGTTGGACCAAACCAGTCGGTGCAAGCGTCAGGCCTGACAGCTTGAGGCATCGCCCCAAACGCTCAAGCGGGTTGCTGAGCCGGTCAAAGTCACCAAAGTGGGCAGATTCCGTTTCGGAAGACGGCTTTGTGAATCCAGGCTGCTTCCAATTTCACCCGCAGAGCCCAAGGCCCAATCCGCGCGCTTTTTCTTCCCAAGGGGTTGTCCTCTCACTCCTCCAGTGAAGCTCTCTTCAGATCCAGGGGTTACATCAGCCGAGACAATCTTTGCTCGCAGTGTCGGGGCCATTTGCTTTTCGGACCTGAAAATGAAACACCACTTGATTGGGAAAGAAGCCTGCCATATCGGCTTGGTGGACGATTAGTTGAGTTGAGCAAGCATCCGAAACACCCACCGAAGGCCTAGCCAATTTTTGAGACGTCACTGATACATGTATCGTTCGGTGCACGCACAACTTTCGCCGTTCGAATTGTTCGATGAACCGAACAAGGATGCTCCTCACGTGGATTTTTCAAGCAAAACACGTGCTGGGCTTCCACAACAGAGAGCTTGAAGAAACGGTGTTGGTACTTGGATGTTCGTTGCCAAGTTAGTAAGTGGAAAGCGCCACTTGGGGTAGAACTCCCTAACAAGTTGCTAGCCCCACGTTCACGGGGTACTTGGTTATATCCGAGCTTACCGTTGCAACTTACTCGCTTGGCGAGTCAAACACCCAAGTGGCCAACGAAGATGTGCAAAGTTCCTGGGATGGATGTTGTTGACCTGAATTTCCCTTAGGTCTCCGAGAATGGCAGCATTGGACTCCGACAGCTTTTGGCTGGGACATGTGACCGCAACAAAACCTGCGGATGTGTGGTTTCCCCACTGGAGAGGAGGACAGCTTTGCATAGAAGGGGTTTCAACGGGAGCGATAGCTCTCGGCTTCGTGGCATTTTCGCCTTCTCGGTGGATGAAGGCGACATACGCCGTATTGAGAACATGCTGAGCACACCCACCGCGAGAGATGTTCAAGTTCGCACAAACTCTCAAACTAGTGTGTGCATGCCCGAGGGCCGACGAAAAGTATCGAGGAACCAATAGGAGGCAACCAAGAGACTACCCTTTGAAAACCATAAGGACAATGACTGGTTACCAACTTTAGTGGCTTGCCTGGCATCGACTGGTCTTGTCTTCTTTCATTCAGGAGCTTCAACATTGCATGAGAGCGTCAAAATAATGACAACCCAACTTAAGTACAAACCTAAAACCACCGAAAAAAATGATACAAATACTGTAACACGAAAACACAATCTGTATCTTTACACATGAGAAACTGTCAATGTTTCAGCTTCCAAAACCTGATGGTGGTTTGGTTTTGTGGGTTTGGGGTTCGGGGGTGGTTTCCTATCTACCCTCTACAAGGACCAGGGGTTATTCAAACCACCAACTAAGGGTTGCCTGATATATTCACCTTCATTTCCTGTAGTAGGGGACTGTCATTGGGCACCCTCATCAAATTGCCATCAGGGAAGGAGGTTATATACTCACCAAATCCCCATGTGTGCTAGGAACATGACTATTGGCGGCTATGGCTCATCGGGTAAAGCCTGGGGGGAGCACTGCACCTGGAACTCTTGAGAATTATCACATGCGTGCAAATCCTCGGGGGGATTTCCATGTTACCCACCAACAGTTCGTCACTTTTCGGGGATTTCTAGGGCCCTCGGGGCACCCGTCGTTCGCCGGGCCCCGAGCGACGCATGCCGTCGGGTTCATCTGAGGCCGCGTAACCAGACTCGCGGAGAGGAGTGGATTGGGGTGAAAGCTCCGTTTCTTGGGGCGAGGTCTTTCACTTCATCATTCGGTTCACTTAATCATTCTGATGGAGGATGTTAAGGATCCTTGCCATCTGTCAACAAGTACAAGCGGTCTTTTGACCACACGTGTTGGTCTCATTTTTCGAGAGCACCTCCCCCAAGACTCCCCGACCAGGTTCCTGCTCCGTGGGTTCCGTGCGGCCATGCATCAGACCTCACTGCCGAGCCGAAAACGAGTTGTCCTCTTGGAGCGCCGGAGTGCAGCCGGCATTTGGCCCTTGAAGCAGTTCAAGTTGCGAGCCAATGTCCTTAAAACCTGGGGATATTTTGAGGTGAAGAGACAACTTTCAGGGCCCCAAAAACATCTTTGAACGGATCGGTTTTGACTATGACTCAGGTGTTTCAGAGGAAATCGAGGCTGGGGCCTGGGGGTTTTCAAGATCCGTGTCCCTTCAGCTTGAAGGATCCACATTGCAAAATGCGGTGAAACTCGATCGAGTCCAAAGACGTTGCGCGGTGGTCATGGGCATCTTTTGGGTTTGAAGCACGTGCGCGCAAGCCAAGCTTTGGTTGCAGGCGCGCGGAATATGGCAAGCTTTTTGGTTCCTCGCATCCGAGCGGTCCAAGCACATTTTGTTGGATTGCGAATGCTCCGCCAGGGATTTGGCCCAATCTGCCGCGCCACAAAACTCCGATTGTTTGGCAACCCAACCCTTGCCGCCTGGCAGCAGAGAAGTCGACGAAGGCGAGGAAGGAAGGCGAGGAAGGAAGCGCCCAAGGGCGCCATTTGCATGTAGCGGAAAGCAACGTTGGCTTCCAAACATGGGTTGCTTTGGCACCCGTGGGCCATTCTCATTGAGCTGAACACAAAGCTGGTTTCTTTCCAAGAACGGTCCGAAGAACTCTTACAGGCCAGAATAACACCGATTCCCTCGATGCATTGAATTCGTCCGAGGTGATTCCATATGTCTCGTGCGGAGCTGAGCTCGGGCAGTTCTTTCCTGGATTGAGACTCATGTTTCACGGGTTTTGGAACTGTTTCCCCGCCTTTTGAAATCGTCGTGGATTGAGACGCCATCTTGGCTGCACAAACTATAATTGAGCTCACCTAGGGAAAGCACGAGCTCACCCGAGGATTCTTACCAAGAGTAGACTCCGGGGTTCCGGATTCCGCAATTTACGGCAACTTGTGCCGGTCTTGGGCTTGCACGAATGCCATGGGACACCTGTTGAGGTGCTGGACAAACATTTTGCGGACTTGCTGGCCGTGTTCGAAGCAAACATCCATGGGTTAAAGATGGAACTGGGTCCCGGACCCCACCCACTTGGTGCAGGCGCCCTGCACTGGGCGTTCTTGCTGACGCCCTGCCTGGCCGTCCGCGATTCCGCACCTCGGAAGCGAGCGGTTGGACCGGGTTTTGGTATACCCAAAGGCTTGCAGAGAGCATTGAACAGATGGGTATGGGTCAACATAGAAATTACCAGGAATTGGACCGCGGGTTTGAATGTCCTTGTTTCCATTTACCAGGGCAACCCATTTTGGGGTTACCCTCTTGTCGATTCACACCCAGATGATCAAAGCTCGGGCAATTTGGTTTCAACTTCCCGTTCAGTTGAGGAGACAAGTTTCAACTTTGGTACAGGGAGTTTTGGAGCAACTTTGAAGGAGTGTTTCCGTACATTTCTTTTTACACCCCCACGAAATGTGATTTCCTTGTCTAAATCACATTGAAAGTGGCTGGACCCTTTTTGGAAGCACAGTTGTCCTTTGTAGGGTAGTTTGCTTAGAAATAGATGGGTTCCACTGGTTTAGATGGGTTTTATGCTCCATATATTGGGAGACCCCCATCTATTTAATCAAAGGACAGCCATGATACGACTTCTTTCACTTTGCAAGTGGTGCGCTTCCATGTTGAAGGCGCTCCGTTTGGGAAGCCATGGAACCCGTTTGAGGCCCTTCATGTTTTCTAAGGAATCGGACCGGGACCCCAAAATGGCGGGCAACGTTTGTCCTCCTGGTTTCCCTTTGACAAAAAAGGGTACCCTCAAACAGAGACAGAGCGATTTGGGAATGGCCGCTATCTCCAAGGCTCCGGTTTTTGTCCCCCGAGGTGACCGATGCACTTAGAACGGAGGAGGACATCCCTGATGGGCCCGGGGCCCGGGTGCAGTCGACTCGGTCCCTCCAAAAGCCGGACGTCTCAAGCATGTAGGGCTCGGGGCTCTGTTTCTTGCTGGTTCGATAGGCAGGGAAGGAGAAATGGAATGAGCCCGAAAAAAACCATCCATCCGATTTGGTTTCCTTTAAGGGAATTTGTAGGTTGATTCCCAACACCCTGGGTCATTCCCGAGAACCAGCAAGTTTGTCCCACCCTTAACCAAGTTCTAAACGGTAGTTGGGCGATGTTGCGATCCCTCGAACTCCAATCTCAAAGGCCGTTGAAATCGCCCAAGGATATTGGTTGCCATTAAAGAAGGATCCCCTAGAAGAGTGTTTTGTTTTCCGGAGAATCCACTTTGGAAGAAGGGGAATGCACCCCAAGACTTTAGGAAGCTAAGGACCCCCAGGAAAAAAGCGGCAACCATTTCTGCTAATGCTCAGTCGAAGTACTCCATCCTCCTTCGCCCCCTGTTCTGGGATCGGTTTTGCCGCTTCTGAACTGCCAGTCATGTTGAAGCAGAGGGTAGTTCTAATGATATTTGAGAATGAGAATCATATTGATGATCATAATTAGTTGTGATGACAGTATCATAGCGACAATAGCCACCAACCTTCTTTTTTTCTGGACCGCACCAAGGATTCCCTCAGCGTCACTGGGCAACTGGGACATGTCTCAAAGTTGCCAGAGGCGTGCAGAGGTGTTTTCTTAGTTCTAGGTGTTTTGTCGGGCAGCGAGCCACTTGAGGTTCGACGATTTCTTTAGCCACTTCCACGTGACCCCAGAGACGCACCGAGCGATCCTCCCCGAGCACGGCGATCCTGTGTGGAACCCCAGCCAGCGACGGCGAGGGAGCGTGCGCCCTTGGCAGGCGCCTGCTTATGAAAGTAGGCACGATTTCAGCAACACCCTGGCTATCATGCGGTAAGTATCCCTAGAAGAGAAGTGTACTTTAGGCACATTTTGCAAGTGCCTACATGGTCGTGATTGTTTAATCTCTTTAGCACCTGACGCAAAAGGAAGCCGCCCGTAGCGACCGATGCATCTTGCATTCGGTTTGTACTTGCTGAAGGCCAGCCATGCGACGCCAATGTAGTGCATCGCTGTCAAGGCACCGATTCTCGCTAAACTTCAACACGCTAGCCTCGGCAGGCTGTAAGACATCTTTAGCGGCACTACGGCATTTCTTTGTGAGTTCTTGGGATTCAACCATGGCCAAACCAGGGTCACGTGGGTGTTTCTTCTCAAAATTGGGAACCCTTCCAGATAGGCAGTTTCCTTTTGGTTCCGTTTGAGACCATCCCAAAAGGGGTCCTCGATTTCAAGAAACGCCCACGTGAGCATCGATCGGCGACAAACTTCACGAAAAAGCGATTTGGTGACCGGAAGCTCAGCGCTCAGAACGGGAGTTGTTCAACGGACCAGTTGCGACATCCATTTCGCATCACGAAATGAAACCATGGTTGAACCATAGCGTTTGTTGGTATTTATAGGGGAATCATCATTCCAGGGTTTCTTTGGTGGTGCGAAATGGATTTCGTCCATCCACAGTTGGTGTCCTTTTTGGTTGTCTTGGGCAGAACATAGATGGTGATTCCTCGTTGACCTGATGGTTTCAACCAAAAAGACATGCACCGGAGCTCTTCCCCCTGGGCCTGAAAAGGCCTTTGCCAAGAAATGCAATAAGGACATGGCTGTTCGCAGACGTTGAGCCGCATCCATTCAGATCAACCAGCAGTATCAATTTCCAGTAGACGTGGACACCACAACGGGGGCCCCCAGCAGGAGATCCCTCTTTATCTCCCGCCGTGCCGGAACTGCACATGGTCAGCTTCCTTCCAATTGGTGGTTTGGAGCCCGGCAGTTTGGTGGTTTGGGAGCGGTTTTCCATTTACCCTCCAAAAGAATCAAGTTAAATCCCCAAACCGCCAATCCAAGCCACCAACTAGGGGTTAATGTTGACCCCATATTAATCAACACCAGTTTATTGATAGGGGGTGTTCCCCTTCCGAAAGTAATGATTCCCCACAAAACCCAGGGAGAAGCACTAGGAATAAACTGGGGTTGATGAATATGGGGTCCACATTTCGCCGACATGGAACGCTTAGGCCGTGACGCTCTCGGTAGTCTTCGCCTTGCACCCGGCAGCTTCCGCCCGGCGCCCGGCGCCGCTGAGCCGCGGACGGAATTGGCGAGGTGGTTGTCAGAGATACTGTGGATGGACGAACTCCATTTCGCACCACCTAAGAAACCTGGAATGATGATTCCCGTGTAAATACCAATCAACAATGGATCGGTCCATGGAAAGGACATTCAATCCTGCGGTCCAATTCCTGGTGGCTTAATTTGGACCCATACCCAAATTTGTAGCTTCCTCAGATCCCCGGCTAACAATTAAACTTTTCGTGGGTTAGATGAAAACCCCCACTAAACCCTAACAAGCTAAAAAGCTAAGGAACCGGACGGCTGGAAACCGGCAAGTTTACTGGCACCTGTAAGAACCACATTCTCTGCGGAGAACGCGTTGGTTTCCCTCTGAAACAGCCAAACGGGATGAGCCAACAAGTTGCCAATGTTTCAGCCGCGGTCGTAAGAGGAAGCCGCTGAAAGTGGAGCTTGAGACAAGTCTCTTGGACATGCAGGCTCATGTGGAATGCACAGGCGGGTCCGTCCCCCCTTTTTTCGTGGACATTGCTTTTCTGCATGTCAGCCATCAGGAAACCCTCCTGAACGGCCCATTTCGCAGAATCAACGCCTGGTTGGTGGACCATCCGACCACGAACCAACAAACTGTTAGGGCCATGGACTCACATCACATCTGCGGCTGTTGCCCAAGAGATAGGATTTCCAAGAAATAGAAAGGAATGGACAAGAGAGGAATAATCAAGAGATTTCTACCGGAAAAATCCTCAATCATATGCTGTGTCTATAGGTGAGTCTTATCTTATCCCTACCATCTATCTCTTTATCTCTGTTCTTTTTCATTTCATATTAATATCTGATATTTGGATAGCTTCTAAGATTGGAGGAATAGTTGGGTTAGAAGCGGCGAGTCCTAAAGATGGGTCTACATGCTATATCTCTTCCTCCCGTTCGTTTCCTCACTCATTCATTCACCCTTTATTACTTCCGGTGAATGATGATGAGAGAAATATGATGGGAAAGAAAGACATGTATCCTCGCTCTCTCTGTTCGCTTCCAAGTCGTAATAATTCTATTTGTCTTTTCATTTATCTTTTAATATTTATTCTCATATTCTTTTATTTTAGTTGGGTTTGTGTCTTTGGGTGTGTTCATGACCTGCCGTCTTTTCGGTTAAACGATAGAAAAGGAGCCAGAGAAACGTCCAAAAGTAACTCCAAATATAAACCTAATGTAAGCACCTGACCGCCTGTCGCGTCTCTTGGAAGATAATGCGAGGTAACGAGGTAAAAGGAAGAAATATGCCATCATCTCCCATCCGTCGCTGTTGGGTAAGGAATGGCTTTTCTTTTATCTCTTCTTTTTAATTATCTTTGCTAAGCTTTTAGTGTCTATTGGATGTGTCTTTAGGAGAAGTTAATTCCTGTCAAGACACGGAGTGTGTGTACGAAGAAACCGAAAGGCCATCACTTGTCTCTTTACTTCTTTCCTCCTTTCCCTGTCACGTCTTTTCCTTTGGTAACTCATAGATTCTGAAGTGTGTGACAGGTAGAGGAAAGAAAGAGACAGGAAGACCCATCCATTTCCCCAGTCACTCACTCTCTTCGTTCGTCCACATCTTAAAAGCTGGGAAATGGATAAGTCTTCTCTAGGACCTGTCTATCATTATCCTTTCATGTTATTCTCCTATCCAAATCTCAGGAAAGATGGTAAGTGAATGATAGACAAATGAAAACCAAGAATGATAGATAATTGATTGGCCGCTGTCAGCTCCCTTCCAGCTATTCTTCTCTCTTCGTCTTGACGGGAACTGACGAAGGAAGAGAAAGGAAAGACACGAAGAGATGGGAGAGAAGGAAGGAAGGGTGATCAGGTCCTATGTCTCTTTCATCGCTTTCCAGGACCTGTCTTCCTTCATCTTCTCTCATTTCCCTTCCCTTGTAACCGCGAGGAGATAGGAATCTGTTAATTGGCTCGCGGTTGGGAAGGATAGAGAGGTCTGACGAAGGAAGAGACCGAGCGTTCATTCATCCCTTCATTCACTCTTTCCTTTCACTCGCTTCACCATGTAATTCCTGAGAAGACAGGAAGGTGAAGTAGCGAGTGAATGGAGGAACTGTAAGGTGGTGAAAGGAACGGCTACCAGTCGCATTGTTGAGGACCTTGCTCTCATGGAAAAGAATCATAGAAGTGGACAGTGTCTTCTGAAAACGAAGCCAACGTCTTCTGAATCTCTAACGAAAGCACTCATGGCATGTTATTCTTCTCATGGCCAGGGGATGTTGTCACATGAAACCTTTATTCAGCCTTTCAACTTGGCGATTTGGAACCAGCTGTCCGGTTCAACTTAGGTTCTTACGTGCTTTTAGTGGGTTAGTGGGTTAGTGGGTTAGTTCCATTTAACCCGGAGGTGAAACTTTTGGCCGGGGATCAGAAAACGGACAGCCCAGCCAACTACAGCTTCGCACCTTCAGAGGCGTTGCAACCATCCGTCCCCTCGAGTGTCGAAGCTTTCACCGACTCAGGTGCTGGGGCTCACCTTGCCCCCCGGGTACCAGCTCACGGACCGGCCTCCGGGATTTGTTTCGGTTCCCCGGTTTCCCTGCAGCATCTTTAAGTGAGCCACATCCTGTTCTTGTGGGGGCCCAACCCAAAAGTGAACTGAACCCCCACACAAGAACCCTCCCCCCAGGCCATCTCGGAAAAGCAAGCAGTTCTGCATCCAGGTGTTGTATTTCCGCGAAGTGGCGGACATTGCTGGTCTATAGTGCATGGACCAAAAGGTGGAGCCAGTGGAAGAGGTTACCTTGAGGTCCACATCATTGGGATCGTGATTTTCCTTTGGGGTTTAAAAAAGGGACCACGCATAGGTGTCCTTTTTGGTTAGTTTGGCTGAAAATAGCCGGTAAGTTTATTGGTTGAAGCATCTACCACGTAAACCCGTCTATTTTTCCAAAAGGACACCTATGGACAGCCACGGTTCCGGTTGGCACCGAGCGACTTAGATCTGCTGGAGCGAGTCAACGGTGAGCGATTCTGTGCTTGCAGGTCCCTATACTCGGAAAAGGATCGATTTCAGCTCCCGGAGTTTCAGATTTTGCGACGCATGGACCTAGATGGAGGTTGCGCCAGCTATGCTTGCAGCTGAGACATGAAACAACTCGCACCCTTTTTGTGTTAGGTTGGACCTTGGTTGCCTGCGGCAGCCCGAACAGGTTGCAAACCACCAGTTGTCCTTGACCGGTTTTCCTCAGGACGCAGCAGGCCTGCAGTCGCCCGGCTGCCCTCAGGCGACGTGGGGTCTCTGGAGGACAATGGGAAGCACTTGGCTCGTCCTTGTTCTTCGGCGTTGGTACCCTCTTTTGTGGCTTTAAAGGGAAGCCAAGAAAACCGCAGTTGCGCACAAAAATGGGAGGGACATCGACCCTTGTGCCAGGGGCTATCGGAGCAATTGGTAGGAACTCAGGAGAGGGTTCCATCCCAAATCAAGGCGACTTTTTTTTTCTTCTTCCCTGTCCATTAATATAGAACCCACCTCAGGGTCCCTTCCAAAGGAACATGATCTTCCAGGACCCCTCAGTCAGGTTCCATGTTAATGGACAGCCAGGTCTTCGCGCCCTTCCATCTGAACGAGCCGGGTGCCCGGCAAGGGCTGTGGACATGGGGCCGACCCTTTTTCGGGCGCCCCCAAATGAAGGCAGATGATCAATGTCTCCTACTTGGGTGTTTCTGAGTTTGGTGGTTCCTATCCTTACTTACCTCTTTTGGGCCATGAGAGGGGATTGCATGAGAGGGGATTCCAGCGCCAGAATTGCCCTCACCCATTTCCTATTATGGACAGGGAGGAGTTAGACTTGATGTGGCACAGCTTCGCTGGGACTCCCTCGACGAACATACATGCAGCTCACTGACGCAGTTCACTGGCGAGACCGCAGTTCTAAGAGGGTTTCCGACTTGTAGGTCATTTTGCTTGGCTCTAGCTTTTGGAGGTGCAAGACCAAACCTTTGGACGTTCCGTGGCAAGGGTTCTCGAGGGGGAGACTTTGAAGGAAGACAATGCAAACTTGGACATGAACACCCTGCCGCTTTTTTCGTGGAAGCCAAGCGGTCAACGTCCGTACAGCTGGAGTTTTGTTTGAGCGTTGCTCGCAAACCATCAATATGGGTGTGTCTTTGTTTGAGGGTACCCTGAATTCTGGGTGTTTTAATGGAACACCAAAAGGAAGAATACCTGGTCCCCCAAAAAGACGCATGTTATGTGGCGGACCTTTTTGCGTTGTTTCCACCTGTTTTTCTCCTCAATTTCAATGCGGATGATGCAGGTGATGCAGGGTCCGCATCCCCAGCATCCTCAGCATTACCTGGCACATCTCCCATCAGCCTCCCGCATCACTCTGCATTCATGACTGTTGCTGTTGGCAGCTGCTCTTCCCTTGCAAAAGCGCAGTTTTTCAGAGCCCCTGTTGCATGCCTGCGAAGCTTTGCCTCAATTTTTTGGGAGCTGCCCCTCCCGTTCCGGAGCCCCTCTTCCCTGCCTATTGTTGCTGGGAGGCGAACTGGCTCGAGTTGGTTCTCTCTGGTTGAGATTAGATTTGGATCTATGACCCACAAGTTGGTTGTATGGTATAGGCTGGGTCATACATTGGTTGTGGTGTTCGCATCTTGCAGTAGCTGTGTACAAGGAAGTCTGCCTACGCCAACGAGACGGAGGTGGGAGCGCGGCTTCGCGAGATTGCGGCGGTTTGCAGCGGATCTCCAGCAGGGTTTTCAGCACCATGTCCTTGAAACATGAGTTGGGCTTGTCAACCCAAGGATGGGAAAACCCGAAATGGGCGGTTCGCACTTTAGTTTCCCTTAAACTTAAACAAGTGCCCTTCAAAATGACTTCTTCAGCTGACCGCTGAAAACCATCCGCTTCGGTTTGATCTGGTTTTTAGTCGGCTTAGTGGGTTTCCACTTGAATTTCAACCCACATAAACTTTTAGGAGGGGATCAGCAAACGGCCAGCCCAGCTTCATCGGGGACACCAGTTCCAGTTTCGACCAGCCTTTTTCAGGCCCGGGAAGGCAAGGTGCTTCGTCTGCCTTGTCGAGAGCAGCCTTGCAGAAAGTCCTCTTCGCCAATGGACGAATTGCAAGTAGCCTTGCGGATGGGCAAGCGGTGTGATTTTCCGATTTCCTGTCCTTGGATGTTCGAGTCGCTTCGTGTCTGTGGTTAGCCACTTTGGGGTTTTGTCAATCCCTAGAACAAGGTTAAGCCCACATGCACGGTGGGCTGTAACCGAAGGGTTACCGTTACAACTTCTCTTGGCGAGCCGAACACCCAAGTCCTATGGACCTCCTGCCGGGGTTGAGGTGCACCAAAAAAAAGACCGCCCATAGGCTTCAATTTCGTGTGCATTTTTTTGGGGGAACCCCAAAACGGTGGTTTTGCGTTTCGTTGTCCTTTAGCCAAAACATGGGGTGCCCCCCAATTGCTTTTCTTCTGTTCGGGTTGGACAACTCGAGTCCACAGGCGTCGCGTGTCGGTGTGGGCATTCTTTCCGGTCCCCGACCCGTTTTATTGACACCCTATTTACCTGATGTTGGGGTTGGCAAACCACCAATCTCAGCCACCAACGACAGTGAAGCTAAAAAGAGGAACCCAGCCACCTTGGGGCATCAGTTTTAGAAACACCCAAATGGGTGTGGCTCGAACTTCAAGACTTCGGGTTACGCAAGTTTTTGTCTTTTGTTTTCATTACCAAGATAGCATTTTGGGTGCCATATTTTGAACCACACCCAAATAACCCCGTGAGTAACCAGGCCCTCGTTCAACAAAAGTGGGTTGGGCTTCAGCCCACTTCGCCGCCCTTCGAGGCGATCTCTCTGGTCCGCCATGTGGAGAGCTGCCAGGCCACAACGCAAGTTCAACGGGAGGGCCCCCCCAATCTGTACGGCCCAAAATTATACCACCAAAGGACCGCAGGTTTTAGTCCTTGGTTCCATGAACCAGGGTGCCATAGCGGGTACCTATTTTTGAGCCACTGGTTTAGCTTGGGCTTTATGCCATTTACCGGGGGAAACCCATCGATTTCTATCCAAAAGGGACAGCTATGGTCATGGAGGTGTGACCTTAGAAGCGAGCTCGCCACAGGTCTTGAACGGCCTGGACGCCAAAGGCGGGGGGAGGGGATTGGTTGCGTGTACTTGGCCCCCAATGGTTTCTGACCAGCTAATGAGATGGTGACAGCGTGCACTCCACTTGGTTCAACTTCTCAACGAAAAGCCAGAGCTTGGGTGGATGTGAGTCCATTTTCGACCCCCCCAATGAGTTTCCTCGCTTGCTTCTTTTCAGAGTCCAGGAATCCAAAGTCGAGGTCCCGCGAGAATAGTCCGCCGCAATCACAGCAAAGGTTTGCATTTGGTTTTCCTTGGGCATAGTCAGGAACCCTGGAGGTCATAGTACGAGCGTGATCAGTCCCTCATGGGCTGTTGGCCACCGTTTACTCTCCCCAGATTGCGGACTGGCAAAAAGACGCGTGCAAACATGTGTGACATCGCTGATGTAGAAGGGCCGAATGGCATATGTGGGGGGTGTCTTTTTTTTGGTTGGGTTCCTTTGGCCTTCCGTTTAAAACCACAAACGCTGGATATCCTGAAGTAAGACGAGCCACGCATGTGACGTTTTCGACCCCTCCCCGGAGCTTCGCTCTGGAGGCAACAGCTCAGACTTGGAGCAGAAAGGCGGCAGTTCGCGTTCGCGACGGGGGACGGGGGTGGAACCCAGAGACCAGAGAATCGAAAAGCCACCCCGCGGCAAGCGCCGCGCGTGAGCATCTTTGATTCCTTTCGTGAATCTTCTCAAGAGCAATCAATGTCACTTGTTTGGGTATTTTTTGGCGACAAACTTCCGACAAACCCTGGTTGCGACCCATAGTGAAGGTTTCTTGCCGCATGCCCTTTCTGGGCTTTGGGAGCGAACCGGAGTGCTTAGCTCATGATATTTGGTTCCGAGACCGCCGAGACCCATAAAGTACTTTTGCTGCTTTCCTGCATATGTGTTTTTGTTTGGTGGGGTGGGGTCCTCTGTTTGGGTGGTTTTAAAAGGAACACAACGGGAAGCCTTTTTTCTTGGAGGGGGGGAGGGGGTCGGATCAAAAACAAAGACACGCCCCTGCATATCAGAAGTGGAGCCACAAGCCGCAGCTCAAATCATCAACCGTTCAGAAAGCCACCTTGGCCGAAATCTCACATCGTCTTGTCGGGTTGCGGTTCTGTTGCGGTTTCAGTCAAAGTCAATGAGTTGCGGTTCTGTTTTCGTGATACGGTTTTTTTGGGCAACGGTGCAAGCAACAGGCCCCAGCTCAGCAGTCTATGGAAATTTCATGCAAGGAGCCTTTGGTTAAAAATAGATGGGTTCCACTGGTTTAGATGGGTTTTTTGCCCCATTCGTCTGTTTGTCCAACAGGACACCTATGGAAGGAGCCTGACAAGCCTAGTTCAGGTCTTTTGGTCAGTGGAAACTCAAGTGATCTTGTCGACACGGTTCTATTGATGAGCGGCCCTGGATTCGTAGCACACTAAAAGGGGGCTCCGTTGGATCGTACGATTTTTCAGATGAGTGCGTCATTTTTGCTCGGACCCCCCCCCAAAAAAAAAGGCATTGGTTGTCCCTTTGGTTTCCCTTTAAACCTATAGGTAACAAAACGGGGGTGCCCACCCCAAAAAGAAGACGAGCCCCGCACACGGACGTCTCGGAAAAGTCGGCAGATGCGACGGTGATGCTCACCTTGAAGCTGGTCGGAGACCTGCCGGAGCTCTCGAGGAAGGAGCTGGCGCAGCTCGGCCCTCCGTGGAATCCCATCCAACAAGGTAGGTACAAGGAACCTCCGAGCCAGAGAAAACCCCCTCCTTGGACCACTCCCTTGGACCGGATTCCCTGAGTCGAACTGGGGGTGTCGTTTTCTTCGTCTGGACCCCCAAGTGTGGTCCTTTTGGTTTCCCGGAGTTTCGTGTGACGAGCTGCCGGAGCCGAGGGGCGGAAGTTGCCAAGCATGAAAAGAGCTGAGTTTCAAGACACTTCTTTTCCCCTTCTCTCTCTCTCCATTTCTCTTTCTCTTTGGTTTTTTCTTCCTCTTTTCTTCCTCTTTCTCTTTTGCTTCCCCTTTTTCTTCATCTTTCTCTTTGGTTTTTTCTTCTTCTTCTTTTTTCTTTGTTTTTTTCTTCTTTCTTTGTTTTTTCTCGTGTTCTTTTTCTGTTGCGTTTTGTGTCTCTCTCTCTCTCTCGCTCTCTGTCTCCTTCTCTTTTTCTTTTCCTCACTTGCTCTGTATTTCTTTCATTTTTCCTTTCTCTCTCTCTCTCTCTCTCGCTCTCTCTCTCTCTCCTCTCTCTCTCTCTCTCTCTCTCTCTCTCTCTCCCTCCTAGAGGGTTCACTTTTTTAAAGTTTTCGAAGCAGCGTGCGCGACCGTGCCAATGGCCTCGTGGCGGAACCTGCGGGTACGGATCGGCTGTCCTGCGGTTCATATGAGTTCCGTTAAAAACCCCCCTAGTAGAGGACTAGTATTGCAGCGACCCAGGTTTTTGACACACGCAGCGAAATGAGGCCGCCCCGCCTCTGAATCAACTTGATAGCGTGGAGCCCGCCAATAGCAAAATAAGTGGGAACGACATTTGAAACGACATCCCAGCGGCAGTAATCCCTTCTTCATACTTTGCGTACTACGCATGTCCTGACAAGTTGCGACTTTCCAGCCGGAGCTGCCGGAGCGGACTTCGCGTGCTACGCTTGTATTGAAAAGTTGCGGCTTTCCAGCCGGAGCTGACGGAGCCTACTTGGCGTACTACGCTTGTACTGAAAAGTTGCGACGGAGCTGCCGGAGCGCACTTCGCGTACTACTCTTGTGCTCAAAAGTTGCGACTTTCCAGCCGGAGCTGCCAGAGCACACTTTGCGTACTGCGCTTGTACTGAAAAGTTGCGACTTTCCAGCCGGAGCTGCCGGAGCAGACTTCGCGTACTACACTTGTGCTGAAAAGTTGCGACGCGTTGCCTGCGCACGCTTGCCCGTGCATGTTTGACATGTTGCATTGCACGATGCAGTTGTCTGTACATCCTGCAGTTTTTTCCCACAGTTCATGCCGAGCCAGAACGACATCAGAACGACATCAGAACGACATCAGGCAGTTCCCCAAAGTGTATATGTACTACACTTGTACTGAACAATTGCGACTTTCGAGCCGGAGCTGCCAGAATGCATTTCCTTTACTACACTCGTATTGAAAAGTTGCGACTTTCCAGCCGGAGCTGCCAAAGCGTGTGTCCTTTACTACACTTGTACTGACAAGTTGCGACTTTCCAGCCGGAGCTGCCAGAGTGCATTTCCTTTACTTCACTTGTACTGAAAAGTTGCGACTTTCGAGCCGGAGTTGCCAATGTTTACTTGCGATAGTTGTTGTTGCAAGCGTTGTTTCTTACAAGGATGTCAACAAAATGAGGCCGCCCCGCATGAGACTGACCACATCATATCGTGGGTGTAACGAAAATTAGGGGGGTTTCCAACAGAGCTCATATGCGTTGCCACATGTTGTTCGAGTGTCGAGATTGCTTGCGCAGCTGCACCATGGGCTCATTCTTGGCATTCTTTGCGTGGCCTGCGCGATTTCCAACACCCTCTCCTGCCTTTTGCGCTCAGTTTGTCTACTGCGAGGGCTTTTTTGATGGGCCAATCTCCCCAAAAAAGCCAGTACCTTCCCCTCCGCGCCTCAGTCGACGTTTCTATTGTTTGTCTCGCTGCCCCCGAAACAAGGCTCTATTGTTTATCTTTCTATTGTTTATCTTTCTGCTGTTTATTTTGACGTTTCTATTGTTTATCCATTGATATCTTGAATGAGATTGCCACGCAGATCTTCATGGCAACCACGCAGATCAGAGGCAGCTTCCCAAGCATGCCTCAGGGTTTCCTGGAGCTCTCCCGTGCAAAAGAGTGTCCAAACGAAGGTCCTGTTGCAGGGTTTCCTCCAGTCCTTTTTTGTAGTGCCTTCAAACAAAAAGCAAGGGTTTCAATGGAAGCCACAGGTTGCCACTCAAGGGGAAGCTCAGTCCTTTTTCGCTCCCCGAATTGAGCTTTCGCCAGTTTCCAGCTCGCTCGGTCCAAGGGTGGACCATGGCAACGGGTCCATCGTGACACCGATGACCTGGTGGGGACGCCAATCGCCGGATGGAAAGTTCACCCAAGCCATTGGCTGAAATGCAGTGTCCTTGGATGTTTTAACTCACTTCCTGAGTTCATGAACTTTAAACTTTTTGGGAAGACCATTTTAGTGGTAATTATAAAGTTTAGACTTTTTTGGGCCATCCACTCAGCCAGGGAGTTAAAGGGAATCTATCACTGCTGGACATATTTTCCCGAAGGAGGAGCGAAAGGTTCCCGTTGCTGAAGGGCTCTGGGGGTAAGAACGTGTTTGCCGGACGTGTCGGTGTTTTTGCAAGCGTCCGCAAGCGTTCGCAAGTGTGCGCATGTGAAAAAAGTTGCGGCGCCGTTGGGATCGCTGCGGAGTGCGACGTTTTCATGAATCTTGAAGTGCTGATTTCACTGCGCCTGTGCGTGATTCGTGCCCGCTGCGCAGGCGCAGTGTTTTGGAATGTCGTGTGTTCGCATTGCTGTGCCATTTTTGTCGTTTTGAGGTGTCTTTCTTGGCAATCGCGGTTCGCGTGTGTCTCTTTTTTTTCATTCGGCCCTGTCGCGCAATCTGCTCGTGTTGGTGAGCTTGAAGCTTGTTAAATTCCACTCGAACGCTTGCGTATAGATTGATATCGTGGCGGGCATTTGACGGCAGCCTCGCAGCGATACGACGTGCCACCGCAGACTAGGGTTCAAGAGCAGTACTGCCCCTATAGTACACTGTAACACCTTAAGACCTGTGAAGAAGTCTTTTCCAGGGTCGCCTTCAGCCTTTACCTTGAAATGGTCGCCTCCTAAGCTAGCAAGAAATGGCGCCAGGGCGGGTCCAATAAACCTTTCGCTAAATTGCCGGTTCGTGGCAGGCGCAGCACCTTGAAGCGGGGCGTGCAGATTTCGTGGCAGCGCAGTATAGTTTTCAGCTCGGACATCTGCAGATTGAAGTAAGCGTGAGAAGAGACGTGACGAGGCGCACGTCGCTCGTCATGTCTCGCTCGTGTCACATCCTGTCGCGTCTCTCATCAAGCCTCATCTCACGTGTCTCGTGACATCATCGGTCTCTCGTCACGTCCTTCAACAGTCTGTGTCGCGTCGTGCTCTGCTCAAATATCTCGTGACATCATCAGTCGCTTGTCTCGTCATGTCTTGCAACGTGTTTCTCGTCACGTCTTCTGGACGTGGCGTGATAGGTGTTGGGATACGTAGCAAGACACGCATAGAAATCTTCATAGCAACGGCAATCAAAAGTTTCGATCTCAATCCCACCCACGCAGGCCCGGTATCAAGGACTAGCTTTCACACGTGGCTAGCGGATTGTCAACAAACCGAACGCAGCGCAAGGTCTTTGTTGCCGACGGGGCAGTTGAGGTCGTCTCGCGCGAGGGAGGCATTTCCTGTACGCCTGGAGGCGACGCGCGTGGGCTTTGAGCTTGAGTTTGATGAGAGCTGTGGCAAGAGACGTGGCCACATGCGTGAAGAGAGTTGGCGCGAGACATGCCTGTGACGCGACGGGCATCGTGAGACGACCTGACGAAAGATGTCGCGCGAGACGCCGCGAGAGTCCTAACGCAAGACGTGACAGACACGTGGTGAAAACATGCCAAGAAACGCTAGGATAGACATGATTCGGCGCAAGATGTGGCGCGCGACATGAGACGAAATATGATGCGACACGCGACGAGGGTCGTGGCGTAAGACCGACGAGAGACATGCCGTGAGAGGTTACTTGACCACAGACGTGTTGTAAGACTCTAAGACGCGAGAAGAAACCTGACAAGATGCGAGACGAGCATTGCGGCGCAAGACGTAGCAATTGAGGAGGGACGACAGATGTGACAGGAGACGTTCGGAGCTCCGTGATGAGGGACAGGATGGGGGGAGGCGGCGATGAGGGACATGACGAGAAGCGTAACAAGGGACACGACTCGACACGCAACGAGAAGTCGACGAGAGACTTTGCCAGATACGTGACATAAGACGTGACGCGGGACGCCGCAGGAGAAAAGAGACGTGATGCATTTCCAAGGCGAAAGACTTGGCGAGAGACGCAACCAGAGACGTGATGGAGAGGTGATGAGTTTTAAGCGCTTTCAGAAAATGGCTTGCATTTGGGTTCGTGTGTTTTTCTCAGGTTTTTCAGGGGGCTTGAGCAAGTGGAAGAACGAGCTGCTGTTTTGCTTAGTAGTTAGCGGCTTCCCATTTGCCTCCTTAACCCAACCATAGTTGACGGACAAGTTGCTTCAGGTTTCAACCATCCGTTTGGATACCCTTGTGATTCTCCTTGGCTTGAAGGCCACTCGGTTGTGCCTTTAACTTCAACAGTTTGGCTGGAAACATGAACGTAACCACGCACTTGAAAAGTGGCAAAGTCATCATACCGGGGCGCAGGAATACTCCAATAATAACAGAAAGGAACCAATGGTACACCATGTTCAGCACACGCTCAGGAAAGGCAATCCGACCAATCAAGGTCAGGTAGGGGGTTGCTCTGGCAAACAAGGCCCAATGAGGTCAAACGTTTTCCTGGCCAGCTGCCTCGGGAGACAAGATTGAGGCTTGGATCACCGCGCTTCAAGTGAGTGATTATTCGTCATTCGTGGTCAGCCGGAACTTACCAACTCACTTGCTGACGCGCAGGTATAGGAGCAAGCTATTTACGTTTGGAAGACCTTGGAGTTCGGTCCGTTCGTCCAGCTTGACGACCCCTATGATCGCCAGTAGCCGGTGGTGTAGACCTTGGACCCGGCAAGCCGTTTTGGTAGCTGGCGTGGATCTTGTTTGCGCGCAGCAAAGGATGAACAATTTGCCTGGCCTCCCCCGGCACCCACACGGCCACACTCAGGTGGTACTTCCACATCCGCACTTGCCCCAGTCGTTGGAGGGGCGGTTGGGGATTCGGTGGGAGGGAAGGAGGGTGGTGGGAGCTTGTCCCTGGCCGAAGATCGTCTCAGTAAACGCCAGGCGGGGAAAGGCAGCGTCCAACCAGGTGAGTTGTTCATGTGTATGTGCTGCTACCTCAATGGTCATTTGGCGAATGATGTTTTTGTAGTAGTTGTAGCAAGCTCACCAGATGTAAAAGGACCCTGCACAAGATTGATCCTTGCTCGGCCAGTGACATGTCGTTTTTTGCAGATAGCATATATCTCTCTCTTTGTCTACAGTAAGGTTTCATGTTTCCTGTCGGTTTTCCAGGGTATACTGGTTTGTATGTTTCCGCAAGCGCGTAGGGAAGCAAGCCAGGTTCCGCTTGGATGGAATAGTTTGCTCGCTTTGGCATATCGACCGAACCGTGGGCATTCGCAGGTGATTTCGCCCAAGTCTACTTACCCCAGCTGTGCTTTTCGACTTGTCTTCTGCCAAATGTTGACCCCGGATTCATACACCCACCCTATGAATAGGGGTTGTTCCCTCGCAAAAAGAATTGGGACACCCCCTATCAATCAACCAGACGTTCTACAACAAATCCAGCTGGGTGTCTCGCAAAATCAGGTCCCCCACCACATGTTTGTTCTTTTGCTTCCCTTCACGTACCAAGTAAATGGGGCTCCACCAGCTCCTTGTTTTGGGTTCCACGGGTCAAAGGCTTCGAGCTAAGCGACCCCGAGGCGTGCTGTACCCTGATCGCTCCCCGGAGCCAGAGGCCGGGTGGCCTTGAGCTGGTAGCAAAAAGGGTCAGGTGAGCCAAGTTCAAAACCCGGTCCATGTTGATTTTCCTTTTTGGTTTCCTTCCAAATCCAGAATAACACACCAACATGAGTCAAACATCAAGGCGTGGTATTAACATGGTCGGCACCCGGAACCATGTAAATAATTTTTAAAAGGGCGGAACTCCGCACCCATTTCTGGTTGGGATCACTTCATCTACCGGGTTTTGAGCACGTGGCTCAGGTTTAGTTTTCCTTTTCAGGTCGCAAAACTGTGCAAGGGATTTCGGAGCTCTGTTCTGGTGCCAAAAAGGATAATTCTACCAGTGGTCTTATTTCCCCATTCAATAAAAAGGGGAGAAACAGACAAAATACCTTGGACACTTTGTGGCCGGATGATAACAAGTATGATACCCCTCACCCCAGAGATGCCAGCAAAACCAGTCTCAAGGGGCGTGGAGAGTGCGGCTTGCCATGGGAGAGGCGCGTTCAGAAGGTCGTATGCCATGCGTCTACATCAACCACGGAGGAGGACCTTTGCCATTGTTGCGGAAGAAGTCTTCTATCGCCAGGTTCCTCGGGAGCTACCCTGCATCACTGCCTCGGCTGCCCTCAGCAGTGCTGGTGGTCACAGCGCACTGGGAGACAGATATACTGAAGGTCTCGGCTGGCAAGGCGCATTCGCTTTACTTTGATTACGGCGGCTTTCCCAAGGAGAGTTACGAGTACACTTACCCAGCACCTGGCAGCCCAGAGCTTGCAACTCGCATCATCGCTTTGCTGGCGAGCCAAGGCTTGGAATGCGCGGCAGATGCGACGAGAGGCTGGGACCATGGCGTTTTTGTGCCGATGATGCTGATGTTCCCGGATGCCTCCATCCCGGTTGTCTCCCTGTCGCTCTACAGAAGTCAAGATGCAGCGGCGCACATTGCAGCAGGGGAAGCCCTGCAGTCCTTGCGGGACGAAGGTGTCTTGATTGTAGGATCCGGCGCTTCCTTTCACAACTTCAAGCACATGTTCGCCAAAGACGACGCCAAGAAGGCGGGGCAGAGGCACTCCCGGCTCTTCGACGCCTGGCTCGCGGACTGTGTGGACTCCGAGCTGAGCTGCGCGGAGCGGCGACGGCGCTTGGCCGCCTGGGCGTCCGCGCCCTCGGCGCGGGAGGCGCAGCCCCTGGGGGGCGCGGAGCACCTGATGCCGCTCTTCACGGTGCTGGGGGCGGCGGGCTGCGGACGCGGGCGCCGGGTCAACCGCGACGCGGGGGGAAACTTCGCCACCAGCGAGTTTGAATTCCTGTGAGAATCGGTGCGAGCAATTTTAGCGCGGCGCCGCGGTGATCGGGCGCTTGTTTTGGCACCGAGCCACTCCCTTGAGGGGACCGTGCTCGGTGAAACTGGTCGGGCTTGGCTTGCATCGGGCACCAGAGGCGCTCGTGGACTGCCAACCTCTTATGGACAGATGTAGAGAAGTAGAGATGAGACACATCTTGCATTTGAGTTACTCAGACTGAAACCACAGCAACATTTGAAATTAGTCGTTGACAATTGTGTGACTGACTCATATGGCATATGGACGGCTTCTCCATGTGTAAAGGGTCGGCGAATTCGGAAAGAATCCCAACCCCCATCAAATTAGCTCAGGTGGTATCCCCAACACCCAACAGCCCCAGAACCCCCTACAACCCTGCGGAACCCTCTCTGAAAGTTGCCCCAAACCACGCCAGAGCTTATTATGGGCAGAGACCCCATAGCTTTCACCCATGGCCTTCAACTAAAAATCGCATGTTCCTGGGGTGGGGCATGCTACAAGCTCACGTCTCCACCCAACCTCCCCCTTGTGTTCCCCAAATAAGGCCCTGAGAAGTCTGCACAAATATCAACGAGCTGTTCATGTCTGACTACATGGGTGTTCGGCCAATTAGTTGTTTGTAACCCAAGTTATCACCCACTTTTGAGTCCCCCTAAGCTTGCTGTAGGATTCAGGGATCGCTGGACAAATGTTTGGGCCCAAGCATCGCCTCTTGGCGATTGTGCCTGTGAGATGCAGGGTTCCACGGTACGTTGTGGCAATGTTGAGCGACATTGTTTCCAGCTATTTGGGTGTGGGTCAACAATAGGTACCCAAAATGCACCCCTGGTAAATGCAAGCAAGGACTCAAACCTGCAGTCCCTGGTGGTTTGTTTATGACCCATACCCATTTGGACAGATTTTACTCGGTGCATGTATCTCCAAGGTTGCCATTTGTCCGCGGGCGGCCGGCGAAGGTGAACCGCTTCATGCTGCACTGGGCCTCTGAAGCAAACACCATGTGGGAAGGCCGGGCCCGGTTTGGGCTGGGCACAAGTGGTAACAACCGGACCTGGGTATAGACGCAGCCAAAAGGGAGGCCTTTTGAGCAAAAGGATCCAAACATGTTTAAAGGGCCAAGCGCCCAAACCAGGTGTTGTTGGAAAGCATGTTTCTGCAGTGTCCTCCAGACCCGGGGGGCTCGAAAAGATGATTCAAACACCTGGGCGAGGGTCAAGACCAGACGTTTGCAGGCGAGAAAACTGTGGCAAATGAGGGAGGCGTTGGAGGATAACTACGAGTTGAACTCCCTAAGTGCTCTACATGTGACTTAAGTAGGCAACAAGACCCCCACCCCCCCCAGGCAGTTTTCTATACTTTGTGGTCAGCTTGTTTGCATAAAATTGGGATTTCCTGTGGGCTTTAAAATGTGAAGCTAGCCCTTCCTTCCGGCTCGAATGGAGCTGCAATGGAAGCCTCCGGACAGGTGATTTCGGCATCAGCTTGAATAGCTTGGAAGGAGGGGGCTGTTGCAGTGGGGCTTGTGCCTTAGGCCGCGTTTTTTGTTGTTGTAGGACCGAGGGCCGAGGTTCGGAATGGATGAGTTCTGCCTGCAAAGTTGTCGCAGGATCAGCATGGTGACCGCTGAAAGGAAGACAGACGCAAAACAAACCACCAGCTGAAGAGATCGCGTTTGTTTCAGGCAGCTGATGAGGATATCATTTTGGGGCTGAAGGGGCACCCATGCGACGACAAGGTTGGTGCTTTAACGACCCCCCTTCAAGCTTGGGGAATGAGGGGGTTGGGTCGTCCAGTGGCATCCCAGAAGGTGGAAAGGCCATTCTCACAGCCGAATCGACTTCTACCCCGTTTCCAACTGGCATGGAAGCTAGCCAAAGGGTTTTGAAAGAGGGTACCAAAGCCAAGCATATTTTCAGGTCACCCTTGGTGGGTGGTTTGGATTGGGGGATCTGAAAAGGCCGTTTGTTCACTTCCATTGTTAAGAGGGTAACGTGTCCAAGCGAACAAAAGGACCATAGGCCAGTGCCAGCGCAAAGGTGAGACCTCATTCCAATCCTGGCCGGCCCGGCACCCGGGAGATTGGCTCGGATGTAGATGTGCATGGGACCTGAACGCAGAGGTCGTTAGTTTCACTGTTTCTGTGGGTTATCGAAGTCAGAAAATGGGGTTGTTCCCCTTCAACCCGCCACTCAGGGGTGACTTTGATCATGGTAAAATCATGAGGCCAGAGCACAATTGGAAGTGTTTTGCGCCAGGAAGTTATTTTTCAGGACCAAGTGGATCACTTGGGTTTCGGTGCGAGCAACTGTGATGCATCTTGTGTTTCACGTCGCCGCCCTCACTGGCCGGGAATAATCCACAGGTGGCTGTGCAACACATGCCCCAATTCATACATGCACATGCCCGTCTTGGGTTCATAGGGGATGGTCTTTGAATGCCAAAATCAGGCGAGGGAACTGTGACACATCTATTGGGAAGGACCATGTCAAGTGTGTCGAAGGAGACATAGGTCGGTGCTTGACGCCCTGGCACTTTTTATGTCTATACAGGTGCTTCTTGTTTGGGGATTTTGGAGCACTCTTGACACTGTGCAAGGCTCATTTACATCGTAGTGAAACATGTTGCCGTTTTTGCTTGGCTTGCCGACTGAATATGGGGTCCTGTTTGTTGGCTTTTCCGAATTGGATTTTCGCAACCAACAGCAGAGAGGATCCCTCAGTGAAAAGACCATCACAACATGAATGTGCTTAAGCCGCGAGTTTCTACTTTTCAGAGAGACATGGTCAGGGGTGTATGTCCTCTTTATCCTTTTGCCTGGCCCGGCAAGATTGGTCAACCCCAAAACGGATGGCTTTTTGAGCAGCAGGGGAAGGCCTCCCCCCCCCTCCAGGGCTTCGAACAGACCCAGCGTCTCGCCGCCTCGCCTCTCAGATCCTGGGAGACTGGGAGTGCGCCTACTCTGACTGGGAAGGCGCTGGACGGAAGATGTTGCCACTTTTTCGGTTCGTTTTCTTCCCGACAGCTGAAAGCTATGCCCAGATAGGCTCCTTCGGAGTGGTTCTTGGGGTTGGCAGCGTTCAGGCAGGGTTCAGAAGGAAGGTTCCAAGGCTTCCGGGGCAGTTGGGTCCCGATTATCGCCTGAGCCACAATCAAAACCCGGGCAAGTGAACGTTAGTAAGGGACAATCCCAGCCATAAACAGCTGCGGCCGCCTTCTTAATTCTTTGCCTGGTTCTGGGTCGACCATTTTAACACCGGGTTTTGAGTATGACTTACCAAACCTTATTTTGTTGGTTCTCTTCATTTTTCGGGGGGCAACAAATCCGCCCCGCGCCAAGGGTTGGAAGGAACGGGTCCAGTCCGCCGCCCGAATACATTTTCAATGGGGGTTGATCAAAAGGTCCGTGATACACGGCATGACCGCTGGACACCACAAAAAAGACGAGATATTTCCCACTAAATGGAAAAAGAAAAACATGATAGATTTCCCACGAGATGGGAGAAGTTGCCCATGGTCATTTGGGGGCTGAACGGAATATCGATCAACCCCAACATATTGCCTGGAGGCCAGAGAAAATCAACAATCGGGTTCCTTTTTTGGTTTGCGCCAGGGGATGTCGCTGCAATCCTTAGGTCGTGTGGCTTTGCTTAGAGAAGGTAGAAAAGATGACGTTTTTCCGATTTCTTTGGACTAGTGTAGGCTAGTGCTGCTAAGTTTAGAATTATTGAGTGCATATTTGACTTTACTATGGTCGTAAGTCCCCTATTCAGGTGAGAATCTATGGCTAAAATCAGTTACAAAGTAGGCTGCCCCTGAAAGAGTGGATACTTGAACATTGTGTCATTTTTTGCGTGCACTTGCAGTGTTGAACCACATAGGTACAGGTTTGTCCCGCCAATGAGGGGCAGTTCCTTATCTGTAGATTTTTCCGTTAGATACCCGAGCCCTGTCAGAAGCTGCCAAGGTGAGAGCGTCATACACAATGGAAGGCGTGGATGTTTTTCCAAGGCATTCTAAGACTTGCTGGTTCGATGGGAATGAGAAATTGAATGACCACACAAACCATCCCCGATTTGGTTTCCTTTAAGGGAATCCCCTTTTGGTTCATTCCCAACACGCTGCATTCCCTACTGCGCACCAAGGGTCCTTCTGTGCGGAGCCTTTGGACCAAATTGCACAGAGCCAAGTTGCACAGAGCCAAGTGGGTATGAATTTTAATTAGGGACCCCTTGGTGGACATCATTTAGGTGGGGATCTATGTCCACCAACCACTTCTGAGGGGGTTCCCCAGTAAAAATCATTGCTGGGGGGAAAGCCAAAGCCAATTGCTTGAAGGCATGCCTCACTCCTCCAAGTCTCCCTTGTGTGCCCAAAAAAGGTGTTTCAAGGGACCCGGCAAGGATCAAGAGCAGAATTCAGGCATGGGTTTGGGAGGTAGGTTACGTACCACAAGGAGTATGTAACGCCTTGGCCTTTTGTTTTTATTGGTATGTCTCCATACTTCTCCAACCACCATGCCGTCCGATGCCCTGGAAAGGAAGCCGTTGCGTTGGGCTCGCCCCCGGTCGCGCCGTCCGCAGCGCGGGGCCGGGCGCCGTCCGCGCCAGGCTGGGGCTCCTGCTCTGCCCGGTGCGGCGGCGGCAAGCGCATGTTCGGGCGCCAAGCTGGAGGCTACTGTGATGGTTGCGACATCCGCTTCTCGCAGTGTCGCACCACCATTCAGAAACCCCCATAAATATCAACAAACAATGATTTCCCATGGGTCACCTAAGAATCCCAAGGGCGTCTGATTCGACTCAACGTAAATATCAAGAAACATTTTGGTTGCAAGCATGGTTTTCAAAGACTTATGGGGGACCTGCTGGACCTGATTTGGGATTCGTGGCTTCTTTGTATATTAAGGCTCGGTGGATTGTTTTTAGGGACGCCAAAAGGACAACCGTCCCTATTGGAATAAAGACGATTGAACCTTTGCTCTGCCATGGCCACAACTTACTCGGAGGGGACATCCGCTGCCAGCGGCGCTTCCGGCGGCTGAAAATCTGGATCTGTCCTTGCACAGCAATCGTCAAATGACAAAATGATAGTTGGCTTTGTTGACGGAGCCCGCTCGCTAGCAGAAGGGGATTCTGAAAGTTCTACCCTAGAATTTGAGACAAACGGGGCTCTCTTCGAAGGACATGCATCTTGTTGCCAGTTTCGAGGGAAAGAAGTGTCAAACTGATGTTCTTCCCTGGCCCCTTTTGGAGGTGGAAAGGGTCAACCCCGGATTCAGAAACGGGGGGGTTCGCCCCGTCCATGCCACTTCTACAGATTTTCCTTCTACTTCCTGTCTTGGAAACACAGAAAGGTGATCACCTTGCGACATAGTTAGCCATGGTCTGCACTCATGCATGGTTGGTCGGGAAACGGGCGCATTTCTGTTTGGTCATGCTGGTTTGCAGAACATTTTGCACGAAGAGCTTTTGGATATAGCAAAAAGGTTTTGAAGGCCTTTTTTTCTAGCCAAGGCCTTGCAGGACTTTTGGACATACTGACATACTACACATGTTTTAAGCCTTTTATTTTTTCGGCCAGGGCCAACTGTTTGATAGGACTCCTCCCTTTGCTGAGGCTGGTGAGGAGGCCTTTGCTGGCACCCCCCAGTGGCCGAAGCTGCATCTTGGAGCAGACGAGGGAGGGGAGGTTGGGGGAGGCTCTCAAACCAAGGGGTAAGACTTTTTCACTTTGGGGGTCCGTGGCTGGATATCATTTTTGAGTGGCGATCCGGGGATCGCTTCGCCGCGCGGAATTCGGGATTCGCGAATCCCAATCCCCGAATCCCAAATCCCAATTTCGGGATTCGGGAGTTGGGATTCGCGAATCCCAAATCCAACTTTGGGTTTCGGGATTCGCGAATCTCAAATCACATGCTCCAGGAGCTTCTCCGTATCACGTCTCTCATTTTTTGGGTTTGTCCAAGAATTGTTGCTTTTTGGGTGTTCCCCATGGGATGTTACAGCCTCGGTTTGTGACAAAAGAAGCCAATGGATCGGGGAAGTCTTCTTGCAGCTTGGTGAAGTAATGCGATTCACCCTGATCTCATCCGCTGGGTGTAGGGATGATCTTTTTAGGACACGGACACCGGCAACAACAAGGATATTGAAAGGGTTAAGCTTCGAATACCATCCTTGAATCACATGGGCTCCCCGTTTTCAATCTATATGACTTTGGTCTGCATAAACAAGTCGTCCATGGCTCCACATGTCATATCACAGGCTTAGGATGAATGGGAGGTGTCAAGACCCCTTTAGTAGATAATTTCGACAACATGGGATTTCTGCTAAGGCATGGCTTGCTAGAAGAGTTTCGGAGTTGCCGTCAGATATGGATGTGCGACCTGGCAGAAACCGAAGAGTTATAGAGCGGATACCCATCCTCCCACGAGCATGGAACCAGTTGGAACCAGTGGGAGGGTGCCTGGAGGATAAATTTCCTCTTTGAGGGACGTCTCAGGTGCCATGTTAGTGGGAGGAAGGGCCACCTGTATGCAACAAGCTCCCTCCCCATTGGCCCATAGAGCACGTCCAACGGGTGCCCCGAGCCCCAAGTTCAAGCCCGAGGGGTCCCCACAAGAACAAACCTCTCACTCGAGTTCATCTTGAGACTAAACAGTCACCTTGTTCGGTTTTGATCGCATTTTAGTTGGAAAACCCTTCCAGGACTTTTGGCCAACGGAAGTGGTCTGACATGGATCGCACCTCCGCATGTTGCCGGATCCTGTTTGCGGAGTGGTTGATTTGTGTGCGAGTCAACATATGGGTGCTGAAAATTAAAGAGCTAGGGCAAACCGCAGGTTTGAGTCTTTGGTTTCATTTGAGGTCCCATTCTGGTGCCTTTTTTGGAGCCACAGCCAGCTTTCCTCAACCGGCACACAATGGCTCCAATGTTCCGAGCCCGTGGACTGGACCAGACATTTGGACTGAACCCATGTTGTCTCGAAAGTCCAAGGAGTAGTTTTGTTTTTCATATCTTTATACATATGTCTTCAATCAGGCATCAGGAAGAGTACAAATTGCAGGTAAACCCACTTGCCTCGAAAATGTTTGCCCCTCTTTCATTTCTCTTAACGCCCAACAAGAAGGGGCAGGTCCTTTCTTCTCCGTGAAGAGCCATTGGTTCCGAGCTTTTCTTCGGCGAAACGAGCGAACGAAATGCTCGCCGCGATTTTCTCGCTTCCGAGGCAACGATACCATCCACCCGGACCCCGCGCTGCGGCCCCGGATCGCAGTTTGACCTGAGGTGCCGTCGGTTGGTTTCCCCAATGTTTCGGGGTTGAAAGCCCAGATTTCCAAGGGGCACAGGCCCTACGTAACTGCAACAACGAGGCAGCTTGACCGTGTTTTTAGTCTTGGAGGCACTTGCCGGTTGTTACTTGGAACCTTGTCAGGTGGTCCGACAGTTTGACGTCACGCTTACCATTAACCCAACGGCATGTCGGGCATGGAAGCAGCAGCCGTTTAACCTTTGTAAGCGCAAGCGAACTCTTTGAGGCAGCGTCATCATATTCTCAAAGCTGGCTAGAGTTGCGCAAGCCCTGCGTGGAACGGGGGTTGAGGCTTCGTATGCAAGATTGACGTTACACGCTGTTTCCACGTCATGACAGGTGGTTTGCTTTTGCCAGGTTTTGCTTGTGATGCAGAATGCAACAGGACGTGCGAGGTGGGGGACCAGACGCACCCAAACAAGGTGTCATCCGAAAGGGCTCGCCAATTGTAGGGCTGCCGACTGCCGGCAACATGATGTTTCATGAATACGTATGACCACGTGGGCATAGTTCGTGGTCGAGATTTTTCAGAGGAGGGCAATTTTTTAAAGGATTTTTTTTCGTTTTTTAAAGGATTATTTTTGTTTTTCAGGGTGGGTGGCTTTTCGGCTTTTTGGCTTTTGTGGCTTTTACGTGGGTTTTTGTGGCTTTTCATTTCGCATCCTCTGCATTCACAGTTCCTCTCTTTCGCATCCTCTGCATTGCGAGTTCCGCTGGCTTTTTGGCTTTGTGGCTTTTGGCGGCTTTCTGGCTTTGGCTTTTCGCATCCTCTGCTTTCCCAGTTGGTTTTTGGCCTTGGCTTCCTGCATCCTCAGCATCGCAAGTTCCTCTCCGCCACCCCCCTTGCGATTAAAATACACGCCTAATTGAATCGATTGAATCATCACTTTTTCGATCATCATGCGACAGCTGCTTTTTAGATTCTTTGGCTGCCGTTTTACAGGGATTAGTTTGCCCGTGATTGAATCCTCACTTGTACCATGAGGCCTTGCCGCAGAGGAACTGATGACCCCCCCGATGCTTTTTTATATTTTTTTGGCCCTAATTGAATCATCACTTTTTCAATCATCGTGGGGGGGCTGCCGCCCCCCCCAACCCGCCCGCTATTTTTTGGACTTTTTGCCCCTATTTGAATCATCACTTTTTCGATCATCATGCGACCGCTACTTTTTAGATTCTTTGCCCCGAATTGTTCGATCATCATGGGGGGGGCTGCCGCCTCCCCCCCCAACCCCCCCCGCTATTTTTTAGACTTTTTGCCCCTGATTGAATCATCACTTTTTCGATCATCATGGGATTTGTTTGCCCGTATTTGAACCCTCACTTGTACCATGAGGCCTTGGCGCAGAGGCACTGATGCCCCCCCCCCCCGCTGCTTTTTTTATTTATATTTTTTTGGCCCATTGAATCATCACTTTTTTCAATCATCATCCCCCCCGACTTTTTGCCCCTGATTGAATCATCACTTTTTCAATCATCATGGGGGGAATTGCCGCCCCCCCACCCCCGCTACGTTTCAGGTGTTTTACAGGGATTAGTTTGCCCGTGATTGAATCCTCACGCCATGACGGCCGTTGCAAGCAAGCTGAGCCTTGGGGTGGCCCTTGGGGGCCATCTCAAGACTTTCGCAGATGAGTTGATCGCTGCCTTGGGCAGAGGTCTATCAAAGATCGCATCAACGGTGAGTGGAGTGGTTTTGTCCCTGACGCGTGAAGCACTTGTGCGCACTATCAAGACAGTCATCAACTTTGTTATCAGCCAGTTGCGCGACCCGCGCGTGGCTCTGCGGCTGCTCGCCGCCTTGGCCGTCGTCATGACGGCGAGTTCCACCTACCACTTCGTGTGCGGATTCCTCAAAGTGCTATCGTCTTACTCTGGAGTCAATTCGCGCATTCTTGGTGAGCGCTTGGCGATGAAAATCGTTGGAACCTCCACCTACGGGTTTCCTAATGCCTTCCCTGGTGTCAAGCCTCATCCTGATGGCTCGGTAACCACCATGACAGGAGAACGCCTCACCCCTGTGCCCACGAAGGCACGTGCAGAATCCTCTGACCCGGCTGGGAACAAGACTATTCTTGAGTACAAGTTCGAGACACCAGCTGACAGAGCCCTTTTGGCGGCTCACGCCTTGGGCTACACCCCTGGTCCGTCTGTCACAAAGCAGGCGAGCGTCAAGTTCGTCAACCAGATGAATGCACCACCGCACCGCGGGTTGATCTACATCAACGACGTCAGCACTGTCGCCAACGGAGTTGCGATCAAGTATGCTGGCTACTTCGGGCACGTAGCCGTTACAGGAGCTATCGAGTGCTTGCTGGACGGAAACGGAGATCCCTGTGCTACTCTGGTCGATGATGACTGGAGTTTTGGCACGTGCGACATCTATGTGCACAAACTGGCTGGGGAGCCTACGGTGGGTTTCCTAGAATTGTCGAAGGCTGCCCCGCATTTCGCCTAACATTATTATGATCCCCGCACTGGCAAGACCAAGGTCAAGTACTTGAAGGGTGAAACCATCTTCGAGCATGCCTTCGCGGGCGGTCTGTGCTGCCACGCCATCACTCCTTGCGTCCCAGGAGATTCGGGAGCACCTGTCGTAGATTCCATAAACGGCAAGGTGATAGGAATACATGTGGGAGGAAATGACGGCTCGGTCGTTGACATGAGCAGAAACATCGGAGTCATGGTTCAGTCCACAACGGTTGCCAACGTGATCAATGGCGTCATCAAGGGACACTGCTACTGTGGTGCATACGATGACTGGATCAGTGCATACAAGTGGAATCCTTATGACCCCAACAATGATCTGCACTGCCAGGCTCGCTCCAAAGGCAACTACAAGAGGTCGGGGGCGTTTGACGTGAACAAGGATCACACGGCTGGCTCGAACAAGCATCTCCATGACAGAGACCGAGTGCAAGCAGTTGCTGACGTCGTGGTGTCTGACACCAAGAAAGAGCGAGCACAGCGGCTAGCCCGCATGTTGCCTGAGAGAAGCATGCACGTGTATGAAGCGATTGATGACGCAGCCCTTGATCTCTTGCCCTCAGCTTACGATGCTGGGAGACTTGCAGGCCGAGTGCGGCACATCATAGGCAAGGTCGAGGAAAATTTGCGCACCGCCAATTCATACTTCTATAGCTATGACGGGGCCTACGTCCGAGTCCGCGATGAGCTTGAAGACCACGAGTTTAGAGCGCTCTTTTGGTACTCCAGCATGCCATCAGTCCTGTCCCGCATTGTCATGTACAGGGACGATTTGCTCGAACTCAGGAAGTATGTCACAACAGTTCACGGCGCCACTGACGATGACCACCAGCGGCCAGGCAGGGCTTACAGGCTCATTCAGAACCTTGTCCAGAGCGTGCACGACGGTAGGTTTGATGTCTACCTCGCCAGGCAAAGTGACGTGTTTGAAAAGCTCAGCACCCCGACTTCTACCGCACTCCACAACCCAAGAATGCCTGGGCCGATGTAGAGGATGATGACGTGGCGGGTCAAGCTGGCCAACCTTCGGCCATCCCTATTTCTGCTGCCCTCAAGGGAATAATCGAAGAGTTGCCAGAGATGCTCTCACCTGTTGAGCTCGATTGGATCACACAGCGGCGACGGCAACGCAGTATCAACGACAAGTCTTTCAAAGTTGCCATTCCGCTGCGCAATGACAAGGTCGTTCGCGCTGCACGTGCCCTTCGCAGGGCAGACCCCAAGTCCTTTTCGCGTGACATCGTCGATGCTGCATTCTTCGTTGCCACACAGGAGGGCATTGATCGCGACACACCACTCGTGCCTCACTACTACTATGGGCCTGTCACATTGCCCTGGAAGGCGAGATTGTACGATTTCGTCGCGCGCATCGCAGCATGGGCGAGGTACCTACCCACAAGTGCCTTTTTCCACAACGCGCAGGTGACAAAACAAAAAGTACCATGAGGCCTTGCCGCAGAGGAACTGATGACCCCCCCGCTGCTTTTTTATATTTTTTTGGCCCTAATTGAATCATCACTTTTTCAATCATCGTGGGGGGGGCTGCCGCCCCCCCAACCCCCCCGCTATTTTTTGGACTTTTTGCCCCTCATTGAATCATCACTTTTTCGATCATCATGCGACCGCTACTTTTTAGATTCTTTGCCCCGAATTGTTCGATCATCATGGGGCGGGCTGCCGCCCCCCCCAACCCCCCCGCTACTTTTTAGGCTTTTTGGCCCTGATTGAATCATCACTTTTTCGATCTACAGGGATTTGTTTGCCCGTATTTGAACCTCACTTGTACCATGAGGGCTTGCCGCAGAGGAACTAATGACCCCCCTGCTGCTTTCTTAATATTTTTTTGGCCCTCATTGAATCATCACTTTTTCAATCATCGTGGGGGACAGCCCCCCGCAACCCCCCCGCTATTTTTTGGACTTTTTGCCCCTAGTTGAATCATCACTTTTTCGATCATCATGCGACTGCTACTTTTTAGATTATTTGCCCCTAATTGTTCGATCATCATGGGGGAGGCTGCCGCCCCCCCCAACCCCCCCGCTATTTTTTAGACTTTTTGCCCCTGATTGAATCATCACTTTTTCGATCATCATGGGGGGGGCTGCCGCCCCCCCAACCCCCCCGCGCCTTTAATTGAATCATCACTTTTTCAATCATCATGGGGGGGGCTGCCGCCCCCCCCAACCCCCCCGCTATTTTGGACTTTTTGCCCCTAATTGAATCATCACTTTTTCGATCATCATGCGACCGTTACTTTTTAGATTATTTGCCCCTATTTTTTCGATCATCATGGGGGGGCTGCGCCCCCCCCCAAGGGGGGCTGCCGCCCCCCCCAACCCCCCCGCGCCTGTAATTGAATCCTCACTTTTACCATGAGATGCGGGAAGCCACTTTGCTGGTGATGCTGGCGATGTTGGCTGGACATGCGGGGGATGTTGAAAACGATGCTGATGATGTTGACGGACGCGTAAAATACGTACATTTCGCGAGAAAATGCTGTAAATTACAGCATTTTAGTAGCCAGGACGGAAAACACAAAAAAATCCCAAAATAAAACAAAAACAAATCCCAAATTAAATCTCGACCCTTTTTCAGACTCGAACGAGTTGCGCAGTTTGGGCTCATGCTTAAAGACGTACGTCTCCTTCCGAATCGCCAGGGTGTTGCCAATGCTGATTGGACAAAAGCACGTTGATTTCCCTGCAAAAGCGACAGTTGTTTGATTTTGGAGGCATGCCACTTCAAGCATTTCCCCCCCCATGCCCCCTGTGGCCCAAAAGAAAAGCAGAAGAACAGAATCACGCATCTTTTTTGGCACAAAGACCCCCCAGCCCGTACCTTCCGCTCTAAACTTGGATGCCGAGGAGCTGCAATGAACACCCCTGCCACTACAGCTGCCAGTTCCATGAGGAGCTCTGCCTCACTCTTTGCCTGTCTCTTGGGTGAGTCTTTTTTTATTGTAATCGGACCGAGACCTCAAAATGGGTGATTGTCTTTTGGCTTCCCTTTAAACCACAAAACAACAGGTTCCAAGAAAAGACTCACCCTCTTTGACAGAAGATTCGAGCCCCGCCCCCCATTCTTTCCCCCAAAAGGCCCTGACGTGCAGCATGTTTGAGGCTTCGTCTCTTTTCCAGTTGAACTCCCTTCAAATCCCTTTTTACTTGGTGGGCCCAGCGAGCATCGAGCCACTACCTGTTGTTTGCTCTTCTTCTTTTGTTTCCGAGCCCAAGTCCGTGGAGTCTTAGACTTTGTGAGAGGAAGCTGGTTCCAGGCTTCCAAGTTCTGCTTTTCTTCGTATATTTGCTGGCCCCTCCTTGACCTAGGGAGACCAGATGGGTTCACGTCCTGGCTGGAGACTACGGCGCTTGGGGAGAGGTTCTTCTTTTTCATCTTTTGGACGGACTGGTGGTCCCATTTGGGCATGTCTGAGGCATTGGAGTCGACAAATCCGACATTGCTCACCGTAAGCAGCTTCATCGGCTTGCGCCAGGCAGAGTTCCTCCGAACCCCAAACAGGTGAGGGTCGAAAGCCGGAGTGTCCTTCGGTGCCACAAATTTGCCCAGGTTCAACAGCAGAGTCAGGCGCTCCCCAGTGGATACCCCAGGCAGCGCCACCCGGGAGCCACAAGTCTGAGACGCAAAGCCCTGCTTTGCAACGTTGTGCCCAGGGACAATGGGCCGACAGGTGGAATGAGAACATCCGCCCTGACACAGTCCCAGCCAGTACTGAATCGACTATGTGTGTAAGACGGCAAAAGGCCGTGTCTCGTCACTCTCAACGACACTGCGGTCCATGGCTGGTCTTGACGCGTGGGATACTTCTCATTGTCTCCCACTTTGCTCTGTCCTGTCTTGTTCTGTTTTGTCCTGTTCTGTCCTGTGCCTGTTCTGGCCAGTTGTCCTGTTCTGTCTTGCTCTGTTTTGTCCTGTCCTGTTCTGTCCTGTCCTGTTCAGTCCTGTTCTGTCCTGTTGTCCTGTGCTGTCCTGCCCTGCTCCGTCCTGTTTCGTCCTGTTCTGTTCTGTTGTCCTGCTCTGTGCTGTTCTGGGCTGTTCTGTCCTTCTGTCCTGTTCTGTCTTGTTCTGTCCTTTTCTGTCCTGTCTTGTTCTGTTTTTCCTATCCTGTAGACATGTGTCCTGTTGTGCCCTGTTGTCCTGTTTTGTCTTGTTTTGTCTTGTTCTGTCTGTTCTGTGCTGTTCTGTCCTGTTCTGTTCTGTCCGCCCTGCTCTGTCCTGTTTTGTCCTGTTATATTCTGTGTTCCGTCCTTCTGTCCTGTTCTGCCCTTTTTTCTGCCGGTCTGTCCTGTTCTGTTCTTGTTTTGTCTTGTTCTGTCCTATTCTGTCCTGTCTTGTTCTGTCTTTTCGTATCCTGTGCCTGATGCGTCCTGTTGTCCTGTTCTGTCTTGTGCTGTCTTGTTCTGTTCTGTCCTATTCTGTCATGTCCTGTTCTACTCTGTCCTATTCTGTCATGTCCTGTTCTGCTCTGTCCTGTTCTGTCCTGCCCTGCTCTGTCCTGTTCTGTCTTGTTCCGTCCTGTTCTGTGCTGTTCTGTCCGTTGTAATGCCTTGTGGTTCCCTAACCGGTTACCAGGGTCCTTGCTGAGCAATGGTTTGCCCGAAAAAGCAGGGTAACTCAAGGGAGCTTGTGAATTGCATGCTCTAGGCTTGGCCGAGCTATTTTGGACACCCAATGAGCCACATTCATAGGGGGGCTAGGTTTGTAACGTCGCGGATACAACTCCAGATACTAAGGGGGAAACGGCGGACACCTTTCTGCATTTGTTTTCAGCCTTTTTTCTCCTCGATCTCAATGCAGATTATGCTGGCGATGCAGAGTCCGCATCCCCAGCATCCTGAGCTCCCATCCTCAGCCCCTTGTGGGAACCGTACCCGCGCGGCCACGGATTTCAGGAGGAGATCATCAAGGGGGAGTGCTCCGCAACCTGCGGCGGCGGCGTGCGCTTTTCGCGCAAGAGGCGGCGGGAACATGGTGAGAGGAACATGGCGACCGACCAGAAAGTGGCGTTTTTTTTTTTTTAACATGCGCTTTCTGGGAATCTGCTGTGAGCAGGTCTCCCATACGGGTTTCTCTTACGTCCATGGTAGCGGTTTCTAGAAAGAAGGGGGCTGAGCACTTGGATATTTTTTTTGAGCCCCGGGCTGTTGTCTCACGAACAATGGATCAGCGACAAGGCGGGTGAGCAGAAATGTAACCGTCAACAAAACCTTTGAAGATGGCTTTGGACATGATTGCTCTTGAGCTCTTAAACTTGAGCTCCATGTCCAAACATGTCCCGTAAATGCGTGTTGATTGTATCCTAGTTGGTTGTGGATCGTTTCAAGTGACAAACTCGTCTTGGGGACGGCCCACTTGAGATCACAAAGGACTTTTGCCACAACCATGTATCCCCGCCCCAACAGGAGGGCGATTTGTTTTTTATTTGGGATCTCAAAGGGGTGCGTTTCTCAACTGGAGTCCTGTCGGTGTCAGTATCTGAGTCTCGAATTGTTTCTGAGAATCTGGGCCAGGTTCGTGATTGATGGAGACAACTTGCACTTGTGCCCGCAGATGGGCGAAGCTTGGCAGAGGTTCTGGTCCGACTGCCACGGGAGGCTTGCGGTATGCGTCGAACAACTCGTTGAGCACCGTTTTGTTGGTCAGAAAGGAAGCCTAGAAATGGTAAATCGCTGGGTAGCCATAGCCCAAGCCGGATTGAGGGTCGCTGAAGGAATGCGCCGATCTTCTTCCCTCACAATCCGTGGCCGAAAAGCACCGAGGACCAGTTTTCGGAGGAGTTGGAGCCGTGCAATACCGAGCCAAGGGCCCAGGTGAAGCGGCACTGTGCCACCGATTTTTCTTCCCATGTGGTTGATCAACCAAATGTCCGTCATTTTTTGAGGGTACCCATCCGCTTTTTTGGTTTTAAAGGCAAATCCCCAAGGGTTGGTCTAAAAAATGGCCACGCCCATGTGGTGGTTGATGAATATTTTCCCGACAAGGCCCCCCATGGGCAACTTTTCCCACATTGAACATTCATATCTTGTGGTTTTCCAACTGCTGGTCATCCCATGTACGGACCTCTTGATCAACCCCCGCACATTTGTGAGGTGAGCGACCCTTGGACCTTTTGGTGAAGCCTCTGACCACCTGGGGCCGAATCGGAACCGCTCCCGTCGTCCGCAGTTCTGAGGCCCTGCAGAGCCAAGCGCGGCCCCAAGCGTCTTTGAGCCAGCTGCAAAAATAGCCAAGCCAACGTGGATTGGTGCAAAGGCCGAGCCCTTGCAGAAAGGTGTCTTTTTCAAGAAGGGGTTGTGCACTTCCACAATTGTCAACTTGTGGAATCATCCTCAAATGACCTGCGGCAACAGCAAGCTGACGGCAATCCACTAGGTGCCTGTCAAGTTGGGCAGCATTTGCTCAAGCCAGCCTTTGGGCCCTCTCAAAGAGAGTATCAAGACTAAGTTCTTCAACCATCGCTGGATTTTCAAGTGTTTAACTTTTGCGCTGGTTTTCCCAACAGCAAAAGCAGGCTGCTTCTGAACTTCTTGAGATTGAGCTTTGGTCACTTCGTTGCTATGGATCGGCCCCCGGGAAAAGCCAAAGGAAGTTGAGGTGTGCTCCTTTTGCAAGACCTGACTTGACGGTCTGGATCCACGATGGAATCCAACTTGCTTCCTTTGGTGATACTGGGGAAACTCACTTCCTGTGCAAACCGTTGTTTAATTTTACCACTGAAATGGTCTTCCCAAAAGTCCAGTAACTCAGGAAGTGAGGAAACGGCAAGGGCAGTCCGTTTCCTGTCTCCATCCCGGGTAAAAGTCCCAAACCGGGTTCCGACACAGAACCCCGACGCAGAGGCCCCTAGGGCTTGGTTTCCCTTGAAGCCAACCCCAAAAGGGGTACCCTCAAAGAAAGACAAGCCCAAATGTTGCTTTCATGAGGGTTCACTTTCGATCCGTCCGCAAATGCCCAGTTTGGGGTCCCATAAGTGGTCTTTGGTTTCCCTGGCATGGCAAAAGCCGACCTCTTGACTCGACCAAATCTGGTGTTCCAGTGTTTCAGTGAACTACAGCGACGTGTCACAGAGATTTCGTTTATAGAGAACCATTATGTTGGGTGAGTTATGATTGTCCATCCAGACGGGTGGTGCTCTTTTGTATTTTTCTTTACACCAAAGCATCCAGTCCCCCAATATCAACGCTGTCAACTGGCCCTCAAAGTTTGCCAGCCTCACTTATCAGAAACCACATGCCGTGGGAATGATTTGGCTCCCCTGTACTTTACCAGCAATCCGTGTTTTCGGCTCGTCGTGAGAAGCGCATTTAGCGCAATCCACACCGAATTCCGTAGCCACTGGCCTCGCAATGCTCAAAACCGATTCGGGTAGCTTAAGGGCAAATCCGGGTCACAAATAGGTCACCGTTTTGGGAACCCTATGGAACCAAAGACTAAAACCGGTTTCCTGGTGTTTAATTTTGACCCATACCCAAATAGAAGAATTCTTTACATGGTGGGTGGACCATTTTTTAACACCGTGTTTTGATGACTCAGGTGCGAGCTCGCGAAGACGTGGACGGTGGTGACGCCCTGCGACGCCGTGTGCGGCAGGGGCCACTTCAAGGTCATGAAGCAGGCGAGAGTTTGCCGCCGGGGGGGGGGGGCTTGAGTTTTTGTTGGTACCCCCCCCCCCTTTTTGGTGGTTTTAAAGGGAAACCATGAGGAGCACCATCATGTTTGGGGGGTACGAATATGGAACCAGAGGGGTCTTTTTTAGCTTTGGTGACAGAAACAGATGGGTTCCGCTGGTTTTGAGCCGGTTTCATTCCATTTGCAGGGGACAACCGCCTATTTGCTCAGAAGCTCAGGGTTTCCATGGTGTCTCATGGAACAACAAAGATGTTGGGCCTTTTGCAGAGAAGACTAATGTCCATCCTGTGGTGTGGTGGACAGTGTTTCCCTGAGTCCGGGTGCGGCATCAACTGAGACTTATGGCCCACACCCACTGGAGTGACCGGTTCACGGTGAACCCAGCTTTGGTTTAGTGTTAGGTCCATAGTGTGAGTGTGGTTTCTTTGACTTCCGTGATAGGGAACTGCTTCTGCTCATGGGTAAGTTGTCATTGGAAATGCAGTTTCCTCACTTCCTGAGTTCCTCGACTTTTGGGGAAGACCATTTCAGCGGTAAAATTAAACAACAGTTTGGGCGCTTTGTGGCCAATCCACTCAGGAAGTGAGTTTCCCCAGTCTCACCAAAGCAAGCAAGTTGGACTCCATCATGGATCCAGACCGTCAAGTCAGGTCTTGCAGAAGGAGATCGACGATGAGGCCGGACTCGGAAGGGCCACGGCCTCCGGCAACTCAGAAGCTGGAGCTCGTTTCTCTTTGTTTTGTAGGCAGACTAAGAATGGTAAACCCAGCAAAGGATTCCCTGTGCTTCGAGGTTATTTCGGCACTCCAAGTGTTGCTTGGCGGAGTCGCTAACCAAAAAAAGGGGGCCGCATTGCCCAGGGAGCCTGAGGTAGATAGAAATGGGTGTTCTTTTGGAGGGTTCCCCTTTTTGGTGGCTTTTACAGGGAACCTCAAAGGAAACCATCATTGTGGCGGGTCCCCGAAAAAAGACACCAAAATGAAGATGTCTTGCTGGGAAAGCTTGATCCATCTTGATCGCACGCCTTTCTCGCTGCTCAGAGCTGCATCCCGGAGTACAAGTGGCTGCCATGCGAGCGCCAGCACTGCACTGCGCCGGGGCGCCCGTCGGCTGTGCCCGGCTTCAGGGGGAGGCCGGTAGTGGCTTCGCCATGCCCATTTTACCCCTCTTGAAGACTGTCACGCACTGAGGGTCTACCTCAGATGTTGGTATATGTGGTATATCTAGCTCCAAATTCAACCTGTTTGACTTCTTGTGGTCAAGGGGGGCCAGAGATGGATCGGAGCATCCTTGGGACGCCTGCAAGATGGATCCCAGGTTCACCGTGTCCCGGACAGTGCCAAACCTGCTTCCGGTGCCGGAAGACAAGCGTGGGCCCCAACTCGGGTCTCGGCCGGAAGCCTTTCTTATCCCAAAGCTACACATTTGAGTTAGTTGAGATGCTTTTTCACGTGTTTGCTGGGGTTAAGGTAAGGGGCGCAAAGGCACATTTGTGAGTTAGGTCGATATGCTATGCTTCACTTGGATGTCTGGGGTCAAAAGGAAAAACAGACAGGGAGCGCAAGGGTGACAGACAGTCAGGGTTCGGCTTCATTGCCACCGGGTTGAACCATGTTAAACTTTTGCCTTCCGGGCCCTTTTGCTTCAATGTGGATCCATGTTCAAGAAAAGCCAGTGGCTGGTTGCAGGAAACACCCACATGGGAGATGCACACATGCCGCCAATGTAGGCCGCCTTGTCAAAGGGTCGCATTTGGTGCAGCCTTTGCCGGGTCGAAAGGATCATGTTGCCCAATCGAAGCCCTCCACAGGGGACACTTTTGGGGGACCCTGTTTGGAAGGGACGCCGAAGGACGCGCCCTTGGCTCTATTTGGCCGCGGACGTCTTTCACCTTTTTTGGAGTTGCCCTGTACTTCTTGGTTCCACCCTCCCACCAACTAACATGGAACCTGACAGGGGCGTCCTGTATTGGACCATTTTCCTTTTGAAGGGACCGGGTCCCTGTCAGGTTAATTGGTGGGAGGGTAAAGGAAAACCGTTTCGCGCTTTGGGAATCCGAATCCCCAGAAAAGAGGACGAGCCCATGTTGAGATGCTCAGGGCCAAGCTGGTGCTCAGCTGGTCCCAGAAGACCACGTCCCGGAAGATTGTGATCACCGCCCCCCTGGGCTACAAGGTGGGGCCCTGACATCAGTGAGAGCAATCGACGGGATGAATGGAGGTCTTTAGTTGGGTGTGGCTCCTCCTTTTTGTAGACGGACCGGAAAGAAACCAAAATGCCGGAGTTCGGCTTTTCCTGGTGGTTTTTCATTTCCCGGAAGGACTAGACACAATTGGGAAACCCGCATTGCCGATCGAGAGCGCCAGTTCGGGGAGAAAGACGGCAAGTGCACCATCTACTTCCACAGCCTGCAGCCGCACCTCCAGTCCTGCAAGGCTTAGTGATTTTTTTGGGTGAAGTTGGGAAGTGCAAGGCTTAGTTTCTTTTTCTTCTTTGTTTTTTCCGGTTTCCTTTTTGGGGTGTTGGTGAAGCCGGGGGGACTTTGGGAAGGGGGGGACTTTGGGGGACTTTGGGGGAAATTGAGGAAGGTTGTCGGGGCTTGTTTGGGATTTTCGTCGGGGGGGTTTTCAGGAAAGACGGTGGACACCCTTTTAGATCAGAGTTCCTACAATTTGGGGCTCAATTTGCCCATTGTCCATCGCAGTCAGTTCTCCTGTTGGTTCAAAGATCACAAATTGGTTGCCAGTTCTGTTTCTTGGACACCATTGGCAAAGTTTTTTTGGGAACGCTTTGGACAACTCAAATGTATGCTGGTGAAGGAAGCATGCCGGCTTAGGAAGCCCTTCCAACACGCGGTGTCCGCGTCGCCAAAAAAGCTGTGTCTCGTTGCCTTTGTGTTTGCGTGTTTGTGAGTCTGCAGGTGTGATTACGTAGCCGTTCACCACGGCACATGTAATATTCTCTAGATCGCCCCGGCCGTGGTTGGTGACATGGACAAATGACAGCCCAGTGTAACGAGTTGGGCAGGAGGAGTTTAGGTTGGTTGGTTGGTTGGTTGGTTGGTTGGTTGGTTGGTTGGTTGGTTGGTTTGGTTGGTTGGTTGGTTGGTTGGTTGGTTGGTTGGTTGGTTGGTTGGTTGGTTGGTTGGTTGGTTGGTTGGTTGGTTGGTTGGTTGGTTGGTTGGTTGGTTGGTTGGTTGGTTGGTTGGTTGGTTGGTTGGTTGGTTGGTTGGTTGGTGTTGGTTGATGTTGGTTGATGTTGGTTGTTTGGCTCTTTGGCTGGGTTGTTGGTTGCTTGTTTGTTTGTTTGTTTGTTTGTTTGTTTGTTTGTTTGTTTGTTTGCTTGTTTGCTTGTTTGCTTGTTTGCTTGTTTGCTTGTTTGCTTGTTTGCTTGTTTGCTTGTTTGCTTGTTTGCTTGTTTGCTTGTTTGCTTGTTTGCTTGTTTGCTTGTTTGCTTGTTTGCTTGTTTGCTTGTTTGTTGTTTGCTTGTTTGCTTGTTTGCTTGTTTGCTTGTTTGCTTGTTTGCTTGTTTGCTTGTTTGCTTGTTTGCTTGTTTGCTTGTTTGCTTGTTTGCTTGTTTGCTTGTTTGCTTGTTTGCTTGTTTGTTTGTTTGTTTGTTTGTTTGTTTGTTTGCTTGCTTGTTTGGTTGGTTGGTTGGTTGGTTGGTTGGTTGAGTTCATTTCTCTCACTCAGTGGGGCGAAGTGCCCTACTTGTTCAGTGTTTCACGCGCGGTACTGCTTCAGTATCGGTCACGGTTTATTTCAACGTAAAAATTACCTATATTTAAATCTAACAGTTGATATATGAAGTAGTAAAGAGTCGGCAAACCAGTCAATCCTTTACGCATCCTGAACGTCCTTCTCGTCTCAGGGAGTGTGTCAGAAGAATGGTAATTCCCTGACCGGGCACTTTCAATCGTATCACATTCACCACATTTGCTACTCAACAACTAGCAAGCTTGCTTTTTGCTCTCTTTAGACTCCTGGACAACTGGTGAGGCTAGGCTTTCCAAAGCGGGTACCTGGGGCGGGGTTCCTTCCGTGAATGAAGCATTTAGTCGACCTCATGTTTTACCTTCACTTTCGACAAACATCTCCCACACATCGCCAGCCATATGGCCCCCACCTCGAACGGCCTTACAAACTGTCGCCCAACTTTGTCAGTGTTCCGCCTGAACCTTTGGCTTGACCCATTTGGAGCCTCTGCAACAGGGTTCCTTTTTTGACTACCCCAAGGCAGGCTTAAACCCAGGGGTGGTTGATTCCACCAACAGGGAAGCTGGGTTTGAGTCTACCCCAAGCTAGTCAAAAAAGAAAACTGGAGCCCTCTGCCCTTCGTTTGGCCCCCAAAAGACCCTGCACTCAGTTTTGTGGCGGCAGGTGGGGGACACGACCAACACCATCTACCTCAGCTTCCTGACGCCTCTGCCCCCTGCGGAAACTGGTGGCGCTCAACAGGGGCCCTCCAAGCACAGGCCGGGGGCGCGATCGATCGGGCGAGGCGGAAGCCTGCGCTGGCGACTTTTTGTCCGGGACGAACTGATGTGGTTCATGCAGCTTGTAGGAATGCAGCCTGGTACTTGGCCGATCAAGCAAGCGTTCCGTCTTGGCCAGAGCTGTGTAGCAAATTTGGTGCTTGGGGCATGCGGGCCAGCGGAAAAAGCAATCTCATGGGTTGGTTTCCCTGTTGTTGGCACGTGTTGAGGCTTTTGGTTTTGTTGTTTTGGTCCTGTTTGTTTTTAGCACCATACCCAGGGTTGGCACACAACGATTTGACCTTTCGAGCTTTCCAGTGTTGGTCTACATTTTCCAACCTGCCAAAAGGATGAGGCTTGTTTCATCCTTTGGGCAAGGTAGCTTATTGTGATGGGTACCATGGTACCACTGCTTCTGCTTGAAGGGGCTTGTGCCGCACTTTGAATGTTTGCTCGTGGGCCCAGTCCTTAGGCCTTTGGCCATTGGTTTAGCCCGCGAGTTCCCAACAAGCCTGAACGAGGCCTTCTACGAGAAAAATCAAGGGAGGGGACATGGGGATTGCTATGAACATGAACTCTCCCAACAAAAAGGGCGGTATGTGGAGTACTGACGCAGATTCTTCTGGCAGGTATGAGCTGGGCATTGACGTGACAACGCCCGAGTGCCCCAAGACTCATTGGGCCGGGCGCCCTGGACGCTTTGCTTCGAGGTGTGTCGGCGTCGTTGAAAGGGTCACAGCCAAACGCCCGGGGATTTACTATTCTGAGAAGCCAGCCAGGGAAAACCTACAGGTTTTGGCCACATGTCGAGCAACTACCAAAGTTGGGGCTGAGTTGCGCATGTGCCTCTTGATGTTTAACGCCTGACATACACTGCTGCGTGGCCCAACGCCGAGCTCTTCGCTTTCCAGTGGCCTATTCTTTGTGTTTGTGTAGTGGACCCACCTCGACTTTCAGGTCCTTTGGGCAGACTCTCGCGCAAGAAGCCCGGACTTGAGATATGGGTCTATCCTTGGAATCTATCTTGTTTTTTTCCCCAACAGCTGAAAGCTTTGGGGTCTCACCCCAGATCGGGGTGGTCCGGGGCGGCCCTGAGATAAGGTTCCACGAGGGTTCCACGAGGGTTCCACCAGGGTTCCACCAGGGTTCCACCAGGGTTCCACGCTGTTGGGGATATCACCTGAGTATTATTGTTTTTGGCAGGACACCGCAAGGAGAACCCCATATTCTATTTTGAGGGGGGTCGTGCCCTGAAAAACGACGCACCCACTTGTGGGTAGTTGCTAAGAACGAGACGAAAGGACATGACTTATTTTGTGTCAAACATCGCAAGCGAACTGATCTGCTTTGAGTCGGGGACAACCCAAACACACATCCTCAACTTCAGGGTACGGCTTGGTGATGGCTCATGTTGACCGTTGGGGTATGAAAGTCAGACAGGGGGGGGGGGGGTTGGGGGTATTTTTCCCTTCCGACGCCACGTGCCCGGCTTTGAAAAAGGGCCAGCCGAGTAGGGTTTCGCACCGCACTCAGGTGGCCGATCCCATCCGGAATCAGATCATTTGCGACACAGGCGTGCGGCTCAGTCACGAAAATTCCCAGAATCCGCTCGAGCTTCTCTGCAAGATGCTTGATGGGTACCTGCTGAGACGACTCAAGGCTGCACTTGTCTATTTACCCCATAAATACCGAACGCCACTCACCAAATTCCCATGTCCTCGGGTTGCTGCACACCGATTGTGGGGAGTGTGAGCAAGCATTGCCCGGCGGGCTCGACACATGCTGCTGTCAGTGGCGGGTCATGAAGCCTCCGCCAGGGAGGCTTCACTGCAGATGTGGGTATCGGTCAAAATTACAGCACCAGCAACCGCGGGTTTTAGTCCTTTTCCGTTTACCAGAATTCCATGTTGGGGTAACCCTATTTTTCGCCCACAGCCATGTGAGCGATTCAAAAGATGACGCCAGGACGCTGATGGAAATTTCTACGGGGTCTTTTCACTCTCAAGGTACAGCTTGCAAGGGAGCCTGAGAGCGTCATATTCAGAGGTATCCCTTTAAGGTTATTTTGTTAGACATAGATGGGTTCCGCTGGTTTAGATTCGGTTTGACTCTATTTGCCAGGCCATCTATTTGTTCAGAATGTCACCCATGTGCATAACAGGACACATTCTTGGACAGGGTCCTGTCGTAGGGAACCTTCAAAGAAGACCTGGCTTTGGAACATCCGCCCTCACCCCGTCAAAGAAGGCCTGAACCGTCCGGTTCCTGAGGCTTCTAGTTGCTTTTAGTTGGCTTAGCGGTTGGGTTTTCATGGAACCCACAAGTTACACTTTTAGGCCATCTGCAAACGGACAGCTATGTTTGAGTTGTAGATTCGCTCTTGGGCTTCGGTTCTCTTAAATTCCCAGAAACTCCCTGGCAAGGCAAGATTTGGCAGGCAATCCTGCATCAACTATTTTAAGACGCCTCGGCAATTTTAGTTTGACATGTGATAATGACTTGCCAGTATTGGTGGTATGTGGGAACTAGGCAACAGATCATGTTTTCCTGCTGACTTGCTAATGGCCTCTGCAAGATGACAACATTTCAACCTGTGAGAATCTGTGCGTTGTTTGCTGCATGGTAGAATGCCTTGTGCATCGTGTGGTAGCACCTAGCTTGGCATGGGAGGTACAGTTTCTTGCAGGTTTCTCTAGAGGATGCGGGAGGAGGATGTGGGCCTCTTTTAGAGACAACGGATGTTTCCCAAAACAGGGAACCCTGCATTGGTGTCCTTCCTGTTGCCTCAAAGCCATCCAACAAAGGGGATTGTCACTTTCAGGTGACACCCAAAATGATGCCAGTTTTTCACATGAGTGTGCCTTTGTTTTCGGGCACCCCCCCAAAATGGCTGTTTTCCTTTTGGGGATTCCTCAATGTCGCCAAAAAAGGGGTACTATCAAAAGAAGACAACAGTATAGGGGATGCTCGCGCTTTGTGGGTCAACCGAAGCACTGAGATGCGGACAAGAACCGCTGGGTGATTCAGCAGCTGCCTCAGTGCCAGTCTGCTGGTGATTGGCCCGCGCATCTGAAATCAAACGGCCACCCAAGATGGAATTCATTGACCGTGCATCGCCCCTTTTCTTTTTGGTGTGGATTCAGCCACCAACCATTGCTCATTTCCTTTTGGGTTGCGTTCAAGCATCCAACAGTGATTTCTTTGTACGTTCATTGTGGAAGGTGTTTTTCCATCGCAGTGACTCAATGTTTGGTATACTTGACCCGTAAAGATTCAGGAAGTGGAACTAGCAAAGAAAAGCGAGCTCTTTTTGGGGGCGCATGCTGCTTTGAACTCGGCAAGTCATTCGGTCGCCAAGATTATTGATTTGAGAATGTGCTTCTAATGGAAGAGCGTAGCGGTGGCATTTTATAAATTAACAAGATGAGTCAAAATGGCCTGCCAATTGGCTCAAGACTTCTGGCATTTGCCCGAGAGAAAATCTCCTTGTTTTCATTTCCTCTCCCTTGTAACGACCATGCCCCGCTCGGAAGCCAGCACGGATTCCTTCGAGTTGCCGGACACCACCCTGGTGACGGAGGAGGAGGCGGTAGCAGGTGGATGACGGACACCATGGTCCCGGCAGACCCGTCCGCGTGGCCGGAGGACCTGAAGAGCGAGATCCAGAACGGCCTCTTCTGCATGAGGTGGTCGACCCAGACACCATGCCGTGATGGAGGGCAAGGGTTCTGGGGGCCGGAACTTTTGCGGGAGATGCCAACCTCAAGCACAGGTGCCGCTACGACGGCCCCGGCGGTGGGCACCTGCTGCGTGGCCCGGGAGAGCTGAAGCGTCCGAGCAGGAGCTTCTGGCACTGGAGAAGGGGCTCAGGCTCTCCTAGCATGAGATCCAGGGGCATCCACTGGAGACGTCGTCCCTGCCCACAGGTACACCTTCAAGTGCCTGGTGTGCCATGCCCATTGCGATCTTCCGCAGCAGGAAGCGGGGGTACGACGGCCAGGACTCTGTGACAAAGGCCGCCTGCACGAGCTCATCGCGGCAAAGAAGGCCGCGAGGAGCTTTGTGAGGGAGGTTGGGATCCCAGAGAGAGTGGCGGAGTGGCAGCGCGTCTTCCGCGCGATGGGGAAGTTCTTGGCAGTCAAGAGCTTCCTGAGTAACTGCCCGGCGCCGGATGGAGATGCCCATCGCCCCCATCCACGAGTCCAAGGAGGCCCTTTGGTCCAGGGCAATCTGCGATGAGCGGATCACCCTGCCGCTGTCTGTGTTCAGGGAGAAAGTGAGCTGGCAGCGCAATGTCGTCCACCGCTGGGCGGAGGATTTCCTTGCGGACGCTGCAGGCGAGCTGTGCGCGAAGCTGGGGTACAGAGCGGGCGGACATCCGGGCCAGAGGTTGTACCCCACCCACGGGTGCCGCGCGCCCCGGGGCGGGGGGAAGCCGCGGTGGCAGTGGGTGCTGGGCCATGACACCAACATCCGCGAGGAGAACTCCACCGTGCAGGAAGTACCCGCCGGCCACGGTGGCAAATGTGACGTGAATTGCGGGGGACTCCAGCAAGAAGAAGCGCATCACCAAGTGCGGCTTGCTTGGTCTTGACGTCCCTGAGCGCCTGGGAAGTTGTGAGCAAGGTGAAGGGGTCCACGCAAGGCGGCTGCATGGCGGGAAAAGGTGGCAGCCACTTCATCCAGGGCGTCCTTCCAAAAGATCCTGATAGGTCCCGATCAGCGCTGGGCCTGCTACGACGACCTCAGCGCTGCCCTCAGTGCCAACTGTTGGTGCCTAGGAAAGGGCGATTTCCTTGGCCTGGTGCACGATCTGCGTGATGCTTTCTCACCTGGTCTACCGGGTCTGATCCGCTTGTTGGTGCGGGACTGGCTGGGCGCCAAGATCCGAGACATGATCTCCTCTGCTCGGTCCAGTGGGCAAGCTGCCAAGCTCTTTGGTTGCCTTGGATTCCTCGACCAAGGCGTCTTCGGTTGTCTAGCCTGGCGGTCGGGGCTCAACGTGATCAAGGACCGGCAAATCAACGACCACACTCACGAGCTCACGGCGTGTCTTGCACGTCTATGAACCGCGCAGGGTCATCTGTCTGGAGCCGGGCGCAGGCCGCCTCGGATGCCACCCAGGAAAAAGTCGACTAAAGCATTGAGGTTCTACCAAGATCGCTCAGCTTGAGCTCCTTATGGTCCTTCAGGCCCTGCTCACGTTCGTCGAGCACTTTCGCTTTGCCGCAGGTGTGTTCTATGTTGGCAACATAGCGATGGCCCTTGTCCGTGGCCACTCCGACAATGCGGACCTCGACTACTTCTCCAGGCTTATCCAGGGCCCAAGTGGGGTCTCAAATGCACAAACGGTGAGTCTGCCGTGTGACTGTGGAAAATAAGGAAGCTGCATTGCGCTGAATGTATTTCTTTTTTGACTGCGGAAGCTACTGGACGCATGTTTCTTCTCTGAGGGGGCGAAAACGGAATGAGCGCAACTTGCACAGAGAACTTGCTAGGAGAACTTGCCACCGCTGCTAATGCATTTGGTGAGAGGCCTTCAGAGGTTTTCCTCCAAAACTCCTCCAGATCTTTAGGTTTCTCTTGCCACCGACGTCGTTTCCACGAGGTTCCTGCGGGACGACACGGATGCCGGGGCGGAGCTGAAGGACTCCCTCGGCTTCATCACGGTCTGGAAAGAAGGCGCAAGACCAAGACCGAGAAAACCCGAGACGACGAGACAACTTCTCCTAGGCCCCCCAGCTAGGTGGCCCTTTCTCACCGTTTCCTTTTTGGCTGGGAGGGTTCCCCTAAAATAGACTACAGAAAAAAGTTGGTTCCCTGATTCTAGACTCTCTACTGGAGGACCTAGTCTCGTCAAAACCGGTTGCGTGTTTTGCCTTTTGTTGGTTTTTCTTCGGGGACCATACGTCAACCATTGGTCTGAATTCCTGAACGGCTTCTTGACTTTTGAATATGAAATGCTGGGAGTCTTTGACTGTCTATGGTGCTGGCCTGGGTGTGTCTTGTATTTATTCGGGGACCAGAAAAAATGACGCAATGGTGTCCCTTGATGGTTTGACTTCCAAACCACCAAGCGTGCGGGTGTCTCTAGAAAACGGTTTGGATGTGGCTTTTGTGGATCCACCCCTGTAGGATATTAGGAACAGAAGACCACGCGAAATCCAAAGTCGCACGCAAACTGTTTTCTAGAGTGTCTAGTATTTTGGGGATCCACACACACACAATGGTGGTTTTCCTGATCGTTTCCCTCTACAACCTCACCCACCTCGTGTATTTGAGTCTTCCGCCCGGGTGTTTGCAACGTGCAGTGGCTGGCCCTTGGCATGGACAGCTCATTTTGAAAGCGACAACCCCTGCCATGTCTCAAAAAAGTGGCCTGACAAACATTTGTGTCCGAAAGGGGCAGAAAATAGATGGTGATTCCTGGATGACCTGGTTTCAAAAAAGTAATTGCCGATTTTTTTTTCGCATGCTCACACATGGTTGAACCCCTCCATTTGACTTGTTCCCTTTTTTTTGACCCCAACAAATGTGCGGCTCCCTGCGGTTCTCTGGTCCGGCGCCTGCCAGGCATCCCGGTGCCCAAGGTGCTGCGGCTCAAGGCGGAGCCCTTGCTGCGCGCGGGCGCCCAGCGACGGCGCGCTCACATGGCCCGCGTTTGGCCGCGCATTTCGACGAAACCAAGCGGACGGTTTATCCCCATTTTGGGAGGGGCAAGCGTGTGTTCATCTAGAGAAACCGCTGCATCAGTTGCAGGAAGTGATGGGCTCTGCACCTGACATGGGTCTCTTCAACGTGCGCTTCGCTTGCTACGCAAGTTTCCTGGTAGTGATAGGGAGAGGATCAGTGCCTAGAGAACATGGACATTTCACATGTGTCTTTTTGAGGCCAGCTGGTTTGCCCCAGAAACGTTTTTTTCGGCCATTTAGAGAGTTTCCTTTTTGGAGAGACGTAGGGGAACACATGGGGGCTTTGTCTTTGATTTTTTGGGTTGCTGTAAAGGTCAATCAAGTTCCAGCAATCGGCCTGGATCAGCTCTCGCAAGCGATGCATGGTGGGTGGTTTCCTTATCGCGATTCCAGTCAGGGGTGCTCCTAGACGGAGTCAGCAGCTCTCACGACATCAAGGAATGCCTCGTGCCAAATGGGGCTTCTCGAAACCTTTTGATTGGGCCATTCGAGGAGTTCTCGTTCCTTTGATTGTCAGAGTCAGGGCTTCGCATCATGAACATGGGGTATACTTGTGTATATATATATATATATTTGTTTACGCATATCCCTTATGAGATGTCGATACGACATGTCTGATGCGATCAGTTTTCCAGGGTCCTGCAAACCCACCAATGGGGGCTATGGCCCACCAACGCGAGCGCTGCCTTGTGCCGACCGCAGTTGAAGAGACGCCTCCGGCTGGCAAAACAACGACAACGGCGCGGGCCTTTCCGTCAGAGTATCGGAGCGTCGCACCGCGGGGCGGTCCAAGTTTTTTTTTCAAGGTCAAACAACACAAAGCTCATGTGGGCAGGGGGGGAGGGAGGGGGAGGAGGAGCCCTTATTAACCGTTAATTATTAACCCCTTAACAAGGCCGTATTTGGGCTCCCTCCCCCTGTCCTCCCTCCCCCCCATGAAAAACAGTTGCCGCGTTTCCATCATCTCCAAAAAAGTACTTTCTTCGTTCTATTTTCATATGAGTCCTTGTCCTTTGGTAACTTCAAGAACCTCCAACATGAGAATGATGATGGCTCTCTCACTTCATCATGGTAACTCCAGTAGAATTAGAGCTTAGAATCGTTTTCATCCTGACCTGTGCAGACTGTGGCAAATAGGCTTGGCCTCCAACAACTGTTCCTGAGCGAATATTGAGGGAATTTGGGTCATATAACACGCATTCCCTCTGGGGAAGTCGTTTGGAAGCAGAAACCCTCCTACCCATTTTCGATTCACGCCCATATGTTTAACCCTTTGCCAAGCTGCTGAAGTTCCTCCAGAGTGAGATGGCTTGCCTCGAGAGTGTCCATGGGTGTCTCTTTTGGCCCCTGGCCCGTCCTGCCTTGTGAAGACAATCTTGAGGTTTCCAACTGACATAATCTCGCAGTCGATTTAGGCGGATTTAGGCTTCGGGCAGCCTCCCCTGTTATGGAGGCCAGGTTACCTACAAGAGTCAAGCCAATTGTTCCATGCGTCGTTGCCCGCGGCCCATATTTAAGCACAGGTGTCGCTTTTGCTTTCTCTGCTTTGGTAGGGAAAAGGATGGTCCTGGTTGACCTGGTTGTTTCATGCTTGACCAGGGCCAGCTATTTCCGAAAAGGACATGTGCTCGAGTCTATTGGCCATGGAGCCTGTTTTGACCGCGCCTGGCGCTAAAGAAGCTTTGGGCGAGCGACAGGTGACGACCACGCGCATGCACGTGACGGACCCCAACCCGCCTCCCGGCAGAGAGATGCACCTAAAGTTGAAGGTCCCGTGGAGGGTTTGTCAACCCCTTGTGGGGCTCTATGAATGAGACGGGACACTTGGTTGTTCCCAGGCATCCGGTTTCCTTAAGGGCTTTAGATCTTTTTAGTTGGTTTAGCGGTACAAACTATCACTACGGACAATTCAGGAAAGCCTCCAACTGCTCCAATCCTTTTGGATGGCGCACCCTGTCATCCCGTCTGGAGACAGCGAATGCTGGCCTTTGATGAGGTCTTCATAGAAACAAGATGACTGGTGTGCATCTGGAGGGGCTTCACCTTTGTCAACAGCTGTATCCTCACTCCCTGCATTCCTGAAGATTCTACTTGGAAAGACCGTTTCAGCGATACCCTCACCAAAAAGCATGCAAGCGGACGATCGCACGCGGAGACGGGTCCTCTGTTACTTTGAGCAACGCCAGTCTTGGCCGGAAACAGGGCTTGACAGCATGGTTGAGAGTGGTTGACAGAGGCGTGCGTTTGTGCCACTGATTTGGCAGTGGATCAAAAATTGGTACCCAAACTGGCAATTTCGTACATGGAACCAAGGACTAAAACCTGCGGTCCCATGGTGGTTTAATTTTGACCCATACCCATTTCAAGCGATCTGAAGCGCTTCGATCAAGTGGTTGTCTTCAGCACGGCAGTGGGTTCGGAGTCTCGGAGGATCTTTTGCCACGGAAAGGGTGAGCAAAAGGGTGCAAAACTTGGGTGTCTCTGGGTTGAAAAGACATCTTTTTGAGAGCTTTGCACATGGAAAGCTTCCAAAAGAGGGAGCTTCTTTGCCTTTCCCGGGGACTTTTCGATGTCGAACGCAGCGGCGAGCCCAGGCACACCGAGACGGGCATCGTGATGTGCATGCGGGATCGCGACCCTGGGTACTGCCAGGCGGGGCGTTTTCCGGAGCGAGGGCTGGCCTTGTCGTTTGGTACAAAAAGAATCGGATCAGGTTAGAAGTTAGAACCTCTTGGATGCAAGCAAGGTCACCCCCCTGCACCGGACAACATCATCACAGAAATGACAACTAGATCATTAAGAAATCATCAAAGTCGCAAGGACAACGCGCCGGGGCTGAGAAGTCTCTTTGGTGCTTGACATTTAAATGTTCACGATGATCGACGAAACACATGTTGTCCATATCATGCGCACGCAGGATGGACTTGGGATTCTGGGGTTGGAGGATTGTCCTTCGCAGCAGACCAATCCTTAGTAGGAGTCCTTGGTCACTGATGACGATTTGGGCATGGGCTTGACAACAAGTTGTTGATTCAATTCCTCATTGAAAGGTCCCCAATTATTTTGTGTGGTTGTGGACCAACAACTCCACAGGTCTTGCAAGAAGCATGGCGCGTGCGCGGTCAATCCACGCCTCGATAGCCTGAGGACGGAGAAGCTGCGATGAGAACATCCACCAAAGGGCCTCTCAATCAGATACTATGTTACAGCAATGCTGTCATTGGCCGAGGGATGGGCCAAACGCTTGTATCATCCGTCATTGGAGATCAATTCATCTGGGTTTTCCTTTAGTGCATTTCCACAAGGATGGCTCAGGGAAATAAGGATGGCCGCTAGCATGGAGCCTCAACCAGGGTGCCTTTGAGAAGAAAACGCATGCTTTTGGAAACGCTCCGGTCGTCAGTAGCCTCTCGCACCGGAGGGCAGAACGAGCAAACCGGATGTGACCTGCGGCTGGCAGAACGTGTGCCAGGCGGGAGAATTCTCCAGCCATTCCACGTTGTCGTCAGTGGTGACGGTCGTGGTTCTCGACGTGGTTGTGGTCGTGGTCGTAGTCGCCGTAGTCACCTTCGTTCGTTGCTTCGTTCGTGTGTTGGTTCGTTATTATTATGATTATGATGTTGTTTTATTTTAAGAATATGTTCATTCAGGTAGTATTATTATAGTTTCCGTTTCGCATGATTTTTATCATTGTTATTATTATTTGCTTATTCATCATTGTTTTTAATAATTATGAATATATATATATATATATATTGTTATGACTATTTACTCTCTGAATCATACATGTATTATTATTATTATTATTATTATTATTATTATTATTATTATTATTATTATTATTATTATTCGCATTGTTATTGTTGTTGTGTTGTCTTTTCTCGTGTTTTGCTTCTTTCTTTCTTTGTTTCCGAGCGACGTAAGGCTCCTGAAAAGTCTGGGCTTTTCTCCAATGCCAACCTGCTCGACATATTGAAAGTTTTTGGGGAACCCCTCAAAGACTTCTCCCCTTCTGGCATTAAACCACAAGAAGGGGTCCCCCAACAGAAGATTCCTGTGAACATGTGTTTTTTGTTTCCATGTTGCTCTGCAAATCAACAACTGGGCTTGTATTTTACAAGGACTCATGGGGAGAGAGTGGAGAATTGGACGTCGGGCAGCTTACAACGGGTCTCTTCCCCCAGTGCCTGAATGGATACACATTCTTAGGCCACCTCAGTGTGTTTGTATTGCGTTGTTTCTTATTTTTTTCAGTTGTAATTGCGGTTGTTGTTCTGTGTGCAGTGGCAATTCTGGTAGTGGCGTGAATGCGGTGTTCTCGGTTTTCGGATGCTGGACGGAAGGCTGTTGCGCCCTATGAGACATGGGTGGAGGGACTGGTGACTTGGAGTTTGGTTGTCCAACCATTGACCACGCAGCACATGTGCTTGTAAGTCACTTTTTCTGTTAATTCTTTGCTCTTTGAACGGAAATAGCCACTGGTATACATGTGCTTGGCCGGGGTAGCCGCTTGTGCCTCGCCGAGGTTAGGGACGACTAGCCCTGCGGTTTCCTCAGGGCCCTCTTTGGCGCTTGAGAGGCCAAAAAGGCAAATGTTCATTTCGCTTGTATCTTTAGCGGCATGCTTTAAAGCATGGTGCCTCCGAGTACCTTGCAAGTTCGCAAGGAGCACTTGTGAGGTTTTGATCGCCGCACGGGCAGCGAGACGGTTGCAGCCGCAAAAAGAGATGCCGTGCTCCAAAGGGTGGATGTTGGCAAGGACAATACTCAGCCCCAAAGCCGACCTTTTAACCTTTTGGTTTCCCCTTTTTGGCAGCCATTTTTAGTCACCCCCAAAGGTGATCATATTTTATGTCCAGGTCCTTTGGCAATTTGGGCAGGCGAGAATGCGGGTGTCTCAAAGACACCAGTTGGTTTTTCTTTTGTTCTGAACTCAGAGAAGCATTGTACAGATCACTCGATCGCCAGGCATACGCAATGTGCGAAGATAAAACTGTCATCCCTGAAGCCTTGCAAGTGCCAGAAAGATGTGAGCACTTGTGTGCCATTCTCAAAGCACAAGGTTGACGTTCACTTGGATTGATCCCTTCCACATCAGCCCCTTCTTCTGGGAAAGTTATTCATTCGTTGATGGGCCAAGTGATCAGTTGCTTGAGCAAAGAGGAGTAGTCAGCAATGTGACGATGGATGTAGCAGGGGCTGCATCCTTGTGACCGGAGCCACGCATCCCCTAGCTCCATTCGCCTCAAGAGTCCAAGGTAACACACATCCCACCAAAAATGGTTAGATCGAGTTCCCAACAAATTGGGTAGTTGAGGGGTACGCACAAACTATGGAACCGAATCTGTAAACAAGTAAACATGCAAAGATGTATGTATACCGACAACTGGCAAGAGCTGGGGGCAAAGGGCATAGAGCACGAGCGAAGCTGGCCTGACCTTTCATTGATGCAAGCGAGGTGGCATGTCGGGACATGTTCGGCAACCTTGCGAATCCCTTTGCTTTTTCATGCTAAAAAGGGTCTCTGCTGGATTAGTGTTTGCCCCCTATATAGCTCAATTGTTGCTTTGACGCTGCGACGCCACGATGCTACGACGCATGCTCCCCTTCTTGCCACTGTTCGACGCAAATCCACTACTGCCTCACACCTTGCGGCCCAAATCGTCGGACAGACCTTGGTTCCAGATGGCATGTTTGGACTTCAGATCGCTGTCAAAAGCGAGGCCAACCCAAAAAGCAAGCGCAGCAAACCGCTGAACACCCGAAACAGCCCAGAAGTCTTTGTCGTGCAGCAAAGATGGAGTTCTCCAAGTCTCTAAAAGGTTTGTCACAGCGAGGAATTGGGCTCCCAAGTTTCGTTGATCTTTTTGGGCTCCAGATTCCACGAGCAAAACTTGGCACTCTTTCACGTTCTTTTGCACGGGCAGACGTCTCGAGAAGCACGTCGGGTATGGCGAGCCCTTTGCCCATCACTGGGTACCCCTCCGTCAGCAGCCCCGGCTCAGCTCCGAACCTCGGCGGCATGGCAACCGGAGGGATGAGGCTGACGGATGCCAAACGCAATGGAACTGGACATCTGCAGAACACGTCGAAAGCCAGAAAGGGAAGGCACAAAAACAGAAATCAAAATGGTTTGAATTCACAATTTCCAGTTGAGAATGCAACAACAACTGAGCACCGTAAACAGGGGTTGAGCAGTATTCCCTTCGGGCCCAGAATAACCATGGGTAACTTTTCCCATGTGAAAAGCTTTTACCATTGGTGGTTTCCTCAATAGTCACCGCATGTAAAGGACCTTTGATCAACCTCCAAATCCGCAGAAAACCAAAAGGGAAGGCACCAAACGCTTGCTGAATAGGGGTCGGTCGAGCCCATATCTGGCATGCTGCCTTGGTAGAGCCCAAATCTTGCTGGGTGTTGTTGCAGCGGGTTTTTTGCAGCAAGGGCTTTCATGGCGATGGGTGAATTTAGCCAGTGCCAACATGCGGGATGAGATTGCCAGAATTGAATACTCCGTTTTGGCAAACCCATTTCACTGTTGTTGGCATTGTTTTTAGATTCTTCGTGTTTTTTTTCCTGTTCATTTTGAGTAGGGGGTTGCTCCTGTTGTTTTTGCAAGCCCGGACCCACTCACTTCTTAGGCAAACCAGGAGCTTGTTTTCGGCTTCCGGAAGGCACAGGTTTCGGCACCACTCCCAGAAGGAACAGGGCGTGCCTCTTTTGCGCCTCTTCTTTGTGGGTTTTGGCCCCCCCCCAAAAAATAAAATAAAATGGCGCAAGGGTTGTTTCCTGGTGATTTCTCTTCGGAAAATTACCACACCGGGCCCCGTGACTCCAAAACTTGACACAGTCAGCAGTGCGGTTCCCTTCAACACCTTGACCGGTTGCCATGGGTCCATGAAGTATATTGAGGGCTTTCAACTTTTTCGGCGCGGGCACATGGGTGGCTTGTCTTTCTGTCAGGTTGTGGGACCGGGACCTCACCTCCCAAAGAAAAGAAGAAACCATGGCGGTTTCGGTGTCCCTTTTGCCCTTGAACGCCACGGAACAAGAGGTAAGTCCAAAAAGAAAACGACGAGGCACCGAAAGAAAAAGTGGTCAAATGTTTTTTTTTGCACAGATGGCCCAGAGGCGTCCGTTTCTAAAAGGGAAGGTCCTGCCCCACACCCCATTTCGACAAAGCTCCCCTTTTTGGTGGTGAACGAATTGCAGTGCCAACTTGGCTTTCCTTCGCGTGGGTTGGGGACAGTTTCGCAAGTGCGGGTTCCGATTCCTGTGAGACCAGCCCATGTCTGCTCCCGCGAGAAGCGTCCGTTCGGGTCGCCGCGCCTGAGCGCCCCAGGGAGCTGGGCGAGGGCTGGAGCGCCGCAGATGTCTTCACAGGGAGCGCGGGACGTTCGGAGCGGCATGCGTTGGGCTCACTTCCTGAGTGCCTGGACTTTATTGCGACCATTTTAGTGGCAAATATGAAGTTCAGACTGCTTTTGGCCAATACACTCAGGAATCAGGAAGTGAGTAGGTGTCCTTTTGATCGGTTGAGTTTGGGCCAAAACAGATGGGCTCCACTGGATTAGATGGGTTTTGATGCCATGCATTTACCAGGGAAAACCATCTATTTCTAACCAGCAAGGTCACCTATGTGGCTAGCCGCTTTTCCACAATCATGGAAGCAGAAATGAGGTCGTCTCAGCTTGCATGACTGTCGGAAGGTATAATGTTTGATCGGGCCCTCCCCGTTCCAACTCATAGCCACATGGGCACATGTGCGCGTCGATCCCTCATTTCAGATGTGCGAGATATTATGATTCAACCGCAAAAGAAGGTCAGCCTATTGAAGGGAACATCCAGCCTGTCTGCAAGTTAGCAAGCAAAACGCCAACCATGAGAAGCTGCAACGAAGCGCCGCTCATGGTTGGAGATTCCTTTGTGACCAGGGACACGATCCTGTGGGTGAATATGAGGCGCGGGTGTCCTTTGTTTGGGTTTCACTTTGAAAAGAACCGACCAGAAACACGTGTTTTTCTTTTTAAGCGCGGTTACTATGACGTCAATTTCCATGCAGAGATCTGGGACTCCGAATTCAGGGGGGGGGTCCCCGTTTAGTCGGGTTCATGACGATTGGAGGGGAACAACCATGTTTGTGAATCCAGGGTGCTCATTAGCTGCCGGAGACGCTAGCCAGGAGCCAAGCCCTTGGGCTGCAGGAGTTGGTCTTCCTGCCAGGCGCGAAAGTGATTTCGCCATCCGTTTTGGCACTCGAGCTGTGTCCCTTTGCCTGGTGCTTGTTGGTTCAAAGAGGGGATGCCATTCTCACCGCAGGTATCCTCACTTCCAAGCAGTGTCCAGACTTTGCCCTTGAAGTGGCTAACGGAAGCTCGGGCCACTTATTCCAACTAATCCACTCAGGAAGTGAGTGGGCAGTTGAAGCTCCAAAGTTTGCCGTACCGATCCCTGTTTGCGGTTGGAGCACGTGTTTGGTTTGAAAGGGCGATATCCCAGGATTTCGTTCAGAAGGGGACGCCTTTGGGGGCTGCGTTTTTCAGATTCCTGGGGGCTGCGTTTTGTCATCAAAAACCGACCAAACAACCACTAACCCCCCCGAAAAAAAAACTAAAATAACAATACAAAAAGAGAACAAACAAAAACAGAAAGCCAAGCCCATCATTTTCATTTGCTCGTTCAAGGCCTGTTTTGTTTTGGTTGGGGAGGCCAAAAAGCAAAGAGATCCGTTTTGTTGTTTTTTGTTTGGTTTTGGGAGGCTTAAAAAACAAAACAACAACACATAATGCTTTTGTGTTTGTAGAAAAGAACAAGCCCATCGTTTTCATCTGCTCGTTCGAGACCTGGGGTTGGTTAGAATTATCATGTTTACATATACTCGTTCTAGTTCAGATTGTATTTAAACAAAGAAGTTGTGATTGGATTCAATTTATGTTTCAGCTCTAGTTTAAGTGTCAAGTTCTATTGGGAAAGGATCTCCGTCTAGAGTCTACATGTAGGATGCAATTTGCAGCAGGATTCTGATCAAGTATTTCCTTATTGAGTCTCAATTAAATCCTTTGGAATTTCAAACTGAATTTTAGATATTAAAGAGCGGCTGTTGGTGGAGATGTGAATTGAGTACGCAAACCGCTACAAAACACAGTGTTTGCGGTGTTTTCTGACCATGGTGGCGCTGGGGCTAGTAAGCAACAAAAGCACGATTTCGAGACCTCTGAATTCTTTCCTCATGACTTAATAGCTTTAGCAAATTGAATTTTGACTGAAATTAAGTAGACGTTTATAAGGACAGACTCCAATCAGAATTTCTATGTTAGAGTAGACTTTGAATATTGATTATTATACTTCAAACATGTTGCACAGCAACATGTATTCAACATTTTCGGGACCGACCATTTATTTTCTGGGCCTGCGGCCTCTAGCCGGCTACGCCTCTTTGAAGTTATACCATGTCATGTCATGTTTTTTGTATGAGAAACATATTCTGTGCTATGATATGGTTGGTTAGGTTATGCATGTTGCCCACCCCAACCCCAGATGATGCAGGGGATGCCAGCTTTCTGGGCCCCAGCCGGGCCCCAAACAGAGCAAGCCAGCCCGGAAACGCAAATGCAACAAAACACCGTAAATAGCAGCGTTTTGTGGCTGGGGTCGCGCGCGATTGCCAGGAGGCCCGAAAACCAACGGGAAAAAAGCAAGGACCGCGCAGCATGCGAGCCAGCCACAGCAACAGCAAAACGGACAGAACAACAACAAACCGCTCAGCACAGCAGTTTTGACGGTATTTTCAGCGTTTTGTAGAGCGAGGACCCAGCATCGCCGGCATGCCCGGCAGAGCTTGGCGCGAAAATGCGCGAAAATGAGCCTCGCTTATATCCCTCCGATACCTTCTAAAACAGTGCCTCATGGGTTGAGAGGCTTTTTGGAAGGAAGTCTTGATGATGCAGACCAAGCCCCGCTGAAGCATCACCCAGGCCCAACCCCAGACCCTGATGATGTCAGCCACATGGACGCGATGTTTTGCGAGGGTTTCCCACAACCAAGCAAAACCGCAAGCCCGAGCTGGTGATGCAGAGGTGCCGGATTTAGGCAGCGCATCACGACCAAGCGGCGAGGGTCGGCGGCACCAGGGTGCAGCCCGCAGCCCCTATATCCGGCTACGCCTCCTTGGGTAGCATGTCGCCGGGAAACCCTCGCAAAACATCGCGTATATGCAGGGTTTAGGCCATGTGGCTGACATCATCAGGGTCTGGGGTTGGGCCTGGACTTCCTTCCAAAAAGCCTCTCATTTTCGCGCATTTTGGCGCCAAGCGCTGCCGGGCATGCCGGCGATGCTGGGTCCTCGCTCTACAAAACGCTGAAAATACCGTCAAAACTGCTGTGCTGAGCGGTGGGCTGTTGTTCTGTCCGTTTTGCTTTTGCTGTGGCTGGCTCGCGTGCTGCGCGGTCCTTGCTTTTTTCGCGTTGGTTTTCGGGCCTCCTGGCGCGCGCGCGCGCGACCCCAGCCACAAAACGCTGCTATTTACGGTGTTTTGTTGCTTTTGCGTTTCCGGGCTGGCTTGCGGCTGTTCTTTTTGGGCTGCTGTTTCTGCGGCCTCTGGCGCGCGCGCGCGACCCCATGTCAGCCTTCTGGTTTGGGTCCCGGCTGGATGCATAACCTAACCAGCCATATCAGGATACGTTTCTCATACAAAAAACATGACATGACATGGTATAACTTCACAGAGAGCGTAATTAGCCGGCTAGAGGCCGCAGGCCCAGAAAATAGCTAAGGCTAGCAGGCTAATTGCCTAGAGGCGACATGCTACCCCAGGAGGCGTAGCCGGATTTACGTTGCTGGCGCACAACCGGCCGCGGCAGCGAGGCTCAACCTCACAGCTCTTGCAAGGACGGCAAAGCAGGCAGCAGCGACAACAACAACAACATAAACATACCTACATTTCCTTACTTGCGCACATACACACATCCATTTTCCAAACATCTTCCTTCAGTTTTCCATCCATCTTCCACATTTCCCATCTATTTTCTAGCCATTTCCCGTCATTTCGCCATGTCCCCTTCACCGCCCGCCCGCCCGCACGCACGCGCTCGCGCACGCACACCCACCCACGCACGCACCCACACACAGGCACACACACATACACACACACCAGACTCACGCACAACACACCCACCCACCCACCCACGCACGCGCTCACGCACGCCACGCACACGCCACGCCACGCACACACACGCACACACACGCACACACACACACACACACACCCACACCCACACCCACACCCACACCCACACACGCACACGCACACGCACACGCACACGCACACGCACACGCACACGCACACGCACACGCACACGCACACGCACACGCACACGCACACGCACACGCACACGCACACGCGCACACGCACACGCACACGCACACGCACACGCACACGCACACGCACACGCACACGCGCACACGCGCACACGCGCACACGCACACGCGCACGCACACACACACACACACACACACACACACACACACACACACACACACACACACACACACACACACACACACACACACACACACACACACACACACACACACACACACACACACACACACACACACACACACACACACACACACACACAACACACCACACACACACACACACACACACACACACACACACACACACACACACACACACACACACACACACACACACACACACACACACACACACACACACACACACACACACACACACACACACACACACACACACACACACACACACACACACACACACACACACACACGCACACACGCACACACGCACACACGCACACACGCACACACGCACACACGCGCACACGCGCACACGCGCACACACACACACACACACACCCGCGCGCGCGCGCGTGTGCGCGCGCGCGCGCACTCGCACGTCACGCAAGCACCCCCCACACACCCACCCACCCACCCACCCACCCACGCATGCACGCACGCACGCACGCACGCACGCACGCGCGCACGCGCGCACACACGCGGCGCGCGCTCACCCACGCACGCACGCAGGCGTGCGCGCGCGCACGCACGCATGCACGCACGCATGCAGGCAAGCACGCACGCATGCGCGCACGCACGCACGCGCGCAGGCTCGCGCGCCTGCGCGCACACGCACGCACGCCTGGCCAGTTGCTCGCATTTTCATGTGTTTTTCCTGTGTTTCAAGGCTGCAGCAGGACGCCGTGTGGAAGGCAGCTCCCAGCAACATCCCCAGCATCACCAGCATCACCGGCATCACCGGGGCAAGATGCAAGCCCAAGGCTGCAGACCCAAAAACAAGCCCAAAATCGCACCCGCCAGAAGCTCATCACTTTCCTTTGCACGCATCCCAACGTGCAGCCCATAGAGCTTCGCTCTAGAGCCTTGCTCCAAAGGACCAAGGGGGTAATCTGACACAGCCGTTCGGCCCGCTTCGCAATTTAGCAGGCTGACGCCTGATGCCGCCGACCCCCGTAACATCATCATCATTAGCATCAGCATCATTATCATCATCGTCATTATTGTCATCATAATCTTCAGCATCAGCATCAGCATCCTCATCATCCATCATCAGAACAACATCACCATCGGCATCAGCGTCCTCAGCATCATCATCATCATCATCATCCACCATCTCATTTTCATTCATTAGCATCAGCATCATCATCCTCATCATCTTCATCATCATCATCGTCAGCGGCGTCAGCAGTATCCTCAGCATCCATCATGACAATGATCATCGGCATCATCATCCTGGGCAGCAGCATGATCATCAGTATCATCAGCATCATCATCATCATTCTTCATGAGCAGCCTCAGCATCAAACATCATCATTATCGTCTTCGGCATCATGACGGTCAGAGGTTAAGGTCAGGGTTAGAGGTTAAGGTCAGGGTTCAAGGTTTGGGTTAGAGGTTAGGGTTAGAGGTTGGGGTTGGAGGCTAGGGTTGCAGGTTAGAGGTTAGCGGTGAGGGTCAGAGGTTAGGGTTCGAGGTTAGGGTTAGAGGTCAGGGTTAGAGGTTAGGGTGAGAGGTTAGGGTTAGAGGTTAGGGTTAGACGTGAGGATTAAGGGGTAGAGGTGAGGGTCAGGGTTTGGGTTTAGAGTAGAGGTTAGGGTTAGAGCATGATGACGACGCTGATGAGGATGATGATGATGACTTGACGATGATGATGACGATGATG